CAACCACCATCATAATATTCGTCGGTTACTCCCACCCGAGGTCATGTACTGTGACCTCATCCATGATCCTTTTTATAATTTCGTCCAAGATTGTGTGACATCCGCCGGGTCGCCCCCCCTCCCTCCCCCTCCCTCCCTTTCTCCCACCCGCCATTCCATGCCACTGTCATCTCTCTCTCTCTCTCCGAGCCGACGACGAGAGCAGGTACGAGACAATGGCCGATGAGCAGCAGCAGCAGCAACATGCGAGGTGCGAGCGAAGAACGGGAGAAGGTCTTCCCCCCACTGCCCCATTACCCCCCATTACCCCCATTCCCCATTACCCATTAACCCCAAAGCGTACAATTCTTCTTCTTCTGCTGCTGGTGGTAACTTTGTGGGGGAAGGGAAAGGGGGCAGAACTTTCCAACCCCCGTCGAAGATACCGTTGCCCTTTGCTTTCACGAACCACCTCTGCTCAGCGGGGAATATGGTTGAGGCCCAAAATATGACCAATTGCTTGTCCTGTTATATCGTGGTGCCGATTACTTCCGAGTCCGGAAAGCAAATGGCCGAATATGCGACTGCAATTGGCCGCACTGTCACCACAGTAAACATTCCAAGTCCCTCGGAGAAGCTCGAGGTCGAAGCACCCGCAAAGCAAAGCACATTTTTATCCCCCATTGACCTCCATGGCGAGATGGAGATGGTGCGGTTGTGCGATGTGGTCAGGTTGAGATAACCCTGCTGCTGCATTGGTTTGTTGACCCGGTTGGGAAGGCAGACACGGAGGCCGGATGGATTCCCCCAGGACATGGTGGCATCGTAGAGATGCAAGTCGGAACAGAAGCGAGGGTGGGATGGGAGCGGGGAGGAGGAGGGGGGGCTGCTCCGTAACCACTTCTTGAAAGATTTATTTCTTTTTATCGTACACCGAGTCGGGTAAGGACAAGAGCATGATGGTTTGATACTCTGCTCTAGTTGCTAACCATTTGGCATAAAAGTAATGATAAGGGTCCAAGTTGTAGTTGTTGTTGTTGCTGCTGGAGCTGCTGTTGTTGTTGTCTTGGATAATGGCGAAGCAGCAAATTCTGCTGCTGCTGCTGCTGCTCGTCGCTCGTAGATAGATTCCCGATCATGTTCTTTTGTGGCCCGATTGACACTTCCATCCCAGTCCCCTAAGCCCTGCCTTCCATGGCTTGTGTCAAGGACTGACATGTATCAGCCCAAATGATGCCCCAAGATCATTGGGGCACCCCTCACTAATGGTTCGATCTGACTTCTCACAAATGAATGTCAGTGTTGAGCTGATGCATTGACACCTTCACCCTCTCCCCTTCCCTTAAACCCCTGTTCGCAGCACCGTGGCACACAAACTTCCATTCGATCTGGGTCATGCCTCAAGTGTAAACATTCCAGGTATGAGGGACCCCCCCAAGACAAATATGACTCACAATCACATTTGGAAGACTGTGTATCGAGTGCACGGGCTGCAAGCAGCTGGTGCAGTCCGTCTTTGGGGAAGTGTGTATGTTTTGGAGGCTGCCAGCGACCATGGATGACTAACGACCCGACGAGCCATCACCATCACGCTTAAGAAGTGAGCTCCTCCTGATGCTCTCCCAGCTCAGTACGTTTCGAACACGAGTCTGCGTTGCGGACGTGAGCTGCGAGCGCTTTGTTTCACGCCCAGAGTTTGCCATAATGAGTGTATAGGGAAGTGTGTATGCACCTTGGACAGCAGAGGAGAGATGGAGAGATGGAGAGATGGAGAGAGACAGCGTTGAACGCAAAGTTGGACAGGCGATGCCCATGAATCGAAAACTCGCCAGCGATATAACACGTAGAGAGACGACACCAACCAACACCAGAACATCGGCACGAGTAGGAAGAGAGCATGGGAGGGAGGAGGGGGACAACACGCGATGGGGGGTGGGGGGTCGACACATAGGCAGGCAAAAGGAGGGGAGGGGGGGACGCCGACTGACCATTGAGCAGCAGCGAGGCCTCGAAGCGAGTTGCGGCTGAAGGGAGGAAGGGCCACACGCAGAAGGGGGGCAAAATTACTGTAGGTGTTGTTCTCGAGTCATAATAGCGAGGGCGAGTATCATGAAAAGGTCATGTGAGAATCGTAAGTTGTTGTTGTTAGTCATCAGGTGAGGGAACCGGAGGGGCAATAGTTTATTGGAGGAATGATGAATCATAAAAGTGGGGCGAGGGGAAATCCGCAACGAGGTCGGATCACAAGGAACGAACCGTGCCCAGGAAAGAAGACGCCAGAGAGAGAGAGAGGAGAAATAAAAACTCGGCTCGCCGCACTTGTTTAATATTTGTGGAAAGTGGGGTGAATGAAAGGGAGGGTTGTAATCACTGCTGGGCTGGCTTGCATACAGGACCCCAAACTCGACAAACAGACCTAAAGATTCTGAAATCTTAATCAGTGCACAGGAGAGAGATTCATCCTCAGCAGGGACAGAAGGACATGGGGGGCATGGCTCGCTTACCTGACACCACCATAATACTTGGAATAAATGGTGAAAAGTGCGAGTGGAGGCAACCCCCACCCCCCTCTGAACCCACTCTTCCCTTCCCTCCCCTCCCCTCCCCTCCCTCCCATCCTTCTTCTCCAATCCAACTGTCCTACCCTCCGACGTACCCTCCCTCCTCCCCTACCCACCTTCTCACGCTACCCTACTACTCTAGTCTGGGCTCTGTATGCTCAGGGGGGCTGGGGCTCTTCCCCCACAGAGAGAGAGAGAGAGAGAAGAGGGAGAGAGAGAGAGAGAGGTGAGGGGAGGAGATAATTCATTAAGCAATAACTGCATTTCAGTGCCTGATTGCTGGAGAGGAAGCAGAGTTTTTTTTAGCCCCCGGAGAAACAGGAGGGAAGCAGTAAATGAGAAGAAATTGGGAGAGAAAAGAAGCAAGCGAACTAACCCAAGTTGGCAGGCCCAGTGAGAGAAGAGTGGAGTGAAGAGAAGAGAACAACCGCGAGAGCTGAGCCAGTGAGAAATTTGGTGGGCTAGTCTGTGGAGTGGAGTGCTGTGCTGTGCTGAGCAAGAAAGAAACCAAAGAAGCAAAGAAGCGAAAGAAAAAAGAGTGGTCGAGTTCGAGCCAAGGCTCAGCCCCTGCGAGCAAGCAATGGCATGCCAGGTTTGGTCAGGTTAGGCAGGTCAGGTCAGGTTTGGTCAGGCCCAACCAAACAGGACCGGCCCTGGTGTGATTTGGCGCTTGGGCTTAGGTCGGATGGTGGAGGGGGTTAGGAGAAGCGACGAGAGAGAGAGAGAGGAGAGAGGGGGAGAGAGACGAAACAACCAGAACCAAACAAAAGAGAACAAAACAAACCGACCCGACCGGACCGACCGACGGACGGACTGACGGACTGACGCAGTGTCCGCCTGCTGCCTCCGAACGAGCGAACCAACTCAACTAACAAACAACACCACCACCACAACAGCAGCAACTAAGCCCGCCCGCCCGCCCGTTTGCCCGCCCGCCAGTTCGTCCGTCCGTCCGTCCGTCCGTATGGGCATGGCGACGGACGTCATCACGTGCAGTAATTAGTAGGGGATGATGATATTTCTGCTCTACCCTCTCTCCCACCCCCAACCCCACCCCCAACCCCACCCCCTCAACTGCAGCCCAGCCAGCCACCCAGCTAGCCCCCCGTCCATCCATTAAGCCCTCCCGCCCGTCCGCCCGCCAGCCCCAAACAACACTCAACCCTCTCTCTCTCGCAGTCACTCAAGAAGCAAAGAGCCAGCCAGCAAGCCCCGCCAGCCCCGCCAGAGGGCCACTGACGACCGATCGTAAGCAACACACTGAACTGCTCTGCTAACTCTTCTCTCCATCGCAAGCAACTAATCAACCAAACCAATCAATCAATCTCTGTCTTTCTCTCTCACTCACTCACTCACTCATGCACTCACTCACTGGCCACGGATGGCAGCCCCAAGACTCAATCTATCTTGCGCGTTTTGTTGTTGTTGCTGCTGTTGTTAGCAAGGGTCACGAGTTAACCCCCGCCACCAGCCCCGAAAGCGAGAGATACCACACCGAACGATTCTACTGTGTGCCCCGGAGGGCCCTCCGTTCGGGGGCGGGCGGGGGGCGGGGGGCGGGGGGCTGCAGGGGCTTAGTGAGTCAGTCAGTGCTTGTAGTGGAAGGCACAATGTATGACAAGAGTGAGATAAGCACAGCGTACCACAGTCAGAGCAGAGCAGACAAGCCCCGAACTTCTCAGGTGACCGACATTCGAAGGGGCCGGGCCCCGAGTTCGACGCAAGGCAATAGCACAGAATGAACCGATGAGGGCAGAGGGGCAGGGCCAGGGGCATGGCTACGACTCGAATCAGACCCATGAATCGAACCAGGACAGAAATTCCGCCACTGATTGCCAGCATCAGAGTCTTACGATAGGCAAGCGAGCAAGAATGTGCGTAACAACCGAATGAACGAACGAATGAATGGATGAATGAATGAATGAATGACTGAATGAAAATAAAGACGCATCCGCACACTCGTGCCGTAGGGGGATCGCACAAAAGGTCTCGCTATCCGTCTCTGTCTATCTGTCTATCTATCTATCTATCTATCGACAGACGACGATGATGGATCTACGAACAAAAGAAATTTCCCCCGTGCGAGCGAGCGAGCCAAGGACGGATCTCATGAGTATCGGTCGTACCATGGCTGTCCTACTGGTGCTACGAATTTCCAACCACAACACAGAACACGATTTGCTGCTATACGTCGCGCTGCTCGCGCCCCTGTGCGTGGGTCACCATGACTCACACTCTCGCGTCACAAGCGTGTTGCGAGTACTTCGGCCATTGCAGGCCCTCCGAAACTCACCACCATCTGGCGCGAACCGAACCGAACTAGCGGGAACGCTGCCCCGAGCCCTGCCAGCGCTTGGCGCCCCGCCAGCGCGCAATCACACTGTCGAGCGAGTGATCGCCCGCGAAAGCCCAACCCAACAAATGCAAATGCTCACGACGATCGCATTCGAGAACACAACGACGACCCAGAAAACCCACAGACCAATCTCTGCTCTGAAGAGCAGAGGCATTCATTCATCCATCCACCATTCAATCCATGGACATATCGTCGAAGCCAAAAACATGACAGACAGCAATCAATCAAAAGCCCAAAACATGAAACACGGGAATTTTGTATAGAAGCCACCAGGGAGTGGCACTTTTATTCAGAAACTTAAATCTGTTTCTAAAAAATTGCGGTTGTAATGAACCGAGAGATTCTACGTAACTAGCTATGCCCGAGACGAAGGCGAGTCTGAATGAGCACGCGGGCAAAGATCTGCCTAAGGTCCAGAGCTTTTCGAAAACCAACTCGTGCGCTTGTTTGCGTATGGAGAACCTCATGAGAGCAGACTTGCCCCGACGACCTCGGGAGGTCATCTTCCGATGGGCCGTGGCTAGTTTTCTAAGAGTCGCTCTGAGCGAGCCAAATTTGAAGGCCCGCGGTCTCGTCGGGCCTCTCGCCATGCTGAACACAAAGTTGTACAAGCTTCTCGACGCCCGGCCCATGTCGAAGGAGCTGCAGCCTCGCCTGCTGCTGCTGCTGCTGCTGCTGAGCCCGGTCGTGTGGCTGGGCGATGCACCCTCGTCTTCTTGCCCCATTGCCTCGCTCACGCCGGGCCTGACATTGCCCTGCGACTGCGTCTGCGTCTGCGCGGCGTCCGCTGCTGCTGCTGCTGCAGCAGCAGAGTCCATGACCTCATCGTCGTCGCCATCGTCATCGGCACCGGACGACGATGTCGATGTCGCTTGGCATTCTTCTGCCACCATAACCTCGTCGTCGAGGAGGAGGTCGGAGGCAGAGGCCGAATCCATCGTCCCGGCTTGGCAATGGTCGACGATCGAGGGCGAGGCCTTGGCGCTGTCCGATTGCGCGAGCTGTTCCAGCGAGTCGGTTGCGCAAGAGGCAAATTCCGGCTCAACTGCCACCTCTTTGAGGGCGGCGACTGGGAGGTTGCACTCTTTCACAGCTGCTGCTGCCACAACCTCCTGGGGGAGGGCGCAGGGCAGCTTGGGGGCATCGCAAGAAGTGGGCGAGGTGGCCTTGGGCGAGCGCACGACAATCCACTGGCCGGGCATGGGGCTGAGGGGCGAGTTGCACCACCAGTCGGCGCCGCTGGACGAGCTCGTGCTCTGCTTGGGCTCCTCCTCGGATTGGAAATTCGCAAGGGGCGCAGCGGAGGCGCGCTTGGCGAAGAGGGGGGATCGCAGAATTGGCACGGAATTCACAATTGACGAGGTGTAGCCGGTCACGTCGTGGTGGCTGGGGAAATCCAGCGTGCTGGTGGGCGAGGGCTGCGGGGCCTGGGGCTCCTCGAGCACTGGGACGCTGTCGGTGATGAAGGGGTGCTTCAGAAGTTGCTCGGCCGTGGAGCGCACCCGGGGATCTCTCTGGAAGCACTTGCGCAGAAAATCGTGCGCCTGCTCCGAGAGGCACGAGGGCAACTCGGGCACTTGCTCGCTGCGGTGAATGTGGTAGAGCGCCACGAAAGGGTTGGCGGCGCCGTTGGCGATGTGGATCCAGGGCGCCTTGCCCGTGGCCATTTCCAGGACGGTGCAGCCGAGCGACCAAATGTCGGAGGCCGGGCCTTGCTCGGCCAGAGCCACCACCTCGGGCGCCATCCAGAGCGGCGTGCCCTTCATGGTCAACTGCGAATCCACCACGCTGCCTGCGCCCATTCTTTTGGCAGCGCCAAAATCCGCGAGCTTCACTCCAGAGCTTCCTACGAGCACGTTTTTGCCCTTGATGTCACAGTGCACAATTTCCTGCGCGTGCAGGTACTGAATCCCTTCGAGGATGCTGCGCGTGTAATTCCTGATCAGCGGCTCGTCGAAGTGCCCGCCGAACTTCTTCATGAGATCGGCCAGGCTGCCGCCCGACATGTACTCCACGAACACGTTGTGCATGCTCTTGCCGCCCTCGAGCGAGAAGGACGAGCCCAGGCACTTCACCACGAAGGGCGAATCCAGGCTCGACAGAATTTGCACCTCGTTCTTCATCGCCAGCATCTCGCTCGTGTTGCGCTCGTTGCACTCGATGGATTTCACCGCGAACAACTCGCCATTCTCCCTGTTCAGCGCCAAATTCACCTTGCCGAACGCCCCTGCGCCTATCAAATCCCCTCTAATCCAAGAAGTCGACGCCATCTCGCTCTTCCTCGCACCGTTGCTCGTCTTGCTGTCTACGCCCTCAGACGAATCTTTCGCGAAACTCTGTGTTACCAAGTCACTGCTGTCCCAAACTCCCATTCTGCTTCCTCATCCACTCTTTTCTCTGCCTGCCTGCTTCTGCCTGCCTGCTGCACTTTCTGCACTCGCTGCTGCTGCTGCGCAACAACAACAACAAATTTCCAATCCTTCGCACGAACGCACTGCCTGCCTGCTTGCCTGCCTGCCTGCCGTTCCGCCTAACGTCTTTCCGTTGTTTTCGATCCTTTGCAATTCTGCGCTGCTTCCTGCCGTTCTCGACTATTTCAAGTGTCAGGTGAGTGAGCGAGCGAGTCAGATTCTCAAAGGCCCCAAGTTCGCACTCAGAGAGATAGAGACGAGAAGCGAAGGGCGAGCGTTGAGTTCGTGTTACAAGATTTGAGTGTGAGAGTGAGAGAGAGAGAGAGAGAGAGAGAGAGAGGGAGTTCTGAGAGATAGGAGAGCAGAAGAGGAGGAGGGGGAGAGACAGCCGAGAATGAGCAGGGTGGTGGAGGTTAAAAGGGGAAGGCCCAGACGGACGAGCGAGCGAGCGAGCCAAGCCCAGGCCCAGGCCCAGGAGAAGAACCAGCCAGCAACCAGCAACCAGAAGCGGCTGCTGCCCTGCCCTGCCCTGCCCTGCCTGCCCGGCCCGTCCCGGCCCGGGTCTGAGCGCCTGCCTGACTTGACTGACGGCCTTCCCCCGCCCGCACACCCGACTGACGGGCACTCGGAACACGTCGCCGGCCTCGGGTCGCCGGGCTTGAGCTTAGGTCGGCATGGGGTTACGTCGCGTCGGGCCGGGTCAGGTCGGGTCCGGGTGGACTCGATCGCAGCAGCAGCCCACGAGAGTTTAGAAGCGGAAAAAGGCGACAGGCAGCCACCAGGCAGCGGGAGTCCAGCCACCCAGCCAGACAGCCAGGCACCCATGCACGCATGCATGCATGCCCCATCCACCGTCGGAGACTAACCCCCTCGCTCCGTCCATCCGCGACTGCGCTCCTACCCGGTAGCCAAGGCACAACTAGGCCGCGGACTGTGCGCGTGCCATTTGGCGTCCCGGTAGAGTCGCTTCGACGCTGGGCCTGCCGTGGACGTCTCTGCCCGCGAAGCCTCCCGGCCTCCGCCTCGACGCGGTGCGGGTCCTGGTCTCCGGCCCTCGGCGTCAACCCAATTGCACCCAGTCGCCCTAACCGACTTCCGCGCAGTCGCCTCGCCCTCGCCCTCGCCCGCCCGCGATCGGATCCCGGCCCCGGGTCAGATTTCGACTCCACTTGGGCCGCCTAACTCGACCCAACTGGTCTCGCCCGCTTGCCACTGGAGATTCGGGGGGCAGGCAACTACGAGACAACGCTACAGCGCCGCGCCCGGCACCCCCCTCCCCCCGTTGTCACTTAGCGGGCATTCCCTCCTCCTCCAAGCCCCCTCCGGCGACCGCCTCTCTGCCGGTCGCCAACTAGTTTAGAGAAACGAGCAGTCGTGACGCTCAGATTCGCGCTTGCATACCTTTTCCCGCCATCAATGGTGGCAGCACGGCGTGCCGGAACGGTTCTAGGGGATCTGACTTCCTCTCCCCCGTCAGGCCCTACGGATAATGTGAATGCTCTTACCGCTTGTGCGCCGTGTTCCTGCTCGGCGTGATTTCCTGCCCAGCGGTAATTGGGACACCGCATCGCCAGCCCCGGCAGATTTTCCCGTACCCCCAACCCCAACCCCCTCTGTGACTTTCGGTCTCATCCGTGGTGGTAATCGACCTCGCCCACCTCAGATTATGACTGGCTTCTGCAGGTGGACAGAACCCTCCACGTGTACCCCCTGACGTTGGCGGCGCGCCGCAGTCGCTCCCCACAAGTTCTCAGTCAGTCGGGCCGGCTCTCTCCCCCCGACGCCCCCGCTTTCCGCATCGCCGGAAGGACGGCGATCGGCCCTCGGTGATCTTTCTCTCCGGGACGGGTCGGGGCGGGGCGGGGAGATTTGGTTAACTGCGGCGGTTAACAGTTAGGGTTCTCCGCAACGAGAGCGGTGATCGCGAAAAGGGCATGTGGCCAGCACATGCTCCGCAGGGGATCAAGGCAGGGCCGGCACGAACTCGGGACTCGGGACAGGGCTCGAGTTAAGGCTCGGTCTCCGGGGTTTGCATTCGTGCTCATGACTCGAGCTCGGGACCCGTGATGCGCTCGACCGTCGCCGTCCCTGGTTTGACAAAACCGGTGGCGATTAATGGTTTCCGCTTCGCAATCGACAAACCCGGCCCGCGTAGGGGGGAAGGGAATTATCGACCTCGCCTTGATTGGGGCCTAAAATAGCCGCAGAATGTACAGCGCCCGCGCTTATTGGCCGCCAGGCGAATCGCGAATCTCTGACCGGACAAAGGGGAACGGCCGTCATGCGCAGGCGAGGAGGCCTCAACCCCCGGCGAGCTATTCCTGAGATGGTAACCCCGGTTCCCGGGCGCGGTGAAACCGACCGTCGCCGGCAGGAACTTACCGTCTTACAAACCGCTTATTACTCGCTCGCGATTCTAACCCTGGTTAGGCCCTCCACTGCGGTCATACCGCGGTCAACCGCTTTGCAAGTAGGCGAGTGGGTGGGGGGGAAGATTTGCGTCGTGGTGAAAGTGAAAGTGAAAGTGAGATGCGGTGTATTTTATTACGCGATCGGCTTTTGCCAAACGGCCAACCCGGTTGCTCTCGGGGCCTCGATCCCGGCAAATCGAAGCGTATTCTGCTGGGGGCACCGCGAGGGGGAGAGGACAGCGACCACTGTAACTCCCAGAGGCCGGGGTAAAAATGCGGCTATCGAGTGGCCGGCTCACACGTCCAACGGAAGTTGGAGCCTTCCGCTTTGACCCCGGGGCTTGCCATAATCATAATCATATCAGATACCTGGAAAATATCGTTCCAAAAAAGAATGGCGAGGTCCGGGGGCTGCGATTGGAGCGCCGCTGCCGCTCTTGTAAGAAGAAGAACGGGGGGGAGCCATTTGAGTGGCAGATCGTCGGCACCTATCACCGGCGCTCGTGAGAACGTTAGCGGAGCGGCCCCCGGCAGTGAGCTCTCGATTGGAGAGCAAATGTCCGGCCCGCTCATTGGCCCGATGGTGGCAATTGCCACCCAATGGCCTAAGCCCACGCCTGCCCCAACCATCGGTGACGGCAATCCCGCCCGGCTCTGGCCAAATTGGCGGTGCTAGAGTGAGCACGACCGCTAAATATGGCCCTCGGTCCTTACGGTAAATCTGGAGACACGGAGCTAAACATGGGCACCAGCATCAGGGGGAGGGGAATTTCGCGATCAGATTTCGCGGCCTCGATCCACCTCGCTCCTCTCGCTTCTTTGTCTCCCGCTCGCCTATTCTGCCCATTAATCTTCCTGCGTATCGTCTCGATTAGGCCGAGATGTGATCGCTCAGCCGGCTCGAACCTCATACTCCTCGTCGTTGGTCGGGGTTTATCCCGACTAACCAGATTCTGATCGACAGTTTTCTCCATTTACGTGACCTCGACGCTTCCAGGCGTTCACGTTTGTGAGCATTCTGTAACTGTCTTTTCCAACCCATGACATTCCCAGCCACATGTTACATTCTCGTTCTTAATCATTGGACTAGTCTCTCTCGTTGCATTATTTCCACCAGAATTTCCTTCTGAGTGTGACACCGACTGACGCTACCCAGCTCCTCCCCCGGTTGAAAAGCATCAGCAGTTAACATCCTAGAAATTATCAAAACAAAATCAAAAGTCAAGTGTAACGAGCTTCGGAAGGCCTCAGTCCTTTTCATACATATTATTATTTCTTTGACTATGATTTTCTCAGATAAAAGGAGCGCCCCATGAATTCCGTTTCCATCAACTATAGTAAACACCTGATTAGATTTAAGAGAGGTAGTTGTGAGATGGGAAATTTGTACTCTTGATGCATGCCATACACGCCTTTCTAGAGCGATGAAATAACATATGCGAGTCATGATGTGACCAAAATTTGAAAAGTGTGGACTTGTTCTTGTGGATCTTTTCAACCGAGACCGATTATTTTGCTTTAACCTCCAAACATGTGTAGAACGTGCCCTCCTCATGAGAGCTAAAAAAACAGTAGCGTTCCACCCCCGATTACGTTGATGTTGTGAGCCACGACTTTCTAAACTACCTGATGTAGACCATCTTGGTACGTCCAGCCTTGATCGTACTATTACGACCAATTGAGTAATGATTTTATGATGTCGACAGATTCAACGATGCGAGTCAATATGTATAAATGAATCTTAATGCCTCACGAATGGCTCTGATCTCCTACGAAGAAATCGGAATAATATGGGTGTTGAATGGTCCGAGTGAATCCCCACAAATACTTCCTTCTTTTCTGTCTTTTCTCTCCCATGAATATTTGACATACAACTACTCTGAGCTGGAGGTAGGTCATAGTCAAAAGTTCGTTAACATCTGAGGAAGATCTTCTCGCGAAATAACACTCATATCTTAACTATACTGGATCCCTTGAGAGGGGAGAATCTAGAAATTAGTCCAAATTCACTCGTGCAGATTATTGCGATGCTGGCCAAATTCACCAGTGGCTTCGTCCTTTTGTGTTTGCACACTGGAAAGTGAGATGTTACCTCTAAGAGGACTATGACACGACCTCCAACAGTATTTCAACTTTAGCAGCAAATGTGAGAACGGGGACTCAATATGCCAGTCCTAGTTCGTTCATAGACCGACTGGAATAGTCCCATAATTCCTGGCATCTCGGTCATAGGAGGAGCTCGCGTATTTTATATTTCGTCAAAAGCTTGAAATCACCTTTAGAGGCTTTGTCTCATGAGCTCGAAGATTCTAATTCACGTAACCACAATGGGAACGAAGAAGCATGATCGGGCCAAAAGGTTTATCAGGTTGTCATATGCTTTGTCCGCATATTATTCAGTCTGCTCGAGCAGTGCAGGTAAAGATGTTTGGGGGTGTTTTTTAGTGAGAAGCATGAGAACGTGACTAACTAGACGCTGCTATGATTGGTCAGATTATGTGAAGGCTCGGACTGTATTGGCAATAATAGACGAGAAGGGGCATTCGAATAGTGTGCGAGCTCAGAAGGCCGAGGCTCAGAATGCTGCTCCACCAGTCCAGGGGTTGGACAAAGTGCAGCGGAATCATGGTGGAGGGAGGAGAGAGAGGACCTCGTCAAAAACGAGTAGTCCTGAAATCTTGGCCGGAACAATAATTCATGTAGAGGGATGCACGAGGTTGAAGGGAGGAGCTGTGGCGAAAGAGACGCTCTGCATGCACTTTGCCAAAGGCGGGGAACATTGCAGGAGAGAGAGAGAGAGATACTTTTGGTACAGCCAGCCAGCCAGCCCCTTGGAGATGGAGTTGGAGGAGGAGAGGGAGAGGGAAAGGGAACAAAAGAGAGAGACACGAGAAAGCACAAATGTACGTGCAGAGGGAATTCCCCCAGGGCCGAAACAATGAGTCGAAAATGTGCTGCGAACAAAGCGAGCGGCGAGATATCGAGATCTCCACATCATCGCATCTGCATCTGCCAAGCAGATGTGGCGTGCAAAGAATTTAGGGAGGGAGGGGGGAGGGGGGAGGGGGCTCGCCACTCAGGGCCAGCCTGGAGTCCAGCCTGAGACAACGCCGCTTCCAGGCATTCTCTCTCGGCCACTTCGTCCCTGCTCGCCATATACTGCCCCCGCCATCTTCTTTCGCCATGTGCTATGGCGATGCCCGGGCATGTGAAATGCTTTTATTCCCATGTGTGTCTGCATCCGTTTGTCCTTCTCCTACAGTTCTCACATTTTTCTGACCCTCCGCCATGCCCTCATGACCTGTTGCTCAATATTCCGCAATTTTTACACTCTGCTCGTCTGCTCGACGTATATCCCTCCTGCCATGGGTTGACACTCCCCAACCCGACTGAATTGCCCGGGTCCGGTTCGAACTCAACCCAGGTTCCCCAACCCCAGCCCCAACCCCTACCCCTACCCCGTGAATTACAACCCCAGCAGCAGGGTGACATCGGCATAGCGGCCTGCGCGGTCGTCACTAACTACTCACAACATGCGGGGTATGGGGGGGAGGGCGGATATTGAAGACTGCATTGGGGCTTCGACTTGACTGCACCACCAGGGCCTCTGACTCGGCTGGCCGGTTGGCGGGTTGGCGGGTAGCTCAGGGCGAGACCGTGGCTGCTGAATCTCGGGCTGCCTCGTCGTCGCCACATGCAAGGCATGGCAGATCCGACGCTGGCCCAGTCCAGATTCACAAGCGCAGCGGTGGTTGTGGTTGCGGTCATGTGAGTTCGGGGCTATCAATATCTGGGCTCTGAACTGGAGCCCTGCTTTCGCCTTCTTTGCCACCGAAGTCTAACGGATCGCAACGCTACCCCCTGCTGCGACTACCCCCCTTCTGCTGCTGCTCGAGGCAAGCCTACGGGCATCCGTAGCCATAGCCATGGCGTGTAGCCGGGCTTGGCTGCAGTGCACCACCTACATAACATGCAAGCGTGAGAGCTTCAAGGTTCCACCACATTAGCCCACAGTACCGCAAATATTCCCATTCCACCGATCCACCAAACTACATGCACAGATTCAAAGCTGGACCAGGTTAGGTCGCTGTGGTTAAAGTCACACTCTCTGCCCCCGACGAAGGTCGTTTCTCCTCGAACCCCAAGCACCCTGCCCGCCTGCCGGGCTTCCCGGTGTTGGTCACGGTGGCCTGGGGTGGCAATGGTGGGGACAAGAGCCATGCCTTCAGGGCCGGGGCTTCGCTTGCGGATTCTGGTTCCCAACATGGAGAAGACAAGCCCTCGCTGCCGGACGGGCCCGATCGGGACCGGAACCGGAATCAGGCCCTGGCTTTTTGCCTCACCTCGCAGTCGCCGGTCACTCTGGCTAAGCCCCGGATTCGGCTGCCGAGGTGGGACGAGGCGACGGGGGCCGCGACGCCAGAGGGGGCTCCCCAGCTAACCACGTCCGGGAATTATGCTGCAGCCAGATGGACCTGGATTCGAGCGCGCGAGCGAGGGGAATATGATTGTGTTACTGACTGACTGCCTATTTGGGCCTGCGATCCACCACCGTCGTCCAACTTGGCATGTACCGGGTTGACATCGCTCAGCGTTGGCAAGTTACATGGCCGCCATGTTGTGCTACTGAGGCGACGAACAACTGGACATCTGCTGGCTCGACGTACGTGGGCTCCGTCTGGACGAATGGCAGCCGTCTCATTTCCCGCTACGCCATCCGCCATGGGAAAAGTCCAACTTGGGGAGCGAGAGCGGGCGATTTGGTCGAGAGGGGTTCAGATCAGACTTTATCTACGTCCGATTGTGTGTGCGCAAATTCTACGTCTGGCCCCGACTTCCGGGCATCCGATTTCGGTCCCGTTGATTCAGTCGGAGGTAGCTGGGGGCCAGTGGAAGGAGCACGTCCTGCCCCCGAGGGGCTCTTTTGAATCCTCCTGCCCCCTGGAGATACTGCGTCCGCTGACGAGATCCCCGCAACGAACTGAGTGGACATGGATTGACTGGATTGACAATTTGGCAAAGGCCCGGGGGATATTATCATCCTCGCAGGCCCAAAGATCGTCCGTCGCTTTAGGCCCCGGGGCTTGGGGCCGGAGGTTAAGTCAGACGGATCTCGGACCGGCTTGAAGTCGCAGTTGACTGCAGGAGCGGACGCGGTAGGCCGAGGGAGGGGCTCGACGCTCACGACGGCCATGCCATGCTTCTCTTCTTTCCTCGCCTTGATTACCCCCACCCCTACCCCCACCCCCCACAACCCGCACAAGGGCAATGTATCTTTCCATATGCTAGCCCACGCCCCCACACATGTCTCTCGCCCTCGTCGCCCTAGCCACCCCACAAGAACACCGACGGAATAATGCGAGGCCGACGCCAGAACGGACGGTCTCGGCTACCGCAAGCCCACCCCCGAAAAAATAATTAAGCCCCGGAAATCTATCGACCGTCCGTTCCGTGGCAAAAGCAGCAGGCCCGCCTTGACGGCTGGGAGGCATGTTAATTCTGCTACCTGCGCTCGCCTTTCGTCGGAGTGGGGATACCGCATTCGAAGAAAACATGGTTTCAGAAGGCTTGGGCATGGGCTTGGGCTTGGGCGAGACCATATCCGGGACGAGGATTTTCTTCCCGGGGGCTCGCGGACTGCGGGGCTGGGCGGACCGACACGTAGAAGGAAATCCGTTACCGTAGAAGATCCGCGCTAGACTGCCCCCGTAGGTAGGCCGAAGGATCTTATCCCGGGCGGGATACGGTATAACAGCAGCGGCACCTGTTGTTTGTCAACTCCATCTTAATTCAGTCGGTGGATGAGGTCAAATGGGAGCGCAACTTACTTTCCTTAGAATCGTGAGGTGTTTGCATCATGCGCGCGCTCTAACTGACTCTCGCGGCATCCGTCACTGGGATCGCAGCTGCGGAATCATTCCCCACATGTTCCCGGTCGCAGGCGGTGCAGATTGGAACAAAATTTATGCCCCCCGCGCATAAATTTTGCTGCTTGCTCTCGCGTTAAGACGCGGTGTGCGATAGTCGGGCTTATCATGCGAGCGGGGTTCGAGTTAATGCATGCGTGAATGCCCACTAGAACTCCTCCTCCTCTGCATTCCTCGGCGACAAAGCGCCAACAGTAATCAGGGTCGGCTCGGTAAATCTCGCTCGCTCGCTCGCTGCTGCTGCTGCAGCAGCATCTGTAGACAAAGTTAAAGTGCCCTGATTTAGGCCCTTTCGTGGAGCCACTGTTGCGGTCAAAGGCCACGAAGCATGTGCACATGAAAGGTAGGGAATTGTGGGCTTCGTTCGGTGCATGGTTCGTGTTCGTGTTCCTGCGATTATGATAGTGAGAGAAATCATTCCTTCCATGGGAGAAACCGTCCACCGTGGAGACGATGCCCTCAGTCATGCCGAAATAATAATAATCCTGCGACGGGGTCAAATTATTATTCTACGCTTCGAGGCTCGCAGCGACATTCTCTTTGACATCATCACAGCTTAAGCCCCTTGGGTACTTTTCGTGTGATCCCTGGGGGCAGTGCGAGGCAGGCAGACCACCGAAAAGCTCCGAGCCCCCGCCCCGTCGTCGTAGATCGAAGCCCCAGCTTGCGTAGCGAGGAAATTTCCCAGAACAAAATGCAAGGGCATGCTGGCCTCACATCCGGCGACATGTAGATATTTTCAGTTGTCGTGGATTATTTTATGGCCGGACGAGACACATTTGTCGATAGACTTGGAGCTTGTAGAGCGGATGATGTGGAAAAGGAAATAACATGCTCGCTCGCCTCGCCCGCCCACCCCCCGAACCTGAGGAGATATAACGAAAACGTGCATGGACGGTTTGCAACCAGTAACCGACCGGTTGCTGCTGCTGCTGCTACTACTACAAGAAAAATATGGTCTCCGCGTGAAGACACGAGAGGTGAAAAGCATGCAACAGCAGCAGCAGCAGCTGCTGCTGCTGTTGGTGCACTGGTAATGCGATGGTGTATGTTCTCGAGGCAGCCAGTAGACTTCTGAAGCATATCGAGCCTGGAGACCGATGTGCTCTCACACGTTTTCAATGCATTCTCCATGCCCATGTCAAAGATGACCTCCATGACCAAGAGCTTGTCACCTCGGCTCACGTCAGCATCGTACTACACCGCAAACCCTCGTCGTCGCCTTCGCCGATGTGCTGATCACCGGCAGCATTACCCCAACCCCAACCCCAACCCCCTCGTGTGTTCTTTTCTTTTCCTTCCTTCTCTTCCCTTCCCTTCGCTTCTCTTCTCTTCTCTTCACCATCCAGTCACCGTTTATCAGGGGTTTCGAATATACCCCCACCCTCACCCCAACCCCAACCCCCTCGTGTGTTCTTTTCTTTTCCTTCCTTCCTTCCCTTCCCTTCTCTTCACCATCCAGTCACCGTTCATCAGGGCTTCGGAATATACCCCCACCCCCAAGCCCCTTCCCCCTCCGCACCCGCTTCCCCCATCCCCGGGCCAACAACAACGAATGAAGCCCAGGGCCTGCATCATTGACGCGCGCGCGCGCGCGCGCGCACGGGTTGCACCCCGAGCCGGGTCCGGGGTCCTGTTGCACCATGCGCGTTCGGGGAGGCGGTTCTCGAGACGAGAGAACTCTTTTTCGTATCCCCCTTTTTGTTCCACATCTCGGGGGCATATACCCACCGTTCAAAACCCCGAAACGTTCTCAGGCTGCTGCCCCCCTTCACCCCCCACCATTATTACTACTAAGCGCGAGGGGGTTCCGTCTAAGCCCTCCTCTTCCCCTTCTCTTCCTTCAAGACACCATTCCGAAAATGCGCTTTGCTCGACCTCGACCTCAGACACCGACTCAACCAGAAACGTGAAGACATGGCCAACATGGCGACTATGTATGTGCCCGTCATGAAAGACGTGCCCCCGTGCAGGATGTTCCTCCTTTGTCTTCGGCGCATACATGGTGCTGCTGAGGCTGCCGACATCCCCAACATCGCCCTCCCTCCCTGCCTGCTCGTCACCTCCAGCAACATTTTTAGTCGCCTGATGTTAATTATGCCTTGTCGAGCACATTTGATACACAACTCCATGAATTTTATGCACAATCGTGCTTTTTTTGTACGACCTGGAATAACTGGATGATGGCGAGCTGAATCCCTCGACTCCTTCTTATTCGGCACAAGTGAGAATGTCGTTCTCCCAGCTACACTCAAGTCGTTGTGATCTGTAAACTTGCTTCATACGCCTCCATGTCTCCACTTTCCAAATTCCAAATTCCCCCCCAAACCGAACTCCATTTTAAGTGAGATTTCATGCAGAATTGTGTGCAGTGTCATGCGATTCTTATTATGACCTGAACATGCCCCTAATAAGGACTCATATACAAATTTCTAAACTCTTTCCACCTTTGGAATTCTCCTTGTCCCCTCGATACGTATTTCCTCTTATGACCTTTGTTTGACCTCCGATTCAAGCCCTGCTGGAACGAAGAGGTCGATGTCACAAATAGATCATAACGAGGGGGAGGGAGGGAGTGAAGTAAAGAAAAGAATTCCGTCGGTGCTCGTCTCCTCCCTGTCACGTCCACCTAAGAATTCTGGCGGGGGAAAACTCCATGCCTGGCATGGCATGGATAGTTGGGCACACCGCACGCAATTCTTTTAATGACCAGGACACGAAATATTGCCATGGCACGGGGAGGAGAGGGGTTGATGAGATAGCTTCCAGAGAATTCTTACAATTGGAAAGGGTGGCAAGGAACCCCGTGCTGCGAATGGACACGTATCAAGCAGTCGATGGGTAATCCTTAGCCCCCTCTCCACGTCTCGTGCCTGGAGTTTGAAAACTCGCGCAGGCCTCTTGCGGCGCAAGAGCCTCGAAAAAGCGTCCGATCTCAATGTACAATCGAGTCGCTGTCAATGGAAGTAGGAGTAATCGAATTCGAATTCGAGAGTACCTCCTATAGAGACGAGAATCGTCCAGGGCATGTTGGAGTCTGCTGGCTATGACTTTGTCCGGGGCTCGAGGTCATCATTTGTGCTAGTCCATGCGCAACGAACAAGAGCCAGACCGTCAACGAAATGGGGCAAAAAGGAAGGCGAGACCGACCTAACCCCGCAAGCTATCGTCGTCGCCATCGCTGCCCCGGACACGGAGGTGGAGCTCTGAGTCGGTACATGCTCGACAGGCGAGGCGAGGGTGGGCAGGGGAGGAACACTCATGCTCATACATTCTCTCGGGGACAAGGAAAGTGACAAAAGCGCGACGCAGACGACGACGACAGCGCCTTTGTCCTAAAGCGCAGAGCTCGGCCAATGGCCGTGCCCCAGCTCGCCCCCCAGCCGGCCTCGCTGCCATGGCTCTCATCCTCGGGCCTGCCGGGTGTCGCCCCGCCATTCGGGCCGAACACCAAAGACCGAAATCAATCATTCTCTTCTCTTCGCGAGAGAGAGAGAGAGAGAGAGAGTTTGCCATGGCTTGCAAAAAGAACCTCGCCGACGTCCCCTTCCTGCTCTGCTGCTGCTGCTGCATGGGCTGTGCTGTGTGCAATTTCGCGGTGATGGTGATGGTGAGGGGAATTCTCAGATATCCTATGTGTCCCTCCCTCCCTCCCTCCCTCCCTCCCTCCCTCCCTCCCTCGCATCGCTGTGATGTGGTGCATTCGCTCTCCTCTTCATTGCACTCTCTTTCTCTCTTTCTTACTTTCTTACATTCTTAATTTGTTGATGGTTGCTTGGCTGCCTGCCTGCCTCGACTGGAGGTCCTGCTACCGTGGTCGTCCGTCTTTCTTGTGTCGCCTGTTTCTTGCTTGCTCTAATTCGCTGGCCTGAGGGTGACGGAAATCGGGAGCGAGCGGGACGTCCGATGGTTGGTTGGAGTCTGTTGGACGATTCGGAGGGGGCTGGACGCTTTTTGGTCGCCACCGTGAGGTGCATGTCTGGGATTCGTACATGGCGCATGGCAGGAACGACACACATGCCCCCGGTTCACAGAACTGGCATGAGGAGGGATACCTTTTGTTGTCTTTACTCGGCCCTCAGAGAGAGAGAGAGAGAGAGATGGCGATGGAGAGAGCGACCAGACCAGCGGTGGTAAGTAAATGGGGCGAAGACAATTTGGCACATTGACAGGCCGGGCTTTGAATCATCATCATCATCATCAATTTAACAGTGAGCGACACGCACGCCTCTCGAACGTCATCACCCTGCCACGTCCTGATTCGCATCACCTTTGTGATCAATGGCAGCAGACAGACCAGCCCTTCACACTTCTCCAGAAATTACCTCCCGTGACTCACTCACAGTGCACTGGGGGGAAGGCTTGGACACTACCCCCGCGAGTGGCAATCGAATCTTCGACCATGAGCATCAAGACAAGGGCTCACATGAAAAAATGTAGCAATGCAGACCCTCTCCATGATCTTCACACCTGCGACTCCGAAATTATGAAGCAAACTTCGTGATCAAGTCGCTCACTCCCTCCGTCACCCCTCGTCATGCCTAATACGTCCAAGGCCTCCAAGAAGTGGGCGAGGCGATTTATGGCCCCCCCTGCCCCCTAACCCCCTCAGTGGATATGGTCGCTCCGAGGTCTCTCGATTCACTTCTTGGACTCTTCCGCTGCTCGAGCATTACTCGGCCTCCCCTCGAGGTTTATCTGGAAAATTATGTTTAGACAAGAGCCGAGCCACTTAATTAGCGTAATCAATGCCTTCCACCCCCCTCGTAATTGGCCCTTTTATTGCACGCAAATCTTCGGATTAATCATCCGCTTAATTCTCCCCCGGCTCTTCAAGCTTCCACTCTCTTAAAGCGTTACGGGGGGAGGGGGGTGGGGAGGGGGCTCGGATGGCGACCATGATTGCCTACAGTTCTCGGATTTCTGACGGATGTGAGGTCAGCCGAGGAGACAGACACACGGCGTTAGCCACAGGTAGAGGGGTTCGAAAGTACGGGCGGCGAAGTGTTGTCTTTAAGAGATTTGGGCTTGTGTTCATCTGCATAATGGGGGTTGGCGGTGGGGGAAGGGGGGGTTTAGGGGGCTTAATAAGCACCATGGCAAAAGCTGGTGCGCTGTGCTCTCCCGAGCAGCGACATCATCAAGCGAGATGAGATGAGCCAACGGTGTATGCGAAATCACTGTCCTCATTACAAAGTACAGATTGATTACAGTACTGTGTGTGCTGCTGCTGCTTTTGACTATTCATTTGCCTCATGTTGAGATGGGATGACGCCAATCTGATTTGGAAGATGCGATTCCGGTCTGCCCTACTTCTCACAGCTCTCATCATACCACTAGTCATGTGGATTTATGTTGTTCCACTGTCACGAGGTCATGCATGACTCATGACCGCGCATCGGCCCTCCCCGTTGCAGGACATGTCCACAGGCTCGCTCTCGATCGAGGACTCTGGCCGCACCCGAAATTCCCAGGTCTGGACAGATGCCCCAAATCCTTTCGAGTCATTCCACTTGCCGGGAAACACCTCAAGCCTTCGACGGGCACCAAGTGTTGTCGAATCGATGTGCCTCGCACTGTTGTGGATAATTCCTCCGGCAACCTCCACGCATCCACCACGAGCGCAAGTCAGCAGCCCTCGCTTCCTTTGCTTGCTTGCTTCGTGTGAACCCCCCAAGGAGTATCTACCGGCGTGTTTGTCAATCCCTATTCGCGACCTACATCTAGCCCAGCCCAGCCGCAAGGACTCACTCTCTCTCTCTCTCTCTCTCTCTCTTCGATCCTCGCTTGACCTCGACAAAACCGAGGTCCACCATCGCTCAATGGAATCCTTGTTGCTTCGGGTCACTCGATCCTTTATCCATGATAGGATAAAATAAAACACACGGGCAGTCTGAAATCTGAAGATAAAGCACATTTCAGAGAGAGAGAGAGAGTTTTGAGCCGGGCAACTTCTGGCAATCTTCAGTGCGAGTTGGATCTCGGCATGTCTGATGTTAGAATGAGCTGCTTTTTCATGGGCGGCTCGATCCACCATTCCATGACGCCCAAACTTCTGGGAAAGAAGGAGGGCTCGGCCCAAAGTCTAATCCCGGGTAGCGATGACTTATGCCGACCCCCCCTTTCTTTATCCAGCCCCTGCAGAAGTGGCATGTGACAGTGTGCCGAATACAAGATTGGCAAACAAGCTTTTGGTGGGCGAAAATGTCCATAGCTAGTGTTGTAGAGAGCACGAGGGGAAGGTCAAGGTGTAGGTGCTTCTCGCGGGGGCAAAGTCTTCGTCATGTGACTACGCAAATGTCAAACGTGCCTTATAGCATCGGGATTAGGCATGTGTACAAATTCATCGTGTCCCTGGGTCCATCCACCATCGTCGTTGCTGGAATTGTTTCCCGCATGGATTCTTTCGGTCAATATGTGTCGGGGGTTGGGGCCGGGGGGGCCTGGGGGGCTGGGGGGGCTGCATCATTCGCCAGCCCCCTAGACTCATCCTCAACCGATCAAGATCCCCCTTTACGTAACGGAGTAAAGATTTCTTTCGCAGGGGGGGGGGGGTTGGGGTTATTTCGTTGGGGGTTGGGGGTGGGGGTGGGGTTATTATTTTTCCTGCAAAAGGTCCCGGTAGATAAGCCTAACCCCTCCCCCCTTACCCAGTGCCCCATTAAACTACGCGCTAACTATTATGGTCAGCAGTCGAGGTCTTGCTTTACGGTACCTCGATGCTGGCGATCCCTGGGCATGCTCTTGGATAGATGGATAATCGGACAAGTACACCGCAGAGACTTTATGCGGGTTTTTCAGCTATGGAAGCACCGAGGTCGCTTGCCTCATCCGGATGGAGTTTGAATCTGGAAGTTATTCCATGGCCTCCAAAAACCACCACCACCAATAAAAATGGCTTGCTCCGCCACCCCGGCCAGCATCAAAGCTTCGTGAGCTCTTGTCCTCGCACGTGGACTGCTCGCCCACGCATCTGGCCTTCTAAACCGTGGCACTAACACAATGGCAGCGGCTGGATTGACGCAGTTTCACGTCTCGTAGTTTATGGTTCGATTATTGCAATTAGCACGAGCTACTGACCGAGTGAGGGATGGACTTTTTAGGAATCGAAGGAGCCGAAGTCCAAGGGGGTTGCGGTGGCCCAAACATCTGATGTCTTTGGGGTACTGGGGGAGCCCAAATTCTGCAACACTTGGACCGAAAAGTTGCAAGAATTTGCAACTTTGACTGGGAACTTGCATAATTTATCGTAAAAAGTGTTGACGGGTGCTTGATTGGTAAGTGGGTGCAATTAGTCTCCTCCAAAACCTGGTCTGCATAGGATCAACGGCGACTCCATGGTCCGTGGGAGGGAGCGATCTGCTGCCTCGAAAGGTCATTCTTCCCTCGGGAGCACCATCTTTACCTCTTTCTAAGCATAATGCGGAATGAGATGATGTAGGTGGCCCTATTCGTGATCCAAGAGGAAAGTCAAGATTGAATAAGTGCAGCTGCGTTTCGGGCATGAGGCAGGAGGAGGGCTCTGTCCGCAAAGAAGACAAAAAGGGAAGTCGATCATACTCCTCCTCCTTCTTCCAGATTGTCGTCTCGCTTTTCGCCATATTCTTGCATGAGAAAGTACGCTGGCGGGTGAAGGGTGAAGGGTGAAGGGTGAAGTTTTCGAGTGATCGGGCGGGCTATGAACGAGGGTGAAGATGGGGGACAGCGCTGTCAACTCACTCACTCGACCGGGGGAAAAAACACATTCGTGCCGGACGAGGATGGAAGAAACCGTAGTCGGTGTCACGACGCAGAATCTAGAGCCGGACAAAAGCGATACTGGTCTGCACACGTTTTGGCAACCCTTTTCTTGCACCGCTGCATTTCCATCGGGCTTCCGTCACGCATGCCAGAGCTAGGGTTTACCCTTTCCTTGTGCACCACCGATTCCGCGGCCTCAGCAAAGAGTGCTTCCTTCCGCTCATTCACTTTTAAAAGATCCCCAGTGCCCAAGGCCATCAGAAGAATTAGAAGAAGAGTGCATGCCAATACTTAAATTGGTACAAAATGGCTCCAAGTCCAGAGGCTATGAGGACATAGAGGGTTCCCTTTTTCCTTGCAAATCCACCGATTCCTCGGACTCGAAAATGAACACGCGGAGGAGGACGAAATATGCTGCGGCAGTGATATAGGGGCATGGAGCAATGGGCGGTAGGGGAGATTAAAGAACATGTGACTATTTCTACGGCATACGTTCACGCGACGGGATCATGATGGTCAGGGCCATGGTAACTGAAAAATCATCGAGGGCTTGAGTGCGAGTTCACGCGCTGGCAATGCAAGGCAAGCTACGCGGATCGTGGTCTACCGTCGGCGAGTGGTGGACATTTATCGCAGCGGGTAGAGAGAGAGGGAGAGAGAGAGGGTGGACTCGGGCTCAAAAAATGCGCGAAGCGAGATCCGCGTTTTCAAAAAATCGATGCTGGAATCGAAGCAGAATGTTTCGCAGGTGCACAGATCACATGACATTTGCTGGCCCCGGAGTCGACGAGCTACGGTGGCCCGTGTGCACACGGAGCAGATTCTCGTTGAGAAGTCGAGTTCAGGCGACGACGACGACGACGACGATAATTGCATGTGCAATGTATGTCTGGACAAACTCCATGACTCCGCCTTTTACTTTATCCCCAATGATTCCGCCTTTCTGAAAAATCTCTTACTCGCTCGCACCCATCCTCCACCCCAGGCCTTCAAACGATCGCAACATGTTTTCTAGAACGAACAGCACATTTGCCATGTGATTTGGACCCGACGAGTGACGTGGAATTCTCCATAAAAGTCCCGCGAACCTCTCGAGCCGAATAAGCACCATCGCTCCTCCCCAGAGATTATTAGCCCATAAGAATGTTCCCCACTTTACCCCCCTCTGCATAAGCCCTACGTAACTCGTACTTTTCCACCATTAACCCCCCGACCCACAGCCCCGACTGCGCTGGTATCCATGGACGAAGCCCGGGTCGGGTGCTTACTGTGGGGCTTACGGGGACTGGGCAAGCGGCAAGTGGAAGCGAGCGAGCATAGTCAAGTTTCCAGCATTAATCCCCGACTGCGCTGGTATCCATGGACAAAGCCCGGGTCGGGGGATGCTTACTGTGGGGCTTACGGGGACTGGGCCAGCGGCAAGTGGAAGCATGCTAGAGCGAGCGAGCATGGTCAAGTCGTGGTTGCTTGACTGTGACTGCAGCAGCAGCAGCAGCTGGAGGCATGCGGACAACGACAAACGTGACAGCGTTGAGTCGACCCGGAACGACGGACGTGAGGGTAGCCACCGTGGTGGACTGGAAGCCATGTTGTGCGACTGCCAGGGCGGTCAGTCGACGGTCCTGCTGCGGTCGCCTCTGGATACTGCGGTTGGGACAAAGTCACCTTGTCGGGAGAGTCGATAAAGTCGTGGTTATCTTCTGCGCGCGCGCTCGAGTCCAGTGAGTTCCAGTTCGGTCTACATAGTACCGCCTCGCAGCGTAGGTACGACTTACTGTGGTCATGCGTAGGCTCGGCTGACACCTCGTAACATGAGGGGTGATGGCTCGTTCTGCCGCCTCACTGTTCCGGACTGCGCTGCTTCCTACTTCGTTCGATCGACGCAGTGGGTCTCACCCAGCCTCCATTCGTGCGTCAGACTGCAGCTTCTGACCGACCGACTGTGCCACGGAAAGAGCGGATGTCATGGTAGATTGCCCGAAGTACACCTTTAACCGCATTTATTCGGGGTCTCGATGAGGACAAGGTTTGCATAGTGCAATTATGGCGTCCACATTAACTCTGCTGTTAACTTCAATTTACAGTTGGGGTGCTGTTTCATCAAAGGAGCAATGCACTTTAAAAGGTCCTCTTTTTTTTTTGTCTCTCTCTCTCTCATATTCATGTTTAACCATGCGTACCAAACAGTGGGATTATTGTGAACTTTTTGTATTAAAATGTTACCAAAGAGAACACTAATTTTAATTATATTTTGCGCACAAAGTGAGATGTGCACCGGTCTGAACTTTAATTCATGGAAGTGCACGTGTCTCAGCCAAACTATCACACACGGGATCGCTGTAACTTTCCAACCTAGTTTCTTGCACAAGTATTGTCTTCGACCCTTCATTAGCAAAATCATCAGCAAATATTCAAGCTCTCCATTGTTCTTTTATGGAGTTAACCGAAGCGATTGAGGCCATTACTCATGATATTATACACCTGATTTTTATATTCTCATTCTTAAAGGACTTACTTTACAGCAGTTTTTTTGTTAGCAACATAATTGGACACAATTTGACTTAGAACTTAACGAATTTGAATGATATTTATATATCAAATACTCACTATATTTATTTACATAAATGAGATTGGATTTTTATTTTTTTGAGATTTATATGAATAGTTTACACAAATTTTGATCACAAAAACTACCCATGAAATAATTAAAATATTTTTGACTGTTTAGGACCCCGAGGAATAGCTATGTAGAGATTTGACTTCTTTGCTTCTCTTAAAATGAAAGTATGAACATTTTGTGAAAGATTATCATATTACATGGTGTATTATTCAATTTTTTACCTCTAAGCACTGTTTATTCAGACAACGGATACTAGTTAGTGTAATACTCTGTACTTTCGAATAATTATCCTCTAGATGTTCGCTTTGCATGTATGTAGATAGTTTGGATAGTTTGACATAGTAACACATCATTTCTACTGTGATGTCATCAGACCTAACACCATATTATCCATTTTAATACGGTTATAATTACAGCTCTTAATGTACCCAATTTATACATCTTATATGAATTTGTTTTTCCATAGTGATGCCATTGATACGCAATTCTATGTTAGACCTTCGGGTTTATCCGTGTAAGACTCGATGAATTTTTTCATCTTCTGAAATTTTGTTTTAGATTTTTTCCGATTCACCTAAAAAAAAATTCACATGCTTCTCATATCAACATCAATAAAAGAAGATACTTATAGATTTTCCCAGAAAAGTATAATATTTTTGACGAGCCAACATATACACTTATAGCCAAGTATATATCACAATTGGTTTTTTTTTCACATCTATATAAATGTAGTTTCACATAATTTAATGATTATGAGTATGAGATTATAATATCCAGATAAAAGAAGAAAATGTAATTATTGAAATAATCGGACTTCACTAAATGATTTCAAACAGAAGATATAACAGGTTATTTTTTCGAAATTTTGAGCCAAATTATTATTTATTCATTTATTTATATATTGGAACAAGCTCATCGTTGATTTTATGAACCTTGTGGAGGTTATTTCAATGTCTATATTTTTGTGATTTCATACTACACATTTGAACTACGGCTCAATATAACACAGAGACGTTCCGTTTAGATTTAACATTCAACTGAATCGAAAGATAGGGAAGCAGCATAAAGAGGTTGAAAATCTTAGGAAAATATTTAATGTACAGATAATATAACTTACTAAGAGAAAAATAACACCTATTTCAATTTATGCGATAGACACAATTTTTCAAGGTTGCTAACAACTAAATATATAATTGCATTTGATTATTTTGATGCATGTCCCGTGTATTTAGAGTTCTGAAAATTAGATATGTAGAAATTAAAGCACACTTATATGTGAACTAAACATCAATTATTAGCCAATAGACTTGGAAAGGAATCAGTACTCAAGCGTTTGATGAATTTTGGACATCGCAAAGCAAATAATATGGAGGAGTTCGTCGGGACAGATTCAGTCTATTAAAGGCTGAGCAATGAAAAGAATGAGAAAGGACTGAAATACATGCAATCGTTTATATGATTGGACTACATGGTATGACATTAAGAGTTGAATATATATATATATATATATATATATATATATATACTTCGACGGTCCATGACTAACTCACATGAGAAAGTCTTGTACGTATTTAATGATTTGTTGAATGGCAGGGTAAAAGTTGCAGTCGAAAATCAAACTGATCTGATTTTCTGGGAAGTTCCAACTTTTTTGTCCAATGACACGAATAAGAGATAGAACCCAATCCCATAGAGTTATATATGACTTGATTCAATCGCAAACTTGAGTGCATTCCAAATTAAAGATGAACTTAAAACGTGCAAAATGAGGAGTAGATATAAAATAATGATACTTCAACTTTAAGTAGGACTAGTTCGACAGTTATGGAAGCGTACCTCTTACTAGGAATAAAAACCTTTGTTCATGGATACTTAAACAAGACAAGATCAAATAAAATAATCCTACGACATGAATACCTTAAGATTAAAAATAATAATGAAAATTGTTTCGATCGAATAAAGAAATGATATGGTTCAATCCGACATGTATTTTTCAATAACTTCTGTGACTGGAGCAACGTCGAAACGTAGTTCTCGACGGCGCCTCTGATCGCCCAGGAAACTTGGTCACGAACGAAATGCAGAAGAGGTTCTGCAGGAGGCCGGAATGTGAAATTCGAGCTGGACCTCGGACAGAAAAATCATGGCGAGCAGAGGGCCGAGGCTCGCAGCAGCCGCAAGTACAGCACGCTCATGACGCCCGCAGGGCGCTTTTGTTGCGTGGGCAACGATGAATGCAAGTGCACAGCAGGCGGTCTGCTGGCCCCCTTCCTTCCCTGCACTGCAACGCACTTTTCTCCATGCGTGCCAAACCTTGTCCTCTGCGACGTCCAGTAACACTTTGGGTAACGTACGAAAGGTACAACCCGATGTGTATGCAGTACGTGGTACGAGGCGTGTACACAGGCGATCTATACTTGTACAACCGGGAGCGCCATGACATGTAGGCACCATTTTTAACCCCAGCCCCAACCGCAACCCCAACCGGAATCCCCGAGTCGGCTTTCGCTGCGAAGACAGCGCTGTCTTCGTCAGCAGTGGGCTACTATACTATATACGCCCGGCAAGCTGCCGGCCTTGCCCAGACGCCCTGGCGCCCGGCAAGCCCGGATTGCCACCGTCGACGACAATACGCCGTCCGCGTCCGCGCTTCCGTCTGGTACCGCAGCCGTCGACTTGACGGGGCTCCCGCGAGCACCGTTCCCTCACGATACGGTACCGTGCCCCCGATGTATCGAGCCCCCGTCGACATTACGTAGAGTTGTCCGTTGGCATTACCCGTACAGAAAACGGTGCGCTACTATACAAGCCCCAAATCACACCATTCTCCTCACGTTGGCACTGCCGGCGTTGGAGTGGGCCCCACGGGGCCAGGGCGGAGGGAGGAGATCGAGCCGGGGCCTGGAGCTGGCGCAGGGGCTGGGGCTGGAGCTCGATCGCCCGACGATGGCGGGCCAAGGCGAGGCGAGAATTCGTCACCGTCAGGCGGACGGGCCGGAGCCCGCCGCTGGTCAGGGGCAGCCAAATTTAGCGCACCCGCGTCCCGAGTGTGTCGGGCAGAATCCGGATTCCGGTAGAGATGTGGGAGCAGGCCCAGCAGGCCCCAACAGGGGCTGGCTCGCTTCGGTGCGATCGATGGCAATTGGCAGCGTTCGTGAGCCGAGGTCGGGGGGCTACGTGGGGGGATCGCAGAAGCACTGTTTGCTCGGGGCTGATCACGTCCCGTTCCGACCGCAGTGAATATATGGTGGCTAAGATTCCTACCCCATCGAGCATCTCTCTTATCTGCTGGAGCGGAGCGGATGTTGCCGAACCTGAAGGCCCAAGGCGGGGCTTGTCAACGATCCCGGTGGCACGCGAAGTCGGAGGTGCGTCGTTTCCGCAGCCCCCCTCAGTCGGCAGAATATTCCGCGCCTCTCTCGCAGCGCATGTGGATCAGTGGGGCGTCCATGTTGGCGGATTCTTGAATCAATGACGAACCACGTCCGCACCGCGTCGCAACAGTGGGTATTTAAAGTTCGCTTTTTAGCCCCTTTCCCTGAGCCTCGCGCTTGCGCTTCTTCCCGCACGCTCCAATCAAGCTCGGGCTCTGCGCCGGGAGGAGGCGGATGTGGAAAGGTCGCGCACAGGGGCTTAAATGCGGGCCACCTGAGCCGTGCGATCTCCGGGCGGGGCTCGCGGCGCCGTCCGATGCGTCCGCAGATGCGGCACCCGGCTTGGACGCTGGGCTGAAGATGCCTCGGGGCAGGCCGGGGCTTCTTCTGTGCATGGGGCTTGCAGCAGCAGCAGCAGCGGAATCCTGTCGTGCTTATTCCTCTTCCTTCCTTTCGTCGGGCTTGTGTCTTGGGGGGCTGGGGCTGGGGCTCGGGATTCATTGGGCTTCCTGCTTTCTTTGTTTCTTCACCCGTGCTCGAGCATTCGGCAGAGGCGTGCACAGGGAACGGAGTGGCCAGCATTGAACTCCTGCCACACTCAATCCCATCGCCTCGCCTCGCAGCTGGGCACTGCTCATTCCTCCATTTTTGGCGGACAATGATTCTCGCACAGGCGAGTAGTAGCGTCCCCTTTTTGCCTCCCTTCTCGCTTCGGCGAGTAGCGGCGTCTTTCTGCCCTCCTCCCCAGAAGAAGCCCCAACCCCAACCCCAGCCCCAGTCCCAGCCCCAGCCAGAGCTCAGAGCCGAGCGGTCTCCTTAGTACCGGTAGTCAGTCGGAGGCGAGTAGCAGCGTAATTCGTCCATGAGGCTTAATTGTCCGTGTGAGAGACGCGGTTCCCAGCATTTGGTCGGTTCCAGCGCAGCAGCACATCCCCCGCTTTGAGGACCAACGGGGCGTATCATTACTAACAAGCGCCAAACTGGGATCACTCACACTCGCAGATTCTCGGCCTGATTTACCCCCAAATTTACCCCCGCCCCGGATTCTGCTGCCCTCGGCTCTTCCTCGGCTCTCCCTCGCCCTCGATGCCTTTCTTCGTCCCTGCTGGAGGGCTTCGTGTGCCCTTGAATCCTCGATGATCTGCCGGAATCTCCATTCCAGGGATTTTTCTGTCCAGGTCCTCTCTAGCCTCGTCCAGCACAGCAGCACATTCTCCCCAGGTGTATTTTCCCTGCTCGCAAAATGACAGCAACCAGCGCCAGAACTGCAGAACAACACCGACACGACGACCGGAGTAGACCCACTGCTCCTCTAGTCACTGATCAGCAAAATCCGGAGCTTGCTCCCTCTCCCTCTCTCTGCTGCTGCTGCTGATGATGATGATTCTTCTTTCGGTTCAGTTGCCCCTGCTTTGGCGCGGTGCACCGGATCTTGAAATGGCCCTTTCCTTTCCTTTGCTTTCCTTTGCATCCGGCTATTTGCTTGAGTGTGGTTGTGGAACAAGGGGGCCGTGCTCTGACTGCATCCATGAAGGGATGGCCGTGACAGCCTCCGCTACTGGTGGCCGCACTCAATCACACGCCTCCACGACCTTCCGATATCCAAGTTTTGAACTTCTTTTGCTCTCATTGATTGTCGACTGTGATTGCCCGCCGTCCTCTCTCGGCTCATGTCTGTCCCCCACCACTCCACAATTCTTCTCGTCCCTGCCCTCCGTCAGAACGAATCACTCATGATCGATTCTGTGCTGGTCTCACTCTTTGCCGCCCTCGTCGCGGTCATGGCTGCTCGAACCCGCCTCCCACATTGGCCTCACCACTGACAGTCCTGTCTCCATTTCCGTTCTGCAAGGACATGTTTTTCGTCACTTTCCCTCCGTACTCCATCACCCTTTCGTCTCTGCCTCTCTGCCTCTCGCCCGCTTTCTCGCTTCCTGTGGCTGCCAACGTTTTCCTCATCACCTCGGTTCGTTTTTCCTCGCTTTCCTCAACCATTTCTCCACTCCCCTGCTTTGGCCTTTGGCCGCCACTGTAGCCCCGTATTGTTTTCAGTGCCCGTGCTCGGCTGAAAATGGAGCCCCCGATTTCTCCGGTGCTCCGGAAAATAAAGCTCTCCAGCTCGACTCCCTGGCCAATGACCTGGAAAGCAAGAGTTCCATCATCCTCCCATTTCTCTCCTCTTCACGTTCTCTGCGTCACCACGAATGTGGACCGAATGTACGAAGAGTTAGGGCCCAACACTATCCTCATTAATGTTTTTCTTCGTTTCTCCCACAGCCTGAAGACCCCAGGCCCAGTGCCCTGGCTGCGCGCTGCTATTCAGGAGCAAATATTTACGACCCAGTCGTGACGGTCACAGATAAAGGCAGAGAATAGCATTTTTAATTGTGAATCATTGGCGGACATATACTCCTCGATATCATTTCAGTTGCTTCTGCCAAGTTTCTCCGTCCTTATCATGTGGTTTCGCAGCTCTTCTCTGACCACTGAGAGACCAGTGCTTTCTAGCGTTCCCTGGCTTCATGTATTCCTCCACTTCTCTCCTATGAATGACAGTGGTCCTCAGATTTTGCGACCACAATAAACATGGCACGAGTGGAGGTTTACATGAACAGTTAGTTGGTTACAATTGGTGATGTGCTATTTTCAATACAGGTCATTTTTTATCAAGAGACTGTTTTACACATATCCATCTAATGGCCTTCCTGTGTGGAAACAAAATCTGAAGACTGCGAGAATTGAACATTTCCATGTAATCATCGGTTGGTTTCGTCCAAGTATATTAGAATCTCAAATCTTTTATTACAATCGACGGCACTCAAGTGTCCTGTCTTTGACTGCCAATATAAATGGTAATACTCAAACTTTCAGTATTTCTCAACTTCACGCACGTCGGACAACCGTGACGTGTCTTCCTCTAACCCGAAGCAGAGACATTGCCAAAAGCTTGATCTAAGCTCCATATCTCCAACGCCGCTTTGTGACAAACACGACATAAACCATCATTCTTCCCTGGTGGGAACCGTGATCTAGGTCGCTGCGGGATGAGGGTACCAGGAACTTTTTGACCTCTGCTGGCAAACCTTTCCCTTCCATCGCGACCTTGGCTAGCGCCAGTTTTCATCTCGTAACTTCAAGACCATAATCATAGAAGGAAAGCAAGCATCACAATCGCGCCTTTAAGTAGATTGTTGATGATTGCTTCCCTCATATGCTTTTGGGCGTACCACATTTGCAATAATTGGAAAGCGAAAAATATCATACTGAGTTAACACTTTGATCTGCAGGCAAATGCAATTTTTGTCAGAAGGTGTGGAATCCGTAACTTGTATGCAAAAAGCTTCTGCTCTTTTCTACAGGCAACAAATGAGTACTAACCTCGTGGTTAAAAGAACCGAGACGATCAGCGCGGAAAAATACACGGAGAGTTCTGTATAGGCCGGGAGGAACCTGACATGAGATGTGAACAGTTTCATACTTCAGCGTCTTTTCCAAAATCTATCAATCGGCTACAATAAGTCGCTCAGAAAGTCGATGGACAACAGCAACAAAACAAAAGTGCAGCTTTTTTTTGTCCCTGCAAGATGGTCCTGCATGGACCATCTTGCAAGGACAGAATGGAAATAGATCCAAATGCAGTACTTCGTATTCAACGACAATGTGACATACCATGCCATATTCACAGAGTATCCTGCAACATGGGCCAAGATCTTCAAACCTAAAGCGTCCACCATTCGTACCATGATAATTTTGTAAAAATGCCACCTATTCCCATGCCGGCAGAGCAATACCTAATGCTTGTTAGATATCTTTAAAATAAAATGCTATGTTTAGACATCTCTGAGAGCAATGGAGCAACTGTCATTCAGCCTACTGCTCTTACTAACATACATTGCCAAAGCTCAGTTCTACACTCCAAACGGTTACTCGCAATGTCCGACTGAGCATCATGTTGGTGATGCTCATTTCTGCTAGCGATCCTCTATCTTATTAGCTCATATGGTTGCTCTTTGTTGTTCTTTCCAAAATGCACTGGCCTCTGTCCTCTGTCAACAATTTCGTATCCCCTTATTAAAGCTTTGGGAAACCTTGGACGCGAGACTGACGAGGTCAAGTGTCCTAGTTCAGAGTATAATACCTTCATTGATATAGTACCGTATTCGACGGTACCGAAATCTAGACGATCCGGTACTAGCAAAAACTGATGTGTCCAGTCTATAGGGGGTCTTGCACGCAACTTCAGGCCAGCGACGGATGAAATATTCATTTGAAGCATTGTTTGCAGGTTCAAGCGCAAATATTTTTCATTTTTAAGCCACTCAGCTTTGACCCAACTGCATGGACAAGAAAATTCCAAAGTGAATAGTCTTCGTCTCGCGTTCCGAACACCGTGAGTTTGTACATGTCTACTAGGGGTCGAGGAAGTGAGAAAGAGAAACGTCAATGAGCCAAGAATAGAAGCTTTTTCTAAGTTACTGCCCTGCATCCTTTGGTAATAACGAAAGAAGACTCTGAAAATTAGCAGAAAATTACCCAGGTCGATTAGGCAGAAGCTCAAGCTGTCGCTGCACAGCCTCATGATTGATATCCCAATCGACTCCAACAGGAGCCTGCCAGAAAGGCGGTAGTTCTGGCAAAGCGGGTTCAGGCGGCGTTTCTTCAATTTCCCTCGCAATCTGGAAATCAAATCAATCCTCTATGTTAATCAAAGAATGAGCTTCATCAACTTGCGCACTGCAAAAGATGTTTCAGCCAACAAAGAAAATATAGAGGTAACAGAAGTCGACTCTTGAAAACTGTACAAAGGGGTATATGATCAAACGCTTGAAAGCTTGGGTACTACTAAGCGCTGATAGTACAAGGAGCTTCCTTTACAATTTACAGCTCTCCTGAAGACATGGCCAGCTTTGAAGATAGTTATAAACCACCTCAAACCACAAAGGCGAACACGGTTCTCTGAAAAAAGAACTCGGCTACAATCGTGATAAGGCGAAACTGAAAACTGGAGGACTTAGTAAACCATTACCTGCTGAGTCCAAAATCATAATTAGACATGACAGTGTAGATCAAAACTACTCCCTGTTGACAGACTGCACTAAGTCATTACTTTTCTGGGAAATTGCAAGCCTGTACGCCCTTTCCAAGTGGAAGAACTGAGATGCAAAATTCACCCTTCTGAGAATTCCCCTTGTTCAACTGTCTAAACTCTGAATAAAGACTGGACCAAAAGCTAAGCAAGATATTATTACTGTACAGCCTGCAATTCGTTGGTTCTTCATAAGTATCTTTGATCAGTCTACGCAGCTTGGTGCAAGAGTTTCTTAGTAAGCTGCCTAGTCTGCCTGAACCTTCCCTACAGCCTCTATCGCATCAAAAGTCTGCAGATTCTCGACTGAGGTTTTAGCTTTAGGAATCCGAAGATGGAAGATCAAGAAGGCCGTCATATGGTGCTAGGCAGACTATATCCTTGTTGTGAACTGGACAACTTGCAAGGGCAACGTAGAAAGAAAACCTTGAGCAGACAGGGCAGCCTGTGACAAATCCCTTCGGTTTCAAAATATTCAGGCTGTCTGTAATATCAAGAGGATTTTACCTCACTGTCGACGTTATCCCCTTCCGTATCTTCAGTCGGCGGGTCTGGATTGTTGAGATCACTGCTTACAGCCACATTCTCGTTAAAGTAAACAAACTAATTTGTCTCTGAGAATTATTCAACTCATTAGGTCATTCATACAGGTAGATCACCAATAGAGCTGTATAGAGGCATCAAATCTGATGTCTCTAGGTTAAGTTTGTTAGGTAGCACACCATTTGTGCACATCCACAAGGAGAGAGGAAGAAGCCTTTTGATATGGCTGAGAAGTGCATGTTAGTTGGATATGATGATACTAATAAGCATTACAAGATTTATAACCCGTTGACTAAACAGCTGTTCGGCAAAGGAGATATAATCGGAATGTGAGATCTGATGGTAGAGCATCTAGATCAGGACTTTAAACCTTCTCGGGAACTTAGATTGTAGACTCCCAAGAAGGAGAAATTCCAATTGGAGGAGAATGCCCAACTGAGGAGCTCGATGAAGGAGAAGAAGTGAATTCTCGTAGTGAGCCCGGGTTTATAAGAGTTGCACCCATCAAAGTTTACCAAAGAAGATCTCGACCTGCAGCTGAAGAAGTGAGAAGGTCAACCAGAGTGTCTAAGGTGTTAGACAGGTGTGAAGCAAATCTACTGGTGATGGCAAGTGTAACAGAAGATCCTGTTACATTTGAAGCGGTCAGATTCTGATTTAAATCTATACAGTTTCAGAACTCATGGGACGTAGATTATTGCAAACCTGTATGTTGATGATCTGCTCATCACATGGAAGAATCTCAACCTTCCCTATGATAAACTGAAATGAAAATTTAAATGGGAATTTGATATAAGTAATTTGGGTCCAATGCAGTATGTTAGAATACTGTTATCCTCCCTATTACTTCTTGTCTATGCGGATTCGTGCAGTTAGTGTCTTCATAGTTAGGTCTGTGATGTGATGATGTGATGTGGACTGTGACTGTGATGTGACTGCGACCCACTATAGGGGTGTGTCGCTTTGTATCCCTTGTCACATCCGTTACATCCCTTGTCCCGGATTGGGTATTCAAACCCAATCTGGGACCTGTGTTTTATCAACAACTCTTCTGTGGATCCTTCCTCAGAACTAAGGAACCTGTGTCGATGCATTCACTTTTCTAATAAAGTACTTCTTGGTCCTCCAGATTCGGAATCAAGAGGACTGCATACTACTTACACGGCTTTAGTATGTAAGAAGATACTTACAGACTTCCAGATATTAGATTGTAAGCGCATTTTATTCCTATGGAACCACACTTGGAGTCAAATCTGTCTAAGTATGCTATTCTATAAGCAATGAAGGGGGGTATTACGATGTTTGCTTGCAGTAACATCGCAATACCCCCCGTAACAGTAGATAGTTAGAATCCAGTGAACAAGCTGACCTCTTACATTAAGTAACATAATTAGTGAGTTTATTAGGTTAGACTCATTTCTAATTAAGGTAAGCGCACCTTCCCAAGGCGAATGCCCACATGTGCAGTGTACGATTTATCCTCTGTAAACCCCAGTAGTCATTCTGAACATTCTCTAACCCTGTTGCAATTATTTACTGCACCTTTGCAGTCCTCGTACTAGAGTGAAGCTTTCTATGACATTCCTATGTACTCTGAGTGGCTAAATAGCTGTTTGTGCATATGCATGAGACAGGAATGAGAATATTGGTTCTGACCTGTGACTGTCATGATCATACGGTTGGTACTCATCAACCTTAGGCTCAACGTCATTCTCATTCTGAATTTGGTCTGGTTCTGCTTTGCAAGTGCTCTGCAAATGATAACATGTAAACTGAACAGTTTGATATAGATGCCCCAAATCTGCCACGTTTGCTATGTAACTAGTACAGTACTTGGAAACGGTCTTCTCTAGGTCACGGCTTGAATATAAACGAAACGCATCCACTGTGCATCAACTGGGGAAAACAGGGAACGGAACCGTACAGTTGAGGGCTGCGGTCAACTTCTAAGCTACAAAGAATGTTCCTAGTTGGTGTTTTTCTTTAACACAAAGATACAGGTACCAAAGTTGAAAGACGAACCCCCATATCAAATCCAACCATGAAGCAAGGTGTCCAATCTGCTGGGCCAATCTCTGGCTTTGGCTTCTTTGCCTTCGGCGTTTCCCAACAAAGCTTTAATCCCTGTTCGAAATAAATGAAATCAGAATCTTGGAGTTTGACAAGGTTAAGTCAATCTAGACAACACTTCATTCCTCCACGAACATTGAGCCTGCATGCTGTCAAGTACAAATTAAACTGCTTTCTGAGTATGATCAATTCATTTCTCTCTTAAGTTGGTGAGTTTTCTACCGAATGTGCCTACTGTAATATCTTGAAAACAGGATGAAGAAATATATCCAGCTCCTCAAAAAGGGCAAACCTAATGGCAGAATTAATCTGTTCGGCATCTTGGTGATAATTGAAGGCCAGAACTTAGAAATCTAGATGTTCCTACTCTCTTTACTAACAGTAAAAGTAAACAAACCTCCTCCTCCAAATCTTTTTCTGCATCCACCTCGGTCGGCTTTGGCTCCTGTCAGGGTAAGGCAAAATCTTTATTACTTGTATCTTCGGCAAGAGCAACATGACTGGCTACATTTGTAGAACGAGTCTGACCTAGCATACACATTTTGCTAAATGGACCATCAGGAAACAGTCCAAGAAGAATGTGGAGATATATGTGACAATCATACTACTCTCCAAGGCAGGGTGTCAGATTTCAATGCAGTTTTGGAGCTTCCCTCCTTTTTACACATTAAACCAGTAGATCTTCCATGTGCAGCCAAGTTGGTAGTGGAAGATATGGCATAAAATGGATCTGTACCTCCTTGTACCATTCTTCAAAGAGACATGTCTCGGGTTTGATTTCTCGATCATTCTTTTCCTCCGTAGGTGGTTTTCGAGCGGGAAAATCATAAGGATCCTGCGAGAAAGAAAAAACCAACGACACATAAGCCTTTTCATCTGAACATACATCAACATACTACTGAGAAAACGAGTGTTCTGGAGAATTCAGATACAGAACTTGTCAACATTTTCGAAACGACAAGAAATACACTCGAAAAACATGAAGGATGGGTTCCTTACATTTCCCTCGTCAGACACCTGAACTCCTTGTTGGCCAAATTCCAAACCCTGCTCTGATCTTGGAGGGGTCGTCTCCACAGACCACCTCCTTGGACCCGGTGGAGGTCTACGGTAAAACTGTACATCGCACAAAGTGGAAAGCAACAGTCTTATTGCACTCAGCGTGGCATCAGAGAGCAAGGGCATACAACGACTGAAAGTCTCAACCCACAACATGCACGTCCTTGATCAAGATACAACCAAGGTTCCATCTATTCACGTTGTATCCACATTGTTCTAAGTCAAAGAATTCTATGAGATACTAAACCAATTATAACCTGATCTACTTGTTAATCTCAAAGTCAGTTTCTTTCTGTATTCAGTAGTAAAATAAGTTTTAGCAGTAAAATAGTGCTCGTATATAGTCAAAGTTTGTTACGAACTTTTACCATTGTTTACTCCTCATTTAGTTTAGGACTTACGATAGGTTTGGCAGCCATCAGCAGCATTAAGATTAGGTTTCCGAGTTAAGACCTCGTATTCAAATTTGAGCCATGAGTGATCGTTTCCAGTGATCATATTCTCACATCATATCTCTGAGACGTAATGTGAGAAAACGATCACTTCACATCTGCTGGTTTGTTGAGAAGTGGAGGTGTGGTTAACACTATATTTGAAATTTGAGTTGGTCAAAATTAAAGTGCGGTGAGTGCTATATACAAAAATCTAACCCTAGTGTTGCTGCTCATGACGCACTTGAGAATAAAGAGGAGTGCTAACAAGCTATGGCTAACCTAGGAGAGACAGTAGTGGCATAGTATACTTCTGGTGACATTTCTTGAAGACATCCTAATCAACTGCTGTAACAGAGTTCCTAACATCAAATAAGCAAGTCTAAGTCATGACACTGTTGACAACCAACAAAAGCACTTTGTAGAGAATCTTACATTTTGTGTATACATGAACTCCAAGCCTTCTTCACATTTGAAGTACAATAAGGCCTGGTTGGGTTTAGGTCTGAAGGGTGGTTTATCCTGGAACAAATGCCAGACCTTATGCCTGCATGGTATTTGACCTTTTTTACTTTCTTTGTACAGAAGCCACTGTCTATTTGATTCATCCTGCACACTGCGCTTTAGCCTTTCAAATTCCTGCAGTGATTCTGCTTCCTTCTCCCTTATCTTTCCGAATAATTTTGCAGCATGCTCAATCTCGACTGCCGCACGCTCTCTCGCCTCTTGTAATTTTTGCTCTGCCACACCCTATACTTTACTCAATACTAGAAAGATAACCTTGCATGAAGTAGCAACATTCTCTGAACCAATTTGAATCACAAGGCCTCTGAATTCCAACAATCAAGAACAAAACTCGAATAAAGAGCAAGAACCCTCTTTAAGCTACAACCTATTAAAACCTTATACAATCCAATCTGAGTCTCACTAGTCCTTTCCATGTGGAATAGAGTTCAGTAACTAGTCATTCCGTATGTAAATTGACATTCCGTTCCAAAGCTTGAGCTATGCTTTGGAACGGAATGAAGACATTGAGTAGGAGGTATCTCTCGCTAAAACTCCAACTGGTAATAGTACACCATCTCGTCCAATGCACTGTATAGGAGTGCATTTTTAAATACAACTGAACAGTTGAACTGAAGACACAAAAGTTAAACAGAAGTTACCTCTCTGATTCTCTGTGCGATGTCTTCTGCTTTCTTCTTGTCTTGAGGTGTGCGTTCATCAGGTATGACTTCAACGTCTCTAAGAATCATGGAAGAATCTTGCCATTCTTTATAAATCTCTAAAATTTTGTCCATTTTCCGAATTTGGGCATCCGTAAAGCGTGCATATTCAAAAACTTGACGGAACATTATGTTTGTTGTGTTGCAGAGGGGTAATACTGGAAGCAACTCTGGAACAACAGCCCTGGGTAAAAATGGCAGTTCCATATCAAGCTGAAGCCAATCACACTTACTACGCTTCTGCATTTTGGAGAGCACGGCCTTTAATTTTATCCGCCTAGCCAATTCAGGAATCTTCTTGGTCCACAATTTGAGTCCATCTGGAGCCCTGCAGCCCTCTTTCTTCTCCACCTCCAACTCTGATAGCTTTTTTGCTTTTTGTTCTACAGTTACAAAGGTGTGCAGCGCGACATCCACCGAAGCATAATCCTCCATAACTCTAGTGCATTCCTTCTTAAAGGTTTTTGAATATGCATATTTTTGAAAGTCATCCTCATGTACAATTTCTAATCCAAACCCTCCCTCATGGATGACAAATAGCCTGGGATAAGGTCCTAAAAAGAGGTCATCTACAAACTCTGTGCCTCCATCGATGGACCTTGGCGAGCTAACCGTGCTCATGGACGATGGTCCGCAATCAGGAGGAGGAAGAAAAGAGTCTTCTTCATCGTTCTGGTTCTCTAAAGCAGATTTTAAATGCACCTCCTCTATAACTTCTGAACTTTCAGAAGGTGGCATCTTTATCTTGTCTGAATCAGATTTAATATCACTAATTGGTGCAGAAGCTTTGGAGCCAGTCTTAACGGATGTTGCTTTGGAGTTTGGACCAGCCTTGATGGCTGGAGCTTTTGACTTAGTATCAGCCTTCGTACCTTTTCCTTTCGGTTTGGAACCAGCCTTGCCAACTGCGGTTTTAGACGATCCCTCTGTAGTCTGATCGGTAAGGACCGCATCCTCCAAGGGGACCTCTGATGATTCGACTGGTTTGTCGATACCAACTGGTCCCTCAATCCCAGAACCCACAACAGCTTGCGGCGGTGGTTCAGGAAGCTTCCCGGCAATAATTAGGTCAACTTTGAATCCCCAACTTGTCCGGAATCCATTTCCAGCGTTGTCTGTAAAGGTAAGACATGCTTTTTCCTGCATTTTAATCATTTACAAGCATACCTCGTTGATCAGTATGACAGATGTAGAGCCTTCCTGAATCTATATAAGAGAATGTAATGCATTTCTGTAGATCTTATTGAACAATTTTTATAAAAGTCAGGTGAGACTACTATTTGTTTTGGCCTCGTGGGATGCCTAAATAAAACAATGGTTGACTTTGTAAAGGTGCATCACATGTTGATCAAGATAGTATGCTCATCTCTTTATGATCATCTCTTTCATACTAAGAAGCAATCTTCTTCAGAGTTATCGGCAGAAGAGAAAGAAGAGCAATATGAAGGAATATGCTTACCAGATTGAACTCATACAGCCCATTCGTGTTGATGAAAGGAAAACCTGTACTTATCCGATCATGTGGCATTTGTTTGGGATCTGCTTTCTTCGCACCATCAGAAGGATCATAAATCACGATCTTTCCACTTGAGTAGAACATACTCCCATGGGGCATCAAAAGACTTAGCTGACCACTGTCTCTGGACCATGTAGCGCAATACTGACCTTCTGTTGTAGAGAACTCAACAGCAACTCCACCCTTTGTGTTTCCGTGTACGTTAGGAAATCCATCCTTTCTTACATGCCACTGTGCAACACACAATACCCGAGATTTATGATTTTCAACAACGTTTGAAACCGTGTCAAAATTCTCTCTGCCCAATGAAGGCCCAACACTACCAACTTCAGTGCGAGCATTTGGCTGTCCATTGGAACTGACAACTAGACCTTTCGTTTCAGATGGATTCTTCAGTGACTTCGGGAGAGGTTCAGACTTGGAATCTTCACTACCATCTTTGGTCGGTTTAGTGTCTGTAGATAAAACGACCTTACTGCCAGCATTAGGAGCTAGGTCTGGTTTCAAAGGGCTTCCTACAGGTAGCTGCAATTTGTCTGCCTCAATGGTAGAACATCCTGGAATTTTCTTGCTCGAAAGCGTTGCAAGAGTTGCCAACGTAGCATTTGCATTGAAATTTTTTATTTCGTCAAGCATCTGCTGGCCAACACTAGGTCTGTAATCGGATGGTGTTACGTCGATCACTTCACTGTAAATATGCGTTCCATCTGCGTGCTGGACAACCCGAACACTCTCATCTTCAGTTCTCACCACAACCACTAGATCCTCACGTGTCAATATCGAAGAACCAGTATCAGGATCAAAAATCTCAATAACCTTTTTGCATGGCATTTCCACATGAGGTACCTCGACAACAAGAGAAGCACCTCCTACAGGAACATCTATGTTTCCGAGCAAGACCTCAGAATCAACCCCTTCGTTTGAACGAGGTGAGAATGATCCCTCTTGTGGACCATCCATCAATTCGGTTTCGCCTTTTCCTGTTTTCCCCTTTGAAGCTTTCTTCTTGTCTTTTTCCTTCCCGTCTGTCTTGCCTTTCTCTTTATCCTTTCCATCGTCCAGTACATCTTTCGCTTCCTTGTCCTTTCCTTTCTTACCTTTTCCTTTTGATTCTTTCCCATGTTTTTTCTTGTCTTCGGGGCTACTAGCTCCTCCTTCGACAGGTGGGACAGATTCCATCTTTAGAGGATCAGTCTTTGGTTCAGGAAGCTGCGCAAAATCCAGGGAAAAACAATATATCAAATTCTCAACTTCATTTCACAAGAATGCAAACGAAATATAGCACACTCCCACTCGTGATTCTTCAACCGATAAATACGATGTTTATAACTGCCAGTTATTTCAAAGTTGGGATTAGTTTTAATCACTCGTCTAGTTTATGTCGATTTAAAAATATACTAATATGATCTTTGCTCTACTCAATAGACTGCGCAGTAAGTCGATTAAATTGACACTAAACCGTGTACGCGAGGATTGTCGCATACTTTGTAATCGCAAATGTCAAACCAATTCTGATGCTATTGAAATCACCTAGCCGCGCCTTATCTTCAAGGAGAGAAGACTATTACCGAGTGAAGAGGTCTCTCAAGGATTCCTCCCCATAAACGAGTTTGGTGTTCGAAGTGTAAGCCATACGACCCTCACTACATCATCCACCTGTAAGTTTTCTCGCCCCTAATGATTTGGTTCCAAATAGAAGCAGTTGTTGGGCTTTACGTCACAGCTAAAAATCTCCGAGTATGACACTGGTGCCACCAGCTGAGCGGGTCGTGGTATCATATCAATCTCATTTTGTCAAATGTGCTACATGTAAGCAGATTATAGACGATGGATTCGTCCATTCGAAATACAATTTCAACTACCTCAGCCTTGTGACTAAGAACGTCACACCCTGTATATATTGCTTGAAGACCGCGGGTTCAAGCCATAATGTGGATAAGAGAACAAATTTTATATTCGTATTCTCCCTAATTTGTCTCTCTGGAAGATCAGATAGAGCTTCTGTCTTAGTTTGAATTTTTCAGATCTCTATCTCTTCCCTACAAAGATCTGGTCCCGAGGGTAGCTTTGATCTAGTTTTCAGAGTCAGAGACCAAAAAATAGCGAGAAGAGTTCATTCATCTGATCATTACTCCTTCCTGCTTGAACCTGAAGATATCCTAGAATAGTTTGTCAAAGACGCTGCTACACATTCTTAAACAATGGTAACGACGGAAGTAGCACCTCAAGTTTGGATCAGAGTATGAAATTCATGGTGTAGCAAGTTCTTAAGTTATTCAGTAGTCAACAGCAAAATAATTGATTACATAGCAGTTTACCTTCATTGCGGATAGGCCTTTGTTGTTGATAGTGCACCAGCCGTATGTTATTTCGGGTTTGATAGCAGAAGAAGATATATCTTCGGACGATGGTTTTTCCTCCACGCTGGTGCTACTGTCGATACCAGCTTTTTCACAAACGGCGGTATAATCGCTCACATTTCCATCATTTAACAAAATCTGAAAGACGGACCAGCTAGAGCATAAATCAGGTCAGACGAGTGTCAAATATCTCTAGGTCTCTTTATTAGATAAGGGGAGAGCAGATGTTGTAAACCAGCTGGTGTGAAACAAACATTTTAAGACTCATCTATGTTGTGGTCGCAAGAAAGGAATACTCCTCGATCAAAGAGTACATAATTAACGTACTTTGAAGTAAAGAACAAAAAAGGGATGCCAAAAAACAGAAACTAGAGCAATAACGATTGAGAAACCGAGATAGATTTCCTGTGGGCTTGGTTTTTCTATCCTAAGTAGAAAATACATATGACATAGAAGGCCACCGCAAAAGACGCTCGCAGTATAACGCTAGAGTCTTATCTCTGAAATAAAGATACCCCACCCCAGAGGACGGCATCATGTATGAGATCGCTTCTGGTCTTTATTTACTACAAATGACGGAATCCAAAGTAGGATCGATAAAAATTGAGAGCCACGCGAATGAACAGAATTAACCAATTCTGACGCACGAATACAATCAGAAAGGCAGTACCATCCATGCATGAGGGAACAGAAAGCGTAGGATGGTCGACATAAAATTTCACACGCACTCGTCAAACGTGGATAAGCCTAAAACGACAATTGGACATTCAGTGAATGAAATAAATATTCATTGACACAGGCAGAATGAGGCAAATGAACATGATGCAGGTTATGCACAAGTCCATGGACCTATCTGCAACATTAAGTGCGGTGACAAATTTACCTTGACAAACTCACGAGTGCATAAGTTCCAAACGTAGGCTTTCCGGAGATGCTAATGCTTACAAGTATAACAACGAGTGACAACTCATTAAAGAAAGGAGTCAAATAAGACACCAACTTTAGGAAGTAGAAACTCTCATGCATAGGGTTTTCCGCAGTGTGATCAAAATATACCTTCATTTCACCGTTTTCTTTGTAGGAAATAACGCTTCCGGTTGGTAGAATGCATCTTGATATCTCCTTCCCACCTTGCTCTTCTTCATAAACTTTATTCAAAAACTGTAAGTCACTTGATAATTTCGTCTCCGTGTCTGACGTAAGCACATGCTGTGCTTTCACTTCCGGCTCAGGTTCTGACTCAGAAATGTCTGCGTCTTTTTGTCCTTTCTTCTTGGATTTCTTTCCCTTCTCCCCATCCTTTGAAGGTTTTTCAGCCTTGCTATCACCTTTCTCTTTCTTTCCTTTTTTCTTTGCCGGTTTCTCCGTTTCCTTTGAAGATATTCCATCCTTGCCATCACCCTTCTTTTTCTTTGACTCCTCCCCTTTATCCCCTTTCCGTGGACTTTTCTCAGCGCTGCCATCTCCCTTGCGCTCCTTATCTCCTCCCCTCGAAGGAGTCGATGGATCGGACGAAAGGACGTCGGGAGGCGTGGATGGAGCAGCAGTGTTTGAAGGTGGTTCATCTGCGACTTTATCTACAGGCAGAAATACAACCACTCCCGATGAAGTCAACTCAAATGTTCTACCCGATGGATTGTTGACCTGAAGACTCAACGTTCCGTCTTTCGCAAAGAAGAAGCAGACAATGACACCATCGACCAGAGAGGCCATTACAGTTCTCTGCTTCTCTGATGATGAGTCGCCTGATGTGAAAACGGTGTCCTGTGCAGGTCCAACAACCGACGAAATACCTTCGCCCTCGCCTGGCACATTTTCTATTGTGGCTTTGTCATCCTGTTCCTTGTTTTTTCCTTTCTTCGACTTCTCCCCTTTCTTTCCTTCTTTCCCAGGTTTGACCTTCTCATCTTTTGTTGACCCTTTCTTGTCTTCTTTGCCAGGTTTTGGACTGGAATCGCGAGACCCCGCTTTGGACTTCTTAGATTTGACACCTTTCTCTTCTTCCTTCGGAACTGCGCCAGCATCTACTGGTGATTTTTCATTTTTCTCCTCAAGCTTCTTCTCAACGAACTTTTCTGGTGCCCGCAGCGTCACAATAGTTCCATCCTTCAGACAAAAAGTGACAACTCCCTCGTGAATGCTTTGACCTGACTAAGCCAAGACTTGCATATGGTCTATCCAAATTGACCTATCGAAGTTGTGAAAACCTTGTCAAATGTCGATATGGCCAAGTGGGAGCAGGTTTTGAAGAAAACTTATGGAGAGTAACGAATGACTCTGCAGCGAACGTGTTCATACTGCTTGAAGATAGGGTAAATCCCGAAGAGACCCGCGCCAAAGGGGTCTCCAAGAGTTGTGGTTTATGTGGACTATAAGAGGTGACAATTTCTGAATACTTTACGCTCCATTACGCTGTTCATACATTGTCGTGTTACAATATTAGCTAAACTGTTATCCGATTCAAACTATAAAATTATCTCCTTAGATATAGTGCATCAAGTACCTTGTATACAGTTGTTCTCGGCTCGTACTGAATAGGAGACATTGCTGGCAATCCACAGACAACAAGCCCACCGTCCTCAGTCAGTAGATAGCGCCTCCTATCCTTAATACATCTGAAGCGTGGCTCTATCTCATATGCCTCTCTTATTCTCTTGATAGGTCCGATGTTGCTGATATCTTCGAGGCAGAACTCGCCAAACGGTACCTATCACACAAAAAGGTGGTGTCAACCACTAGGAAGCAGCTATGGCCTGGACAGTAGGAACCTAGGAACAGTTTGCGGCACAACCTTTGTTTAGCTGACTGTTACCTCATAGGCTGTGGGTGTTGATGATCAACGTAGTTGTGAATCCTCAGTACAAAGGTTTGGGTTCAGAATAGAGCTCAAAAAAGTCTCCTTTCTTAAGACTTGAAAAAAGAGTTCTAAAGTCTTTATATTCTACTCCTTCGAAGCAATTTGAAGGTACTGACGATCAACACTAGGTAAGGACAGTTTAAAGAGCAACATCTATAAAGACGATTACGAAGGAGATATCGGGATACATGATACCCACATATACGGAAATGCTTTCTTCGAAGGTTCGCTCTCCATCTGCTGCGTAGAGAACCGTCAAGACGCAGTCTTCATCTCTGTCATAGCGCAATATCTCAAATGGAAGATGAAGCTTGGCTCTTGCATAAACCTCTCCCATCAAACCATCTGCAAATCCTTCTGCATGCCTTCGATCGATTATAGACTCGAGCAATCGTTCCTTTTTGCGTTCCCAAGCCGCTATCTTGGCAGCTATGATGGCCTGCTCTTTCTCTCTTGCAAGTCGCTCCATCTCCAGCCGCATCCTCTCTCCTTCTTCCCAAATTGCTTGGAGATCCGGAGGTGTTGGAACAGCAAAGATCCTTGCACAAATTGGACACCAAGTCTTCACTACGTCTCCATCCAAACCCGGATCTGTATCATAGTGTCGTTCTGCATGCTCCAGCTCTTCAATTGTAGGAGAATCGTTTTGTGGATCTTGAACTTCTGGTCCGGATAAGTCATCTATAAGACCAATGGACATCTTCCTATCTAGACCAAACACATCCTGATCCAAAGCCAGAGACTTCTTCTTCTCCTGAATTACCTCAACAATTGATCTCTTTCTCTCCAATATCGACCTTCTTTGACGAATGGATGGTTCTTCCGGGGGAGGAGACATCGGCCTCGGCATTTTGGCTCGCATAGCAGGTTGAGAAAATATCCGCTTGCAAACATCACACCAGTCCTTCATCATCTCAGGAGCTAAATCTGGTGGATCAATGAGCTCCACGGGTTTGGGTGGATCTGGCTCCTTTGCTGGTCCTTCAATTGGAACGTCCAGATCTGGCAGTAACAACTTGTCCTCCTTTACCATTTCAAAAAACGTGGTCTGCAAAGAGAAGCAGACAAACCTTGTTTGTTGCTTACAAGTATCCTACGTAGGCGGCAACTTCTCCAGCATCAAAATCTAGTATGAAAGAGTTCTCTCCTACAATCTCCTGTGAAAGTAAGATTGTACTACCTACGTTAACAGTTTTGACTGTATACAAATTTATCTGAAGTAATCTCGGAGTCAAACCAGGAACAGAAACAGGAAAATGTGAATTGGATTAACAGTGGGTTACAGAGAGTAAGCAACTAAATACTTTCTATAACTCAAAGTAAGTGCAAGAATGATATTATAGATCAAGGGATAATTACAAGTAAGAGAGTATTTTATTTGATTACTATCCTTTTGGGTTACCTCGGTGGCTTACTAGTCACCAGCTACTGTTTATGTTTTCAGATTTGTGTGGCCGAGACCCAAAGCTGAACCTGAAAGTTGTGTTTATATTGTTGTTAAGTTAGTAGAGCAATCAGGTAAGAGGTTACATCTTGCCGTTGATCACTACCTCAGCTCCTGATAACAACTGTGAGCTATTGCATTCCTGGATGTGCTGGTGGTGATAGCAATCCACTGAATTCGAGTTGGAATTTGGTTCAAGGTGGAAAGTGCTACATTGAGAGTTCTCAAATAAAAGAATCTACCTAAGGTTTAGATTGAGTGTAAAACAATTGTGGCAAGGGCAAGAGAGTCCACATGACTCTCCGCCTTTAACTTGCTTCAAGGTGGAGAGTGTTAGATTCTCTGAAGATGAGAATGTAGAAAGCTTAACTTGATTCGCCAGATTTGATACCAAAATTCGCTTGTTTCACAGTCATTGTGGCGTAGACCATCCTTGACTATTGAGATAGAAGTTTTCCGACAATATTTACCAATTTCTTGTATCTTTGAAGGGTCTGCACCGAAACATCTGGACTTAGCGGGTTCGCTGCCATGTGCTCAGCACAATGGAAAATTGCTTCTTCGTCGCCAATAGCGAACCTAGGTTCCTCGTACTTTTCGCATAGGTCTTGTAATGCCGTGTGTGATGCGCCCATCTTCTCTTCAGAATGCTCAGGCTTTGTCGGCATTTTCCTCCTTCCACGACCTGAAAGAAGGTAGTAACAGCATAATAGCTTCTAACAGGGATTGTGGATTTTTCTATGTTCAGCAGAAAGGACCTTTGTTAAACTTTGTGATTCTGTAGGTAGCAGCTGATCCCATATTTGAGCCCAGTGCTATGATGTTTCCAAAAGCAAGAAATAAAGAGAAGTCTACATTTCTGTTGGGAAGTGTAAGAAATTCAAAGTGCAATCAATCAATAATTGAATTCATCTATTCACTGCAAGTTATTCAGGGAGTTACCTGGGGTAGCCCTGATTTTTGACAGGTGCCCCTCTACTTTCATCACGTCGACCGAATTCATAAATTGTGGCTTCTGTGGCTTCAATTTCAGAAGTAGTCTTGTAACTGTGTCGAACTCATGAGTTACGTTCAAACGCTCATCTAAGTCCGCAGGTTTCAAATATGGATTATAAGGAATCTCTGGCGTCCCTGCTTTTCGCAATTCAATCTCATCGCCCATATCGACATGCTCGTGGTGGACTCCACATGTACCAGTGATAGCTGCATGGCTGGTGCACTCACCACATGTTGCAGATATATGCATGTCTTCAGAAAGTTTGAGACCTGAGGGATTCTCCCCATTCTCTGGTGGAAAGTTGATATCAGAAACAGAATGAATGTCTTCCTTCAGACTTGGGGAGGTTCCACCCTTTTTGGATTTCTTGCCACCACCAGCTTCTTCTTTGGCTGGTGATCCTCTTCCAGACTTTGGTTTGACAGCCTCAGCCTTAACGGAAGATTTTTCCTTCGAATCTTTGCCAGTGCCTTCACTCATGGTGCTAACATTATCTTTTGCCGTTTTCAGAGTTAAAACAACCTCTCCTTGGGTATCGGATTCTGGGGCGGGCAAGCCTTCAGAATTTTTTCCATTGGTCAAAGAATTAAGTTGATCGTTTGAGTTGAGGACCACTGACTGCGCTGCATCCTTCTGGGAAAAATTGTACAACATTTCAAAACGCTTGGCCAGATTGGAATCTACATCCCTATCAACGCCCATCCACTTTGGATGTCCAAGCTTCTTAAAAGCTTCGTCCATAGCAAGCAAAAATCGCCTATTCTCGTTGGCAACTTCAAGGGCTTTTATGTCCTCCAGAGGCCACGCATATGCTGCCACTTGCTCCACCAGACAGTGCACAATGATTGGCACAGAGACCAATCCGGGAGGAACTTCATTAATAAGCCGTTTGTAGTAACTGGTGTCAACTTCCTGCAATAACCTCCAGCATTTCAGGACATCGAAGTAACGGGTATAACATAAGGAGAAGCGTATCACAAAGACGTTGAAAATTCAAATTCTCACACTAACAACACGACTCCTCCACAGCAGTGGCAGGGCCATTGTGCCTGGAATTGTGTGCTCCTTTCTACCCTTATTCACGATAACACGTATAGTCAGAGACGTTGAATACATCAGACCTCGAAAGGGACACCATACCTCGCAAGTCTTTAGTCCTTTTGACCCAAAAGCTGTCGGGACAGGGCGAAAAAGGGCGATGAGAGCTTTAGCTATACCCTATCTAGTGGAAGTTTGTGGACAAAGAGAGGTGTACATTAGTGTAATCCTATTCACTGAGTCCTTGCTCTGAAACGGTAGAGTGGGATTACCTCCAAGGGTTTAGCTGCTGGCACAGTGTATACCCTGGCAGTATCTCCTCCCATCTGGTTGTAGATTTCCACTTGAATAAGAAGACGCTGACAAGCGTCAATAACAGCCTGAGCTATTTCCTTATATGGTAAGGTATTGTCTCCTCCGACTTTTTTGCTTCCTCTCCTACTTTCCTTGCCTTTTTTCTCCTTCTGCTTTTCTCCTCCTTCATCCGACTTCTCCTCTGTTTCTCCCGTCTTCTTCTTCTTGTCTTTCTTCTCTTTTTTCTCCTTCTTTTTTTTTTCTTTTGGGTCCTCTTCACCTTCCTTGTCCATCTCCGGATTGCCTTTTTTCTCTTTCTTATCTTGCTTTACTGGATACCCCTGAGGTGGAAATTCTAGTTCCGGGGGAGGGGCTGGTTCATAGAAAACATCAAGTACAGCCACTTTCCTAGCTGGATCCGTCAATGCGCAAGTCAGCTTCAAAGCTCTGATTTCAGAAACTAAAATAGGAATGGCTGCCACTGCTGCCTCGACTTTTGCCGCTTTCGCAGCAGCTTTTGCTTCTTTCTTGGCAGATTTTCTTTTCTTCTTCGAATCAGTTGACTTCGAAGAAGATGTTGAAGATGTTGATGCCACACTCACGGCATCATCATCTCGTGGAGTTATGGGTCCCTCACTATCAGGTAGAATAAAAGGAACCTTAGGTTTCAAAGCCACGTTCAGAACACCACGAAAGAAACTATTTCTCTCAGCGCAAAGTTCGGCGATCGGTAGGGCTGAATCTAACCCAAGGACACAATATACGCGTCCAGTGTTTAGCGGATCATTCAACCTTGACTCAAGCTGTGCTTCATTGTCCAGACAAACTTCAACCTGCAAAGATTAACACTTTGAAGGTAACTAAGACTGTTCATTTGGAATAACAGATCGATATGATGGTACTGCATATAATGACCTGTTTCAGCCCGTACATGGATTAACAAGCAAACCCAAGCTGTACTCTTATTTCGTGCCTGCCATGGCCTGAAGAGAGTCAAACTAAAACAAAGCAAGAAGTACCAACCAGAACAGCTAACTATCCATACTATGTCATTCACTATTTTGACTTCCTATAGCATGATTTGAGGATATAAACAAACCTGAACCTCAGCCTCAAATACGGCATCTTTCGCCCTCGCAATGCCTTCCTCAAGCAACTTCCACTGTTCCTCAGGAGTCAAAAGAACCACAGGTGGTGGATCTGATTCTTTATCTTTATCCTTCCCCTTTTTCCCCTTGCCTTTTTCTGATGGAAAAGTCCATTCCGTGAAATTAGGGCAAATGTCAGGCCTTCTTAAAGGTCAGAATAATATTTCATTTAATTTCTCTTGAAATGCATGTTTTGAAGTCTTAGTGTGCCGGTATCAACGAAAGCCAGATATATTGATGTGGTTATCGCCATATCGTTGGACCAGTAACACTATGTACGTAGACTGACTGGGGTACTCGATCTGAGAGCAGGTCAATATATATGTCGCTTTAACCTTAAATGGGTTACATACTTCACATAAAAACAATACAAACACGCTTCAAAAGGTTCGTACCCAGCAGCATATACATTCACGCTCGACACTTTGCCTCTTCTACATAGACTCCGCAGTTATGGTGGTGGTGAACGTGTACTCAGTGAAAATTTTGCTAATGAAAAGCCCATACACTTTCTAGTTACCATTCATAGCCCGCTGATTTTGATCAGAAACATTTAGGTGTCTGACATAACAAATGACAAAGGTCAGTACTGCTACAAAGCTTTCGGTGAGATAAAAATCTTAAAACGTTGTACTAACCCTTCTTATCTTTTTTGTCTTCTTTTTTCTCAATCTTATCTTCCTTCTTTTCATTCTCTTCCTTTTTCTCTTTCTTCGCTTTCTTGTCTTTTTTGTCTTTCTTTGACTTCTTCAGACTGTTAGAGGTGTCAGCTTCCTGCGCAGCCTCTGCTGCAGCTGCAGCTTCAGCTTCCTTGGCTGCTCGTGCAGCTAACCTTTTCGCTGTCACCTCCCGGATTCTGTCTTCTTTAAGTTTTGCTCTGTACTCCTTCAGCAAAGTTTCGGCAGCTTTCACTCCTTCTTGAGCAACAAGCACAGCTGCCCTCGCATCCTGCACCAGCACTTATGTTGACATCTGAAAACTGTGAAAGACTTTCTCCAGTAATTTACGTGATTCCCTAGCCAAATGGCTGGCATTCTTTATCCGGAAACCATAACTATGAACAACCCATCAACGGCGCGGTGACCATTCCCACTTCACAGATCTCACAAATCTTCTATTCTCCACGGACGCGACTGACGACTTTCTGATCTTTTCCTTCAAAGCTTATACTAATTCAGGTGTCTCAACAAATAAATACTGCTAGTGTGGGAATACTGCCAAGAGGTTCTGCAGACGTTTGGAAAAGGGGCAGAACGCCTACTGCTTATCGATAACATGACAGGGGTTGAAATATCTGTAAGATGGTACGAAACTGTGGCTTACCTCGGTCGTCTTTTGTGCTTGAGACACTTGGTTTGCTCGTCGTATCTCCTCCAAACGATGCTCATCATCGCGGTCCAGCACAGACCTTGCTGTCAAGAGCCAGCAAACTTATCACATAACATTCGATCTCCATGTGTCACGCGTCGTTGAAAGAAAGATATAATTAATGTAAATGTCCTCCAACTATTTCTAGATGGCAATCGACCCAGAATAAGTCACCAACTTAGTAAACTAGAATATTGCGACATTTAGGGACAAACACTAGAGGTACATCACGGACATAACTTGGAAACTGTACTGAAAGAACATTTACATTCATTTCTATCATGAGCACGAAAATTACCAATCTACAAGAGCATAACATGTTATCTGTAAGGAAGTTATAGAGAAGATTATCAGCGAATAAAGAGTTCCATGCAGCCAAATCACGTTTTGACCCTGTGAAAGCTAACAGCCCAACCAGAAGTTGGCAGCTCAAGTGCTTCTATTCTAGGACATGCATAAATGGCTGATAGAAAGTCAACCCAAGTGGATAGATAGAGCAAACATCATGATTGATCAAACAGATATTATTGACCTAAAGGGTGTAGAACAGTTCTTCAAGAACAAGGACTATCTTACGGGGTATGAACGTCGTCAGAAAAATGACAAATATTTCAAGAACATCCTAACTTGTTTGTGATTCTATGGATTGAGTCTTCGACCTTTAATTAGTCCTCAAGAGCAAGCCTGTACGTAGCTCATATGACAGACTTCCTTGCTTACCATACGGTAACGGACTACTTAAATGGTCAGCAGTAGAAGCAGATAAGCAGAGAATCATGAGGATGATGTCCTTACATTTTAAACACTTTACGAAAAGGTTTGGGGGCGGCCAGGTCCCCTTTCCTTCCTAAAGATCATGAGAAACACTGAATCGTCACACTAAGTATATCAAGTCTGCACCATAACATACATGATCAACAAGAAAAGTCTCCCCCTTGGCTTCCAAAAAGTATGACAATTAAAAGTAGCGTTATATTGATCGCCTTGATGCTTATTGTCTAGATAAGGTCAGGTACAAAATCAACGCAAGGTTTAATGCTAACAATCCAATGAAAGGAACTTCCAGCTGACGCACATGTATCCTAAACGTTCAATACAGTGCAACTCTCCTAAATTTTCTCCATCCTAAACTCGCTATGAAGTGGACAGCAACTGGAACTACGTAACTGAAAAATGAAGTAGCTAATTAATCGGCCAAGTATAGACCGACAGACATGTGCAAAAAAGAGCTAAAGAGATCGAAGGGATGGAATTTACCATTTTTGCTGTGGCCAATTCTGCAGCCAGTTGCGTCCCCTCTACTCTCATTTCCTGTCCACATCCAATCAAGCAGGCCGAGTTGGAAATTCTTAATACAAGACATCACTTACTTCCGGTACAAAACATCTCCAAACTACAAAATGACAGTCATTCAACTCTCAGCTTATTGGTCTTCTATAGATTCTCCTTCACGATTAAAGATGATGAGATTTGCAACCACAATCAATGACGAGAAACCTCATATATCAAACACTTACATCCTCAGCCAAGTCAAGTGGATGCACTACAGCCATGCTCATAGCTGGTCTCCCAACTTCGTTTAGCACCTCCATGAGGGTATCCCGACTGAATCCTGGCAATGAAGTTTCCACGCAGATGGCGATAGGTGACCATGTAATAGGAAAAGAAGGGAGCGGAGGTTCCTGGAAGACCACAAGCAATCTTTAAGACACGACGTTCAAACATTTATAGCAGGCCAATACCTCTAAACCACGGGAAGATAGTACACGACCAATTATCAGTGATTTAGAAAAAGTAAAGCGGTAGTGGTGTATGCAGGCAATGTGTGTGGAAATTTATGGATCTACCCATTAATTACAGTTAGTTTCTTTTATAAAATTATGAGAACCCTTGAGATGTGCTGAGGAGTTCATCCATCACAAGGAACACTCTCCTAACACCAGTTACAGGAAATTTGTCCTAAAAATATGTGAAGAGGTGCTTCCACTAGTTTCTTTCTCTTATCATGGGGACATGGGTTGGTTTTTGTCGAGCTGTGCTCTTGCACTAAAACAGAGACTTAAGAGTCAGATCTTCATCCACTTAATATATGTGACAAACTATATACAAAACATTTACAAAAATGGAACACAAACACATCCAACGCTTGCTATCAGTTGCAATCAGGTTATCAACCTCGTATTTTTGCTCGGGAAATGGCTAGATGCTACATGCACTACTACTAACTCCATGCAATTTTAGTGTACTAATTTGCCAACGCAGATAGTACTCTGCATTCAAAGATCACATGTTCCTTTCTCATGCCGCCTGATCCAATTTATTCAGGGCTTGAAAAGCAGTAACAGCCGGGTGTTTTGTTAATGAAGAGGACACCAACTGGTTCCACTCGGATTGCGTACTGATGCATGGCCAAGACTTGCAGGTTACAATATTGTCTATACGTAAACGCATCCAAAAACAAGCGCACATATATGGTTTTAACTGTTGCTACTTACCTCTCCAACCGCATAGCGAGGCGGAGGAGGTGCGGTTTGCCTTTCATGTAGAAAGCTAACCCTGCTCCTTCTCTCCCGGTTCTTCTTCTCCTTGCCTTCTGGCTTCGCCTCTTGATCTCCATCTTTGTCCTTCTTGTCTTTTTTGTCTTTCTTCTCCTTTTTATCCTTTTTCTCCTTTCTCTCCTTCTTCTCCTTCTTCTCTTTCTTCTCCTCCTTCTCACTCATTTTGTTGTTTCCCTATTCAGAAGGCTAAACTGTGCCAAAACTCAACAGCCAGCAGCCAAACATATAGGCGAAATTTGCTAGGCAAGTTCTGTGCACCTTCACTTCCTCCCGTTATTTGTTGATGGCAATCTAATGCACTCAATGACAGCCTGAAACATTCACCTGCTATGACTTTTTCTAAACCTTGAGATAAGGAACCTTGTACAGTATAATCACACAGTGATTCAAAAGCTCTCCTGACTAAAAATCCTCAAGTATGCAGATCGAGATAGGTGAAGAGGCTGCCTTCCCAAATCCTCTCAGTATTGCCCAGAGGAACAAATCTAAGCAGCAAATCTCTCAGCAGTTCAGATCTGTACAAATCTACGACATCCCTGTATATTGTAAACGGCTTCCTCAAAACCTGGATTCTGAGAAACAACATCAACTGGACTAGGAAGGCACAGCATAGTGATTTGAGTTTTCGCATTTCACATGAGCTGATCATATTTCCTCATTCAATTCTACTCCATTCCGCATTGTCTGAAAAAAATTATTCGCCACGTCCAACTTCAAAGTTGGATGCACTTTGTCCAAGGATAGGTACTGTACGGCAACATGGTTCCAGAGAATTTACCGCAAACTCTCCTCTCCACTCTTTCCCCAGAGGCATCAAAGTTAGGGTACCATAAACCCTGCACCTGATTTTCCAGTGCAGAACCCATTCGGTCATTCTGTAGATGCAATTTAACTCATGGTCATTTTCAGCAAGAATTAGTGTTTCCTTTTTTTTTATTCTATTTCATAAAGACAACATAGATTCGAATAGTACATTACAGCTTGAACAAACAAAGGAGAAGGCGGGAAACTCTTCAACAAAATCATCGTTGAGAGAGACAACAAGCTTCAGTCTGCTTGGTATCAGAATGTCATTGTAAATCAAGCTTTTTATTTCACAGGTGGTAAACATACCCTAAATTATAATTTCCTGAGAACAATTACTTACTTTGATTCGAAAGACCGACAATAGAAGGCAACCACCACACACACATGTACCTTCATGCTAATTGGCTCCGAGGATGAATTTGACTAATTCTCACGTCCCCAGTCATGACATGAGCTAGTAAGAACCTTAAGTGCGATGTCGGAATTGAAAGTACGGTCCCCAATTTCAGGTCAAAAGGACCCCACGTCAATGCATATACACCCAAATCGGAGGATCTGCCATAAGAAACACCAACAAAACAAGCTCAAAGTGACAATTTTGTACTCAGATCATCCCAAATCAGACATACTAATTGATCACGAGGCGCGATCACTAGACATCGAATCCTCGGTCCAAATGTTTTGATCGGCGCAGAGAGTTGCGCAATCCACAGAGGCACTGGATTCGCCGGAAAATTTCGAAGTTCAAATGCTTTTGACTTGTGCTCACATGGGCCAGAACGCACCCGGTGACAGGGAAGGCAGTTGCCATCTGCTCGTGTCGCCAAGTCATTTTCCCACTTACGGTACCGTACGCTGGACTGTGGTCCTAACACTCACACTTACCCCCGGCTCTTCAAGAGTGCATTACTGTACTGTACAGAAACAGCGAAATCCACGTGGCCTATTCTCCCCGTTCTTGTGCCAGTGTGGAACTTTGTCTACCTGGAATTCGTATAGGATGTGTGACGGAAGAAATACGCAGTTCAGGGAGAAAACATTTAAAAATTGTATAAAATGTCATGTGTCTCGGTTTGAAATGAAATATGAATCAAAAATTATAGTTACATTCGCCTACTATCATGCAAGGTGGAAAAATCCAAGATTAAATTTAAGCTTTGTTTTGAGATGGATATAATGTACATGTTATAAGCAATATGAAAATCTTGTTAATTTTTTCTACCAAATTTTGTTCACGAAAAAACTTTATGACTTAGTTGGAATTATTAGAAACAATCAAATAGTTTTTTGTTTCTATTGATGTAATATATTCAATTTTCTTGATTGATTAATTTATGCAGTTCTTCAAAGTAAATCTTCAACTAACGGATACACCATCAAGTGTAAACAATTATTAGTTCAAAACATCTTCTTTTCTATATCTTATTCATAGTCAACATACACATAGTCTAACAAGTATATGATATTGTCTAATGACGTATCAAAGAATAAATCACAATCCTTAGTACTTTTCAAGTATCTTGGAATCCATTTCATTGCTTCCCCATGCATTTTTCTTGGATTTGACATGAATTTGTTCAACTTGATCATATCTAGAATAATATCGGGCCTTCTGCACACCTTGAAATACATGAGGTTGCTTATAGCTCTGTCATAGCAAAATTGATGATATTTTTTCTATTTCAAGAAGCAGGGTTAGCTTTCTACATGAAAGTCTAACCATATTTTGAAATGTGTTGCCAAAAAAGTTCATACTTTTTAATATCTATCATGTTAAATTTGTGAAGCACACATTGAACATATTTGACTTGATTCAATCATAAATATTTTTTCTTCATATCTTTATGAATATCCTATCGTAATATATATTTCCATCTACTCAACTTTTTCATCTTAAATGCAGATTTTAGCTAGTTCTTGCATCTGTCCACGTCAATTTGATACTTTGACAAATGTATATGTCATACATATAGACTGAAGCAAGTTTATAAAAAGATAAATGCAAAGTTTGATAAATTTAGTAAAGCACAAATTTTTTTTACAAGGTGTGTATGATCAATATATATACAAAAAGAATGATTTACAATTATTTTAATCTCATAATTGTATTAGTTTACGTGTATCACATGCTTATTTTGTTAAAGAATCAATCTTAAGCAAGTATCATTCAAAATCTACATTAAAAATGAAAATTTTGAATAGGTTCAAAAAGATAATATAAAGCTACGTTCTCAAATAATCTCAGAAAAAAACTTTGAATTTAGCAATGCCAATATTTTTGATAGATTTAATATGTTAAATTTAAAATAAATTGGATTCCTTCTACAACACAATTAAAAAATATATATTTAAAGCTTTATGTCTAATCAATGTTTTTGAAAATTAAGAGACATTGTCAATTTACTATGACAAGTCAATGATTAAATTGACGTATTTGACAGTATGATCTGGACATAGTATTGGTCAAAATGTAGACAAGGTGAATATATACATGTCAAATTCAAAAAAAATTCGTAAGTTGTGAAATGAATATTCAAGTACATAAAGTATTCTAAAAATTATGATATTTTGTTTGATGATTTAATAGACAATGTTAAATTATTATTATTATATTACGCTGATGTTGACTATGGACATGATCTGTATAAAGGAAATTTTGTAATTGGTCATTTCTTTACAATTGATGTTGGATACATAAATTGGAGATTTATTTTGCAGAATTGCATAGCTAAGTCAACAATAAAAGTCAAATATATTGTGTAAGAAAAGATAGCAAAGAAGTCTATTTGATTTATAACTTTAATGAGATTGAAACATGATGTTGTTCATTGTAATATTCAAGTTGCATTACATCTTCTAGAAGATCAAATAATGATAGCAAAACCAAACACATGAACATTATGTATCAATTTTTTAAAGATGTAATTTTTGGTAAAAACATCCAACTAGTTAGTAAATTCAATAAAGTTGATGTATTGATTAAAATTAATTTTTTTGTATAATTTTTTAAAACATTATGTTACTTTGTATGAAGAGCAAAAGTAGAATTCACTAGCAATTTTGTTACCTTTATAAATATTTTAATCTAATCTTATTTTAAATACGGATTAGTTTTAGTTAGCTTTAGATAACAAAGATACCTATATTAGATGTCAATCTAGAATGTTTTACATATAAATATTATGTAGTTTACAATCCCAAGACATGAAATAAGGAGGAAATTGTGAAGAGGTAGTTCAAAAGTTGATTAAATTGTGTTTAGTTTAATCTTTATAAGTTAAACTAGTTAGTCTATCACTATATGAGCAAGCTCGTCAAAGCTTTTAGTGACACAATGAAAAATTTTGGTTAAAAACGTCTAAGTTGTTTATGAAGTTTCACTTTGTTTATGAAGTCCATCTTCCAAGTACCGTATAATACGCGCTCGAAAGAGAGGGAATGTGCGTTAAATATACCTTGTTGGTTTGAAAAAGCTCTGAATCTCAATGGTGAATCATTTATATCTCTATATGATATGCTTGATTGTAATCTGTTTTTGGAGTGAATGCTTGTTTGTTCATATACATAATTTAACAAAAAGTGATAAAATAATTGTACTGAATGTTAATTATTAGCATGCAGTTTGCTAAATTTAAATTTTAGAAGTATGAGAATTATATGTTGGATTGAAAAGAATGTTTTAGAGTATACATATATAGAGCCAATTTGAATCATTAAATTTAATTGTGTGAGAAGATAGTATTCATGAAATCATAGTGAATTAATCTATATGGTAAAAAAAATAGAAATTTTTCTTAATGACAGATAATATAAACTTTATCTCAATATGCACAAATATGATGATAGAGGATTATTATTATTATTTCAAACAATAAGGTCCTTATTTCATGAAGTTGAAAGTCTGCTTATGTATGACACTTACAAGGTTTCTGTTACTTTTAGTTTAGAATGATGAAAAAAATGATTAAAGGCTAGATCCACGAAGAATCATTTCAATTCCAATTAAATGATTCATTGAAATGAAACTTTTATATATGTTACCCCTCCACTTTTATATATGTTACATCCAAGATATAAATATGAGTATTTATATCTTTCGAAACTTCTACTTATAACTCATGTAGAGTCGATCACCAAGTCTCTAACATTCTCTAAAGAATCTCAAACTAAGTCTAGATATCAATCATTCATATATATAAACGCTACCTCCCCATGATATGAAATAACAATAGTGTTGCTTTAGTGCAGACATTTCTTTGACTGCCAATATTAGATACAATAATCTACAATTTTCGTAAAGAGTCCGATGTACTCCACGACATGATCTGTAGCTCCCGTCGAGTTCTTCTAATGTACACACATATCGATGAGAAACGTATCAATGTTTTGAGATGACTGATTTCGAGGCCGTGAGTTCCGTAGTTATGTGACATTCACAGAGGGCTCTGCTTGGAGTCATACACAGAACTCAACACTGCCACTCTTCGAAGTACCTTATTTGACGATTGTAGAATTTAAGTCCAAGCAAAGCTTTTACTTTCCAGAAGTTGAGCGTCTTGACTATGCCATTCCATTCCGAACGGAAAAAGTCAGATACTTCCATCTACACTCGTCGAAAAATTTCCGCATCTGCTTTATATCTAAGTCTTTGTTTTTGTGGACAATCATAAATTGTCATGTAAAGTACAAATTACTGCAAACTCGACCGGTGGGTTTCTCACGTGGTTCTCCCCCATGTCCAATGTGCCCGTGGTCAGTGACACACCTCCGATGTTCACCGAATTGTTCATGCAGGAGAAAGTGCATAAGGATAAGAAAACTCCTGAAGTTGTCATGGGTTCTTCTGAAAAAAAATCTATTTCATATGCAGTGCCAAGGTATATTACAAGTATACTACCTACCCACCTATCTTAAATTGCAATGTACAACCTACATCTGCCCCGTCTCTATCAGTAATGGAAGAGGCAGTTCTGCTGAGGTGGCCTCGAGATTCCTAAGTGACAACCTTGAAACTACTTGATGTCCCTGTGAAGTGCTTTACGGATCCAAATAGGTGTTTGTAAGAACCAAAATGACGGATTCTGTATGTACCGGCTTGCACTGTCTGGGGAATCGCCCAGGTAATGACTGCGTAGCTTTCAGGGCTCATCGTCTTCGGCCTGTACCAAGAGAAGCGTGTTGACCAGTCATCGTCGTCATAGCTTGGAATCCATTTGCCAGATGAGTCCAGCAATTCCACCAAACCATATGTTCCCTCTGTAAGAAGGTCGTTGCGAGGACAACCCGTGTAAAATTCCACCTCGACCTTATCGCCTACGGTGTAAGAAGCATTTGCTGGAACATCCTCTTTCACATCACCAAAATTCTTCCCATTAGGAGTACTATCCATCAGAACACCAGGAAGAAATTCCAGCTGTTTATCCACCATATCGGGAGGTGCAGGACCAGGGGAGACGTCATTTCCTTTCACAAGAGCTGTAGCCAGCTTCGTAAATTCCTGAATGTAAGCACTCAACGTATGTGGTCCAAACAATGTTGACGCACCCTGCGCCACAAAGATGATAAGTCTAATCAGTTCCAAAAACGATTAACTTCATCTTTCAGATGCAATGGCGCGCAATCTTCAGTCTTATGATAGTCTGACGTGCACAACTCACAGAAACGTCGTTTGCATATAAAAATAAAAATACAAACCTCATAGCGCTGAACCTCGTACTCTTCAAAAGTTGCAACATACTGCGAGTATCCGTTGGCGAGACCGGCAATTACAACACGTACATCGTTGCCAATTTCCCCATTACTTTGCTGGATAAGAGTACTCTTTACAGCATCTCGAAGACGACGTCCAGACATGGTAGTGAATTCTGCAGCACATGTACTTTCAAATCAGACTTCTCTGTCAATCAACATCTATCTCTAATTATCTCATACAGAGCAGCTATAGAGCAGAATTAATATAGTGAACTACAACTTGTGAGTTTGATTAATAAAATATAGAACGAACGAACAACATAAAGTATCGTCCTCCCATGCATGGCGGTCTGATATAAAGTTTTTAGAACAGATGCTCACCAGCAGGTACGCCGAGAATGACGAGCTGGCCGATCTTCAGTATTGAAATAGGGAGGATTGAAGGCTGATGCACGACGAAACAACCACAAGTCAACAAGAATCATAATGTATATTCATAAACCTCCGCATTCATTAATTCTTCATTCTCAACGCAGCCTCAAATAAGGATCTTCACCTGTTATGTACCTCTACTTGTTCTAATTCTCAGTTTACTACACAAAGATATGACAAGTCATCCCGACTTGAAAGCAAGATTGCACATACCGCCCAGGCGTACGGTGCGTACATCTCTCCAGTATCAATCAGGATAGGCTTCGGCTTCTGGCATTCTATCTGTTCATCTGAAGGTTTCTTTAAGAAACTCCCAACCACCTTCCAGAAAAGGTTTCCCTGCATAACCCGCCACGCGTCAAATGACAGAAAGCATGTGTGACAGTAATCTGACTTGGAGAAGTAATGGTTTCACATTTGATAGGAGAGACAAACTAAAGCTAAAGATGGAAGATGTAAAGATGTAAAGATGGAAAAAGATTGGAATCCCATAAATCTCCACCTGATTGTCTCCTTGCTCGAAATTGAAAGCACCGGGTCCGTCCGTGGTTCCCGCAGCAAAGCTGAACCCGATAGCAGCGGGGCAGGTTTTAATAACCTGTTTGTTTGGAAGCTTTACTACCACGTTGCTGAAGTCTACGTATGTCTGCTTATACTGAATCTTCCCAATCAACTGCTCCTTGGCCGAATCAAAGAGGTCAACTGCACGTTTGAACTGCCGGTCAGCGATTATTTTTGTGCTCGCAAAGTGATCATCCGGATACCTGGAAAGAATGAAAGTATGAGATCTTATGACCTTATTACCATATTTGACAGCTAAATGGGTGGGCCTTTAATAAAACCTGCAGAGTTTCATTTAAAAAAAACTGTTGATCGTCCTATAAACTTCAATACCTGGCCAAAAGATAGATCCCCAACAAATGGAACAAAATCATGTAACATCATCACCTGATGGGTTAATGTTATAGAAACCTCGGCTTGATAGATATTACATATCATGTTTACTCACCACTCTACTCAGAACTAATTCCTGCACTTAGTGACCTGTCACCTCAATTTACAGATTTACATTACTGACATACGTACGAATTATATATTGTAGTCTAGAGAATCATCAAGTTACATGCTAAAAACCTTCAATTGGATTGATGCAAAGCAACTGGGATAGGGAGGAAGCGCTTACGCAGGGCCCCTGCCAATGCACAACTCATTCTGTCCATTGCAAGTACTGTGATTGAAATCACACGATAATCCCGTATCTACACAAAAAGCTCCCTGAATATTTGGTGTTGTATCTCCCACGTTACTCTGACAGAAGGCAGCCACGAAAGGAGGTTTCAAAGAATCCTTCATTGGACTCCTTACTCGATGCATAATGCTGCTCAACTTTGTGCTTTGTTTTCCTCCAGAGCTTTTATAAAATTCATGAGATACTTGTTCCGATTGAACTGCAAGACAAGCACATTCTCACATTATAATTGGTAAGCTGCAGTTCCAATGAAAACACATCAAGAACGAATAACTATCCACTTCTAAGTTTATGGATCCACATTTCATGAGAGAAAATGGGAGGAGACCTTGTCTTCGAAACCTCTTTTCAGCTTTAGAAATGTCCTAAATACAGTAACTTGTGAGTTCACAGGCACACCCGAGTTGATTGAAATTCCATGGATAACGCAACGAGAGAATAGAAAACTGAATCACTTACCGCGATGAAAAGCTTCTCTGTGTCCATCTGAAGCGAAGTCAAGCTTCTTAGTGTCTGCAAGGATGGAATACTCGACAGATCTTTGAAGATACCAGTCTTCCATAAACCGAGCTGCTGCTCCTTTGTTGTCACCACTGATCAGTTTGTTGGTACGATTCATTGAGGTGCCGTGTACAGCAAACCAGTTGAAGGCTCCCACTTCACCCCACTCTTCATCCACGAATTTGGCTAATACCATCGTCTTATCCACATCGTATGTATACTTTGCTCGCTCATCAGCTGGATTGTTTAGATATGCACTTGGACTACGATTGATGTTTGCCCCCAAAAGCTCCCCTGTTGATGCCAATTAGCATCACAAATCGTTTGTAAGAACGGGCTAAGATTTAAATTGGGCTTAGCGACTATTATTTTTCTCTTGATACTTCCTATTCTTCAAAGATACAGTAACTACCTGACTGATCGAACTATCCAATGAGCCTTGCTTGCCATAGCCTGAGGACTATGTTTAAAAGTAAAAGAGGATTAGTCAATTCAACAGATCCATTCATTTGACATTATCCTCACTAAAGCAAAAGACGACGTAGAAATTGGATGAAATTCACCCACCCTCATTGACAAGAATAGAACCAGGCCTCAAGTTTTCATGAGCTTGTATAACACTTTGTTCTATGCCATCAACCAGCGCGTTGAAGGACTGACGAACAAAGCCAAGTGATGTGATGATGTAAAGCACATACTGCAAGTAACCTCCTGGTCCTGAGTGTGTGTGGGTACCGCTTATAATGACATTCTTCTCCGTGTACAGGCCTCCGTATCTGATGAAACATGCAGATGACTCAGAAAAGTGGCTTGAAGTGATGAATTCTACAAAGGTGAGGACCTGTTCATAAGGTCAATTTACGTCTGACATGAAAGAATATGAACGGCTAGGTGAGGAGAAAACTGGACACAACACAGCAGGTTTAGCGTGCTGAGCAGAAATCGAAAAATATGAACACAGTAAAAGCCCAACTTATGTGATGGGAGACACAGTGCTGAAAAAGGTCCAAAATTTTAACTAATCAACTCGTGTTTAGATTATCGACAACACACTTCTGCGCAAGGGAAACCATGAAACACAATCATCGCTTATCAAGAAAAAATAAAATGGATTGATATCTTTCATCCTAAGCTCTGTAGTCAACCTAAACCAGTACTCTGTTCGTCTAGTGCAAAAGATAAAAATTCTTTGAAGTCTCAGCTTCATCCGGAGAAACTCCCCACTCAATGATAAAGAAGAGTCGTTCACTCTGCCAAATACAATTCAATTTCAATCTAAAAACTGATAATATGTCTTCACTACTCGGCGAGGGAGAAGTAGGGTTGATCTTGATAGTAACTGCTAACCATAATTATGTTGACTGACGAACCTGCTTTTCAGACGCGCCAACGTATGAAGTGTGACACTCTGCGCTCCCATACACGCATCCAAATTTACAAAAAGTACGCGATTGTTGGTTTCCGCAGGATCTGCAACAATGAAGGACCTCGCACGCAGGCGAAAGTGAATCCCGGCAGCATTTTGCTCCGGATTCGCATAGCCCATAAGGTTCACATCCGCAGCGGGACCAGTGATGTCATAGCTCCCAACTCCAATCAGATAATTCGCCTCCTTGTTCTGCTGAGCTTCGATTGTGGCAGCCAACGTCAATATCGTGAAAAGGAAGACACAAATGTAGCCCGCACGAGCAGCAATTGAGCTGCGGGGCGCCATGACTCTCTTCCACCTTGTTTCCCCGTCTTTGCCACTAAACCCTCTCTCAAACCTTTCTCGCTCGTTCTCCTGTCTCTCCCTCTCCCTCTCCCTCTCCTCCGTCTCCAGAAATCAGAAGCAGCTGTAACAAGCACAGTTCGGATGTCAAATCGTCAGTTAAAGTGGCGATCCGCCCACTGGACCCGGCGCAATCGTTGTCTGCCTCTTCGCTGGCGCATCTCATCATCCAGAAACTCGAAGAAGAAGAGCCAGCTGCCGAGGACTGAGGCGCTCATCGCAAAGGAGCCACGGCGCCGGGGACTTTGCCAAATCAGCAACAGTCCACCGAGCGAGCAAACCCGAAGCTTGATTGCTGCTCACGACATCGTCTCATCGTGCTCACTCGCTACGTCCTTCAGCCTTCCGTTCCTCCGATTTCCTCATACTTCCCTCCGCCATTCACCGTCCCATGGTCCTGACTTCACTCCCACGGTGCGGTTTCTTTTGTGGATTCCTGGACTCTGATACTTACCAGTGACATTTGATAATGATTTTTTAAAATAATAATAATCAATACTGCACCTTTTATCCTTTCCAACCTCTACTCAAGACTTTTATGGTCAATCGACCCTCAATGTGTTTTTTTGGGGGTCTTCATCATTTCTTACATTCTGCACACCTGCATCCAAACATAATCATTTCGTATCTTGTTCATTTACTTATTGGCTCTAGCCATCTTCAGCCATCCTGTCATTTTATTATGTCTCAGCACTCATTAATCTGGCTGCACTTCAACTTGAAAATCATATGAAGCTGTGGGGTTCACATTTCTCATTCTTCTGGTCATGGGTATATCGTAAAGTAATACAGGTTTCTTTTCTTCCCTCTTTAACTTAAATTAATCATATGTTTGCCAAAGTTGAAGCAACTGGCCGGTTTATAACGTTAACTCAGCATGTGATTTACTGTAATTAGCTTGAATCGCGATAGAAATAGTACCTCAAAAGCAGCTTGACAAATATTGTATGGAGCATTTTGATGTTGCAGATCAAGGGTGTAATCGTTTGTGTCAAGGTTCAGACGCAATGCGAAATACGCGAAACCTCATCCTCCACCCAAGCAGACCATTGTCCTGCGTCCACGGAGCCAGAAACAGTCAACCGAGGTAAAGGCTTTCGTCGACGGCATTGTTTGTCCGTCCGCAATCAGATTCCATCCGTGCACTTGATGCGACATGATCTCAGTGTTGTTCCACATAAGCAGATACTTTTCGTGTCATTGAGTCTCATGAGCCTTTATCCCTTGAAAATCTCTCCATGGCCAAGCGTTTCGGATAAATACAGACTTGCAGTAGCTACATGGATTCTTTTCGAACCTGGTGGTAGATACCATATGGCCTTTTAGAAATACAAAGATATATTCGACTTCTGTTTATTGCGTTATAAGCTTAGAAAACCTATGATTCGCAGAATCTACCAGCAGTGAGTGATTCGAGTTACCTCTCATGTTCTCCAAAAGTTATCCAGCCATCACCTAAACACTTGAGAATCTTCGGTAACAATTCATGGGGACTGACATTACCTTTGATCACATTCATAGTCAGCACTAAATAAGTATTCATGGTCAGAAAGTCATCATGTTTAATTGATACAGAGTTGTATGAACTAGAGATAAAGATTGAGCCTAGAGAATACTAATTGGAGTCGTACAAGCAATGTGTGTCAACAGTTATAACAAGGATATCAAATGACACAATCCACGGACTGTGTCATTCTGGGAAACAATTAGTTAATACTTATACTCTAAGTATGGATAGTATTATCTTGGTATTTTCATATCTTAAGTGTCTCAAACATAATTCTTAGTGTGACGCCGTTGGGGCCTAGTGCTATTTACTCCTTTGAGTTTATCAATGTGCTGCTTGTTGGGGTCTTCCCATCCTTTGGCCTACATTTTTCGGTGTCTTTACTAATTCACAAGTAATATCGTCTGCATGAACTCAAACATAACACTTCTGTCAAAGAGTAACTTAGAAACTTTTCATCTTTGCTGGCCCTTTCACTTATTGTCGGATGTCAGGGACTCCGGTAATAAAGGTTCGCCGGCGTTTTGAGGCTGTCGGCCGGAGCATTGTCAAGTTTCTCGCCGGCATTTCTGGCAGTCTCGGGTTATGCTCATGGACGAAAAGATAGGATGTCGACCAGATCAAGCGTCGAAGTCCTGTCACCTGTGAGGCGAATCCAGAAGGACGAGCTGCAGACGGTACGAGTTCAGTAGTAATTTCTTAGAAGAATCAAAGGATCGTGCGTGTTTGAGAATGTCTGCGTTGAGTGTGCTGGATTTACCTCTCTCTGCAGCAGCTGCAGCATTTGCAACTGGCGGTACTAGCTCTCGGGAGAAGCTTGCATCGCGTGTGTCGTTCTCCACCTTCATTTCATCAGGTTTTCACCTCCTCTCTCAACTGTGATTTCCTCTTTCTGCGATTTTAACCGAGTGTCATTTTCGACAGCGTCGTGATTTGCTAGTCTCTCCGTTGTGACTAGCATTGTAAGTATTTGAGGTCAACGCCGTGTACAGTTGATTGGAATTGCCAGAATTTAACTGTGAATCAACCTGTGGAAAATTTACACTCTTTTAAAGCTAACATTGTAATATGTGGGTTTGAAGGTCGATGCTCAGTTGGTACTAGACTTGCTTCGGGGAGATGGATACCGAACTCAACCATCAGCCAAAGCAGTGTGCAGCCGCGAGCTGTTAGGGAATTGACGGGTGACATCCTGAAAGGAAAGGGTTTACGGATTGCTGTGGTACCATTCCGATCCACTCCCGCGTGTCTCTCTGGTTTTTTATGCTAGATATAGTCTTCTCTCTCGATGAGTAATCTACATCATCGTAATCATGGATCGACAAGGGCTTATTGCTTCTGCTCTCTGCGTGCAAATGAAGTGTGAAATTCAATGTGAAGGTGGCCTTGCAGTTAACAATGACAGCTGCTTTCAGGTTGCAGCTCGCTTCAACGAGCTGATAACCAGGCCGCTATTGGCTGGTGCTCTTGAAACTTTTGCAAAGTATGGCGTGAGGGACGAGGATGTAGATGTAAGTTCTCATTTACCTTCCAGTTTTTGATGCAGTTTTTTTTTCTATTATAGCTTAGCAGACCATGTTACTTTCGAATGCAATATTAGATTATGCATTTCGTGTCTCATTACGGTGTCTTGCAGGTAGTTTGGGTCCCCGGAAGCTTTGAGATTCCAGTGGTTACTCAAGGTCTAGCCATGACCAAGAAGTACGACTCAATTCTTACTATAGGAGCTGTGGTAAGTTTGACCTTCTTCTATTTGTTCACTGATCCTACAAATGTACAGTTGTCACATCCAGGACTTTTGATCCTGATCAGAATTCTACCAGTGTGCTTTTTTTTTTCGTAAGTTATGGCTAGAAGCATAAGAAATGTTTATAACGCACGTTGCTGTCTTGATTAGAAAGGTGCAAATAAGGAAGCACTTCGTTTCAACCTTGTAGGTGTTAAGCGATTAGTGTTGCTTGCTTGGGTTAGAAAATGAGATAAAGAAGATATTGGACCAACAATAATCTGGTAGTCTCATCTTTTTGTTTGGTTTTAAAGCTCTCTCCCTCGGCCAAGCAAAGATGCTTAAGATATGACCCATAAATTACAAGACTAACTCCTATGTAAATTAGTTCGGGAAGCATAAATTGACGTGTATTAAAATTTTAACTTAATTTTCATTGGCAGATACGGGGTGCAACCACCCACTATGATGCAGTTGCAAATAACGCAGCATCTGGCATACTGTCAGCTAGTTTGAATTCAGGTCAGCAAGCTCACCTCCATACTCTACTTGTTTAACAACACTTTAAATACCACAGCAGTACTAACTGGAACTTTTTTTGTAATACCCAGGAGTTCCGTGCATATTTGGAATATTGACAACAGAGAACATGGACCAGGTCAGTTAGCAGCTCTGAAGAAGTCTGAGATCTCCTGTACATTTGCAAAATCTTTTACTTTCTGTTAGGTTTAATGTACCTAATACACATGATTTATTTTAAGTGAGGTTGATGATTAGTGCTGGAGAGAGCTCATATCATTTTCCTTGTGTTGTTTACTTGCAGGCATTTGATAGAGCCGGTGGAAAAGCCGGAAACAAAGGGGCTGAGACAGCTCTTACTGCGGTAAGGATGTTATTTTATTTTGAGAAAGAGGTTTACCTACCAGTAGAGATGATTGAATCCTGTGAGGCAGCCATATCTAAGGACTGTTACACTGCACTCGAGTCCCTTCGTATTTGTAATATATTGTTCACTATTTAACCCATTCAGGAACTAATAACCTTTCTCTTTCTTTTCTGCAGCTTGAAATGGGCTCCCTGTTTAGACATCAGATAGCCGAAATCTCAAGGTCGTGAAGGTGAACGTGAAGGAATCAAATTTTTGACAGAGAACAGAGCTTAACTGTGGTTGGTTTTTACATGTAAATCAGGCCCTGTATTTACTACTTGGTATCTTCTTTGGAGATTGAAGCTCCTTGGGTTGCCAAGTCATTCATAAGCAGTATATATCTGCTATTAAGGAATTCTTTTGTTTCAATTTGAGGAGCCGTGATGTAGTGCTACCATGATCTGGCCATGGTAGCACTTTGTTCTTCCAGCCTCTGGGTCTGTGTTCAGGTGTATTGGTTTGCTTATTCTCTATATCTGACTATGTCCTTTTGTTGATTACGTTTTGGACCTAATTGTGGATCTCAATCTATTCAATGAGAACTTGTGATGAACTTGTCGACTAGGTTTGAACAAGCTTCGCATGATGGGCCCCTTACAAAACCCGCTATGTTATGGACAGCGGAAGTGACAACAGACTTGGCCAAAAGGAATAAGAATATTGGCTACTGGCTTTCAAAGACGCAAGAAATAAGAATATGGGCTACTGGCTTCAAAGACGCAATCGTGTTACAACTATGCAATGCAAATAGCGACAGCGCTATTGGCATAACGACAACCTGCGAAAGGTGAGTAGATGATGATTAGTAAACATAGGGTTTAGTGTCAGGGTACGAGGGCATATGTATCCATGACTGTTCTCTCAAGTGAGACGCATTCCATAATTGCTCAAATCATGAGTAGTTTTAACCCAAACCCGAAAATGTTCTGATTCGATTGCAATAGACTATCAAGGGAAAGTTTTGTAATCCAGGAAAGGCTCGGTTAGTCAAGACCACATTAACTAATTCTCTACACAACGTTTAAGAGTGATGAAGTGACAGTAGTTTATACATGTTGAACTTAAAAGTCTTGATGTTCTTATCTCAATAGCTTGAAGTGACGAGAGGATTTTCAGGAATCTTCACTGGTATTTCCAATATTGAGATAGCTTTGCCAAAGGAGTAAAATTTAATGAGACCCTATTCATCTTTACAGACGTGCTGTGAAACTAATTGTACAAGTACTACGTCCCTGGATACCATGGAAAGGTCTGATCTGTGCCCTTCCCCACGACGTGTATACGGTACATATACTCCTGTTCTTCCTCGAATTGCGTATGCACGCCGGTCACTTGAAAGAGTTCAGAGCACTAGAAGCTATACTGGAAGAGCATCAAGCATACCATCAGAATACGTAAGAGGCAGTGTTACTCATTCAGGCAGTATTACGTGCAACATCAACAGCACGAAGGAAAAGCCAAACTTTAAAGGAAAAATGGTGGCTGGATGGTGGCTGTCGGCTCACGTCACCCTTCCCCATCCCCGACCACCCGATCATTTTTCTTGTTAAAGTTTTTTCTTGTTCGATAGACGACACGCCCAGCACGTAAGAATACGCGATCACGAAGAAGGATCAAGTTAATAAACTCTAGTCGGACTCATTTGCTCATTTTGGCGACTAGCATATCGTTCCTATAAATTCCTCTTTTTTGCATGAGTTAGGAACAACAGAAGGTAATTATAAGTACTGGAGTATATGGTGAACCCTTAGTTAACTCTATTAGAACCTCCTAATTCAGATTATACTCTATCACTGGTCTCTTTCTAAAATACATAACCAGCTGTCCTAGTCTATATTTATGAGTTTATTGAGTCTCCTGCATTGATATATCCTTGTTACTACTCAGCTTCAGATTCTCTCTATCTAGTAGCCGAAGCTGAAGCGGTTTCCTTAGACCAAAGCCAAATATGAGATAAGAGCAACTTGCCCACACTTTGCCACATGGTTGATGCTGTGCAGTACAGCATCAGCGTGAAATCTAGCCTCAAAGGCTCAAATTTGCTGTATGCAGTTGTGGTGCCTACCACAAGAACTCGACATTTCTGACTCGCAAATGACGCATGATTGCATTGCATAAGTCGGTGCCTTGCACTAAAGCTCCCAGCGAACGAGTGTCGATGGCCTGTAAAGACTAAGCGCATTATTCAGTTTTCGTCGTGCTATCACAGAAGTTGACGATGTCCCAGTACAGTGAGGTTAGTCTGTATTTGCAGGTTAGTAACAAAATCTTTGCTTCAAAAAACAAATGAGCATACAACCTACGTCCATGTAGCCTGAAGAATGTTCATCGGATGCCGATGAGTGTAGTTTAAAACAAACAGCAGCAAATGACGATCCTCCAGGAAAGACTTCTCAGTAGCAACAGCTTTTCCCGTGGATCAAAAGTGCATCTCATTTTTGGACTATACCAATATGTCATTACTTCGAATTTAACGTCAGATACTTCAACAAGATAAACTCTGTTAATATGTAATCATGAGAAAATTTAACTTGCGATGAACTCAATAAAGTGCTAGTCTGGAAATAAGTGCTCATAAACATTTGATCATACTTGGTCCAACAGATTTTGCATCAACCGCGCATAAGACATTTTCTGTCTTTCTGTATCAGAGCGGTCTAAATCTCATTTTCACTGTGCAATTCTGACTGGACCATTACTAAGTCAATCATTTTAACTACAGAAAAATTAAATATTTTAAAATCATTGCGCTCTAAATATATCCATACGAAATGAGACCTTACATTTCACATGGCTGTACTCCATGTAATGCACATTTCTACATTTTCGCAGGAGCTTACAATTGTACTGACGCGAACTTCTCCTTAACAGCGGAATGGTCATTTGTACCCAATTCTGAAAATATTTCGAGCTCAACAAGTTGTTGAACTCGAGATGAGGTCCCTGTAAGGTTTTAGCTGAACCGCCAGTCTCTAATTATGTCATGTAACGTGGAAGATATGTCTTAGCATGATCCATCTGGCCTTTCATGGTACCTTTAGGACCTTCCAATCGGAGTCAAAGGAAAGATGAAGTGTGTACAGTACTTGCCCATAGAAGAGAATTTCGTCAAGTTTTGAAATGTTCGGCAAGTTTTAAAATGCAAATACAAGAGTTCCAGATTCAATCATGAAGGAGTTCACTTCGGTCTATGTTCCCACTAATCATATGCCAACCATGAAATGAAATTGTTCTTCCAGACCATCCTCCACAAACAGACCATTACAGAACTTTCAGTCAGTTCAGGAGGCACACATGAGACATCTTCGCCACAGGCTTGCTAAGCAGTCAGAAACATCCACATGAATATAATTTCTTCGACATTCTTTTCTTGATAAGTGGGTAGAATCTTTCAACTTTTACGCGAGCAATTCCAGAATAACGGTATACATATACGTACAATTGGTTCTAAATGTGACCTACGGCTACCAAAATGATAAGATGAAGATGTAAGACTTGCCAAGAATGAGGGATTCACACTCGTTGATGTATTATTGCATGTCGGAATCATAAACATGTGTTTTGATGTACATCTACGGTATGAGAAGTTGAAGTTCAGATGGGACTCGTTACGAGTGATTGATGAGCAGTATGCTAATACAGAGGTGCATACAAACACGCCATTCTGTTCAGGGGCTCTATTTCAGCACCTCTTCACTCTGCCTTCTTCTTCGATACGTACGGGTACTTCTGATGTATAATCGTGCTAGTCACGACAAGAGGAAGAGCGGCAAACACCAGCCAAGAGGGCATAACTCCATCTACTATGACTTGTAAAAGCGCTGTTACAAGCAAAGCAGACACGATCACAAAGCCCTGCATACAATTAAAAAGAGAGACTAAATTAGTGTTCTACAATTTGAATTGCTGTCAATAAGTTTATTACACTCAGATTTATCTCCTGCAAAACTTGAAACATTCTAGAAAGATCTCGAGTAACTAATTATACAGCCTAGGACCTCATCTTTCAAGGAAAACAAATAGAGATACCTTTTTCACGCCTCCTGCATACATTGTTACTAAGCCAACAAGAATTCCTCCCAAGGCATTGGTTACGACGGGCAGCTGCATTCATATGCCACAAAGTTCAGGGATTAAGTCAACGTAGTTATGCAACTACCAATAGATATCCTTTGACAACAAGGTGGTGTCCGCTGGAGCAACTCTAAGCTTAGGTATAGCCACTAATAGTCCCGCTCTTAAGTTTCGATCTAGTTTCTTAGAACCAGTAGGTGTGGATACCATCTACAGTTTCGGAAGTGGTCCCGGGAGTCCCGTATACGACAATGATCCCGGTGTGAATGACTCTGAAAGAAGGACTGCACCTGATAATGTGCCGGCAGTAAAGGCTTTTATTTGTCGAATTATTTGTCTAGTCGTTCTGGAATTTCAAAGAACTCATAGTATCCATCAAGAGGAAACAAGACTTACCATTGTCAATGGAGTCCAGCCAAAAAAAAATCCCTTCTTTCTTATTGCGTCTCCATCAGGAGATTGTGATAAGCTTATGAATAGACATAAACTTCCAATTCCTGACATCTCTACGGTCATGAGATAGCTGCTTCGTCTCTTAACCTGCATAATCGAATAATTCATTTTTGCATCATTGCCCCACTTCTTGTTGAAAAACCACTAACCTCACGTCTTTTGAGCTTATGAAGAATGGCAACTTTCTTTTGGGAGAGTGCTTAAGTTTATGAAAATGTACAGAAAAAAGTTGACGTTATTAAACACTAATATTAGCAATCAATTCATTTCATACCTGAACTGCCCACTGACACAGAGTTGAAGCAAGGCCGGAGAGGACAGACGCAACCAGAACGGGAATCACACCGAGTATGAAAGAATGCTCATATACAACTGCATTGGATTTCGATGACTTCTGGCTGAGGCTTAATAAAGTTGCTGCGACGAGCAATAGCATAAGAGCTCCTATCTGTTGTCTCGACTGCCTCTGACTGCACAGACAGACAGGAACGCATATGCCACCATAATTTTAACATCCAATGAAGCGGAGAAGCAAAATTATGCCTGTAAACTCTCAGTATGTAAGACATGAATCTGTTCTTCAGAAGACATAAGTGACCTCTCAGGATACATACCCAAGAATTAAGAACATGAAAAAAGCTGTGAAAGCCAGCTTGGTCTGATTGAGCATTGTGGCTGTCAAAGAATCAAGATTCCGGTATGACACTTGGACCAGTGAGTTTTGTACAGCATAGATAATTGCAGGCAAGGCGGATCCTCTCATAGCGTCCATGAAACTCCATTCTTGTTTCATTTTCGAGAAACTGCCTTCCCATATAAGGGCTACCACTGCAACAAATACCTGAAAAAGAAAAAATCTTTATTGAAAACCAATCGTAAAGATACGATGTGCAAAGACCTGAGAGATAATTTCTACGATGAAAATCATATGTAAAACGTGTCATTATTGACAGAGCAGATCGTCATTAAAGTTTCTCACCTACAAAGAAACCAGGCAACCGTCAAAGCAGCAGCACCATGTGCTCGAAAAATCAGCAGACCAAATTGGTGGAAGTACCTTAACCAGCTCACATGTAAGGACAACCGATGTCATTATCACTTGTTTCCTGAAACAAAATCAAATCAAAACGAATTAGTTACAGTGGATGCATATAGCCGTACCCTTGTGAAGTAAATTCAACAAAAGACAAGTGCGTACGTATGACAGACAATCCTCAGCCTTAGAAAAAGCTCAGATTTCAAACTTGAAGATTATTCTTATTACGTCACCCATGACACTCTCTTACGAACTGAAATACAGCGGATGAACTCTTACGAGAAAGATTACAAGGGAGCTAAGATGATAGACATTGCTGATCCGTTTGAGCTCAGCTTTCCAAAGACCCTGATGACTATTCGCTGTAATAAGCCAACCATGTAATTACGATCCTATGGGAAGCTGAAAACAAATGAAATCCCAAATGATGTCTTCATGTGCTCACAGGCGATCAGGAAAAACCCTAAGGTAGAGAACTCACCCGGAGAAGTGCTGAGTCAGAAGAGGCTGAACACCATACTGCAAAGTCAGAAGCGCCATACAAAGCAGCGATCTCCGGCGCATCTGCTGCGGCGAAACTCCATCTCCCTTCCCTATATCTTTCTCCCCAGCAACTGTCATGTTGGAAGCCTGTCCGAAACCCTGTCTGCTTCTTCCACTAGACCCCTTCATCCACCTCGTCGAATCTAATGACAGTCGTACAGAACTCAAACGACCTCATCAAACTGAATTTCCCAAAGTCTCGCCACGATTGCAGATTTTCCACCAATCTCAGAACTACTCAGCCTGTACTGCGAGGCTTTCTTCTTCCTCCTTCATTCCACTAGCACCCGCCTTTCCGTGGGCCACAACGAAGTCATTCATACTCTGAAATCCTCCAGCTTGGTCTTAAGACTACACGGGTGAAGTATAATACCGTGATTTGCAGAAATATATCGTTCCTTTACCAGGTAGAGCTGAACTTCTGTTGGACCTCGACTAAGGAATGACCAGACATGTAATCAGAATTTTGGCTCTTCACTTTGCCCCCCGTTCTCCACCAGACATGTAATCGAACTCTGTTACGCTGCAAAGCGACACAATTCGCTCGACCCCACCACCCCACCACGACGGCGCTTGTCTAGAATGGAGCAGGTGCCCCATCGTTTGTTGCTTACTTGTCTCGAGCAAATCAGCCGCCGCTCTCTCTCTCAGTCCTTGGGCCTCGACGGTTCACCACCAATCGCAGTCGAGTTGAGCGATTCACGTACGAGGGCCAAACCTACATGCGACGCCACGCAGCCCTGCAACGAGTCTGAGTTCCAGAACGGTGAATCGCGCACGTGGGAAATGTGAGTTCATTCAGTCCGTGATCGAGTTTACAACACAAATGAAATGTTTACCATATTTTACAGTACGTGAGCTTATTTGATTGACATGTATACATTGCAGAGCGGACAGGTGTTGCCCTCTACAGTCGTGTGAAGGAAAATCTTGATCTCAGTAAGTTCTTTTGCGTTTGAATTATTGAGAGTCTAAGCTGATGATAATCATTTCACCATAATACCAATAGAATATTTCTTTGCATTGAAGCATAAGTAATTCTTTTAGCTTCTGAATGTCACCCGACTCAAATGCTTTTTAAGACCAAGAATAAGAGAGCGGAGCAGCTTCAGGTAATATATTTAATAATTTATTTATATTATGTTAAACAAGTGTTACTTCTTAAATGTTTACCACGAGAATTGACATATTTTAGATACTTGATGTGTTGAATTTCAGAAGCTCAACCGTAGGGAAGACCGAGACCGTTAAACTTTTTCTCCGAATGCTATCTAAGATAGGTTACCATCCCAAGTGTAAAGTTCATTTAGAAGTCGTATGAGTGAGATGTATAACTCAAAATATGTCACGATTTATAGACATTCCTTTCGAATGTGTTTGTAAGAGAACAGGAAGTTAAAAAAATTATGAACATTGCTGAAAGTCTAAACATGTCAGATGGGTATCAGGTTTCGTGACAGTGTTCAGAGTTATATGAGAATCGTTCAGAGTTCTTCGGAATATGTCACCTTGCCTTCCATGTCAACTCTACTTTCAAGACAGCGAGGAACATGTGTACACATTGTTCCCAAAAAGGTAACAATTTTACCAAACCATTATTCCTCACATAACTTCAACGATTTGTGATCTAGGGTTTTTGGCGGGAGTCTAAATTAGTGAATATATATTATTGCACGCTAGATGCAACACTCCACTCATCACCTTGGAGTAAAGTATGATGTAGTCAAGCTAAACTTGCTTGGTGATTAATCTAGTGTAACGTAAAATTTTACCAGGTGATGCATGGGACTTTATTTTTACCTTACCCGCACCATTACTGTCTATTTTTCCCTAATGATAATTTACCCGATTACCATTTTAGAACACCGTAATGCATAACGTAATGAAATCCAAAGAACTTTGTAATCAGCGTGTTCTCATAAGATCTCACATGTTCATGATAAGCCGGGAGCATGGCATGAAGTACATTCAAATAACCACTTACCGTATGTTAGATGAGAAACAACATGATGGACTAGTATTGAAAACTTGCTTTCAAAACGAGTGTGATCTGTTAGGGGAGTTATATCTTTAATTTCTAACATCCATCGGATATCTCACGTAGATTCGAGAAATGAAAATGTGTTAAAACTTCACTATTTACAACATCCCAATAATAGCATAATGAGTACAACCCCGAAGGAGGCAACAAAGTGGTCACATACTAGAATGAGGAGGAAGTAAGGTTTAACAAAAGAGGAAGTTGGAAGAGTAGAGACTACTTAAACCTGAAACTTTACAAAAATTACCCGTTGAAACTTGGAAATCTGCATTTGCGACACAAACTCAGTGACGGACTTTTGCAATGATCAAGGGTTATCGGGTAATTACCGGGTAATCCATTCAACTTTACTCTACCTGTTCCCTCAAGCATAGCTAAGCCTTTACCTTCGTTGGGGTAACCACAAAAGTTTACATTACCTTGCCGAGTTCAATCGGTGTGATTCAAAGATAGTAAAGCAATACACTAGCTAATCTTCACTATATATGCAATCTCGAAATCATATCTTCTTGAGCTTATTTGCAACAGTTCTAAAACAAACTCTTCTGATTTAATTCTCAGTCTCCTAAAGAGGCTACTAACTTAATGACACCTCCAATGCAAACAAAGTCAAATTGCTTCAACTTTCAACAACCTCAGTTGTAAAAATCTACCTATTTGTACATGATCAGTAGAGTTACTTACAAATACGTATACACTCAAATAGTCAAATTCGAGCAAACATATATTACATGACATGGGCGCAAAGTGTTTCTGGTTAAAATCATTCTGGAAATGATAATTTATTCACATATATAGACCTTGTTTGTGTTACAATTCGTATAAATCAAGCATAAGGCTATTATTTCTATAAAATTAATCTTCTTATTCTTCCAAACAATCTGGCAAACTTTCCGATGAAATGAAAAATTGATCAAAGTTATTATCTGCACTTAATCGCACCATATATTCAGCATATGTTACACGCTAACCTTACGCCAAAATAATAATCTAATATTCATCCACCCAATTCTACAAAGTATCCCAATTAAACGTCTGTTATATTTGCTGTTCGAAACTTGTCACAATAACCTTAAATCTGAGTTTTTTAATGGTACAATTTTAGTGTCTGAAGTATTCGTTGTAGTATAAAGAATACTTTGGGTACGTTTCTGAAATATGAATAAATGTATCACTATAATTTTATTCTTTCATCTTTGAGGTGAAAATGCACAGAAAATCATCTTGCTTCCTCCAAATGACTAAGTTATGATTTATTTGAATGAGAAATTCACGCAAAATAATTATAAGTGTGCATACATCTAGATTGTTACACGTATGCCTGTAATCACAAGTCATATCACTATATCCCGTTAACATTTTATAATACCAGGAGGACTTAATATCCAGGTCGAGGGCATAAACCATGTTAGCAGTTGAAGAAAAATCCAAGCCGGTCATAGTTTCCATAATACTCTAAACTTCCAAGAAAGACATAATCATATATATTCATATTTTAACGATAAACTTGAAGCTACTATGCTTGAATTACGTCAAAGACATGAAATAGTGGGCAACCATGTCAATTGGGTGTTTGCTAGGTGCAATAGTAAATGTTGTACAGTGTGATGCTACTGCAGCCTATCTCCAACTTCCTCTTCCCCTTTTCGTTTACAAGATGATGTATATTTTTTTTGAAATTTTAATTGGTAGTACCAGCAGCGTACTAATCGCCAGTAGCGCCATGCTCCACCAAATCGAGTCCGGAGTTCTGGCGATATTCAAAGTGGCCATCGAGAGAGGAAGACGAGCTCCAGAAGGAAGTGGAGCTGCGAGGTGGGCGCCATTGAGCTCTCCCGCGTCCGGCGTCCCGCCTTCGCCACTTCCCGCCATTCTTCTCCCTTCGTTTCGTCTGGCCTCCTCCTTCCATCTCCCCGCAGATTTTGACTGCCCAGCAGCTGCACAGGCCTCTTTCGACTGAGCTCGTTCTACGTTTTCTGCCGCACTCCTCCCGTAGTTCTGGTACGCCCAGCTCGTCTTCTTCTGTGTTGTTCGGCGTGTTTTGGGGATTTTGAATTCGATCTGCGTGCGTAATTTGCTCTCGCAGATGGTGGCCTCAGTTTTTCGGTCTAGATTTTATATTTTTGTTTGTGCTCCGAGATGGTATGTTTTTGAATTTGTCCTGATCACCGTGATTCTTTTGGAATCTGCAACTTGTTGCTTGAGTGTTTTTGTGGATCCCTTGAATTTGTCGGGCCGCGCTCGAAGGCGAAGTGCTAATGCGAAGCTAATTTACAAAGTGAAAGAAAAGTTGGTGAATTTTCGAACGGTGCTACAGAGTTTAGCGAAACTTTCGTAACATTATTTTAACGGTGGAATGACACGGAGGAGCAGCATAGCAAAATTAAGGGATTTTCGGAAATGTGACCTTTCATCATTGTGATCCTGTTTACAGCATCGTGCTCTTTTGTGGTCGTTGCGGACGATAATGAGACCTCTGTATTGGTATGAATCTTTTATATTGTGGCGACTTTTGCCCATGTTTATGTGTTCTCTTGTCGTGTTGCAGCTTCCATTCTTCAGCCGACTGATTTAAGCTTACGAAATTCGACATAACGCAACGCGGGCAGTTCTCCAGTTCAGACGTTGGAGATGGCAGGAGAAGACGAGACAGGCCTGGATAACGTGGACGAACCGAAACTACCTGAATTTAAGCTCGGTATGTGGTAGCGGGTATTGCGCTTGTTGGATTCGTCCGTTTATCACACTTGCGAAAAGTTCCAGGAGCACTGGGCACAATTTTATGGTGTTGTATCCAGTATCAAATTAAACTGTGGTTTGAGTGAACCTTTGTTTACAACAATGCTGCAATTCAGCGAGGTTTAGTTTATCCTATATTTCACGAGACTGATCCAGCGAGGAGACGTTTGAAGTGTTTGATACATCTGAGAATTTGAGGAGGATGTTTTTCTTGTATGCATTCAACCGATTTCCATTCACAATCGAGGAATTTCGAGGTTTCTTGTTCTCATAATGTTATTCGCACGTCCGAAACCAAGCTGAATGTAGCTAGAGAGCCGATGTGCATAAAGCCTTGCACTGCAATATTATTATTATGCCGACCGTGTATGTACACGTAAAGTCTGATAGTTTTTCCACCTTACAAAGGCTTGACTAGAGGGGGCTCTTGCTGTCCATGCAGATCCCAAGCAGGCTCTAGGCTTTATATCTTTCTTCAACAAGCTTCCGGAGGTACTTGCTGTTGATTTCTTTTGATGTCAGTGAAGTCAGAAGGCTTTTCACGAACTCTCGGCAGATAGGTGTGAAAAGAGCTAACAACGACGTAGGGTATATATGAAAGAGATTGTAGATTTAAGGGCTGTATTACATATTTTGTGTTTGCAGAGTATTCATAGCTCGGTGTCACTTGACTCTCCGCAGTCTACCATGAACAGGTTCGATTGGAAGTCTCAGTTGGTACCTTCCGTCTGCATATGCTCCCCCTCATGTGCTAATACTCGTGTTCTTTTGCAGGATGAAAGGGTGGTTCGTTTTTTCGATCGAAAAGTATGCCTCTATCATCATTTGAATACTTAGTATTTCAGTGCAGATAGTTCGTGTTTTCTTGCTGAGTCTAGCATTCATGCTGAACTGCCGGAAGGTCTTGAAGTTGCTTTGTCCTCTCTATTGCAAACCTTCTAACATCACATCTGCATGAACTGTTTCTCTTGAACTGTCTGTTTCAAACAGGACTACTACACAGCGCACGGAGATAATGCAACCTTTATAGCTAAGACTTACTACAAAACAATGACTGCACTACGTCAGCTTGGAAGTGGCTCAACCACTTTGTCTGGTGTCAGTATCAGCCGAAGCATGTATGAAGGAATCATTCGCGACCTTCTGTTGGAACGAACAGATCATTCTGTTGAACTTTATGAAGGTAGTGGGTCAAAGTGGGTGATGAGCAAAGCAGGTACCCCTGGAAAACTCGATAGCTTTGAAGACGTTCTCTTTGCGAGCAATGAAATGAAAGAGACTCCAGTTGTGATGGCTGTACATATGGCTGTACGGGAGAACGAACGTTCTATAGGTATAGCATTCGTCGACATGACGAGGAGAACTCTAGGAATGACAGAATTCGTCGACGATGATCAGTTCGGGAATCTTGAGTCAGCCATGATTGCGTTGGGATGCCGCGAGTGCATCATGCCTCAGGACTCAGGAAAGACTTCAGATGCACGAAAGCTGCGAGACATGATGGAGCGTTGCAACGTGCTGCTCACAGAGAGGAAGAAAAGCGAATTCCGAGTTCGAGACTTGGAGCAAGATCTTTCTCGATTGGTCAAAGGTCCTGTGGAACAACACAGAGACCTAGTCGCAGGGCAAGAGGGAGCAGCTTCTGCCTTGGCTGCTCTCCTGGCTTACACTGATTTACTTTCCGATGACAGGGCATATGGGAAATATGTTTTGCAGCCGTACAGTCTCGACAAGTACATGCGACTAGACGCGGCAGCTTTGCGTGCCTTGAATGTCATGGAGAGTAAGATGGACGGCAATAAGAACTTCAGTTTGTCTGGCTTGATGAACAGGACCAGCACAGCAGGTATGGGGAAGAGACTCCTCAATAGGTGGTTGAAACAACCCCTTCTCGATGTTAGTGAGATAACAACCAGGCATGATGTAGTGCAAGCTTTTGTCGAGAGTGCTAGCATGAGGCAGGATGTGAGGCAACACTTGAGGAGAATTCCTGACATTGAGCGTCTAAGCCGAAAAGTGGAGAAGGGAAGCGCCGGCTTGCAAGATATTGTGAAGCTATATCAGGTATAGTGAATGTTTTTTTTTTCGAAAACTAACACTCGCAATTTACCTCAGGAAAATACATCTTAGGCTGATTAGGGATTCCCTTATTGATTGACGTGATGTCTGTTTTGAAATGTGAGCGAACAAATTGCTTATCTTTCAGTTAGGTGTCATGCCCGGTTAGTTTTCTCAACCATCCGTCTCGAGGAACAGGTTAGAATGTGAGGATGGTGGTGTATCATTGGTTTTGAAAGTTCGTTTCGTCTGTGCAGGCAAGTGTACGACTACCGTTTATAAAAGAAGCACTTGATGCCTATGAAGGTGAATTCTCGGCAGTATTGAAGGAAAGATATACCCAGTCCTTTGGAGAGTGGGTAGGACCAGAGCACCTCGGCAAGTACGATGGCCTTGTCGAATCAGCAGTTGATCTTGATCAACTTCAGCATGGAGAATATATAATTTCTCCTGCTTACGACAGTAGTTTACAGGAAATAAAGTCCGAGAGGGACAAAGTCGAGGAGCAGATACATAAACTTCATCAGCAGGCAGCAAACGATTTGGGTCTGCAAGTTGAGAAATCATTGAAGCTTGATAAGTCACCTATATTTGGACATGTCTTTAGAATCACAAAGAAAGAGGAGCCGAGTATTCGCAAGAAGCTCACTAGTTCATACGTGACCCTTGAAACTCGCAAAGATGGGGTCAAATTCACCAACTCTAAGCTCCGTAGATGTAGTGAGCAGTACTCAAAGCTCAGCGAAGAGTATGTCGCTACACAACGTGAGCTCGTCAGCAAAGTCGTTGAGGTTGCGGCAACATTTCTCGAGGTAGCACTCTAACAAGGACTTTATCAATTTTTGCTTTTAACGTCTGCTTTCATGAATCCTCTTATACACCAGCATTCTTTTAGCTGCCGATCTTTCCTAGATGGATAAATCTATTTCCTCTTTGACTTCCAGGTTTTCGAGGGAGTGGCCCTTCTCTTGGCAGACATGGATGTCTTAGTAGGTTTCGCAGACCTAGCTGCATCCAGTCCTTCACCTTACGTGAGACCGACTATGACACCTGGGGTATGTACCTCCCTACTTCGTGAATCTCATTAGTCCTCTATATTTGTCTCTGGACTTTGATCTCATTTCATCACCTACTTTCTTAAATCGGAAAGAAGTGTTCGGTTGTACTCAGTTATTATCCAAAAAGCTAAAAATTCTTTATAATTGAGTCTTTGAGTGCTAACACACTGTAATCAGAAACTTACTGAATAAGTATAGGAGTTGCTGTATCCGATTCCTTGGGATGTCATTGTGCTCAGTGATCAGCGGAGTGCATTGTACGTTGAAATCAGTGCTTATCTTGTTAAACTGCATATGCAGGATGAGGGAGATCTAATATTGGAAGGGAGCCGACATCCTTGCGTGGAGGCGCAGGATGATGTGAACTTCATTCCAAATGACTGCTGCCTGGTACTTCTATCTTAAGATCCATTCCAGCCGGCTGCAAATCAAGTTAGGGGTTTGTCTTGATTACTTTTATTGAAAGGATTAGATGGATATGAGGAGAGGTTTACATCGTGTGGGCGACCCTTCTGTGTTAACTTCCTGGCCCATCAGCAGGATCTCTCTTGCAGTTGAGAACTGTTGGCTAGTAGAGCCAGGAACTCTGGGCTGATTTATTTTTATGAGTAGCACATTTACAGTTTTCTTGTGGTCATGGTCGCAGGTGAGAGGTAAAAGTTGGTTTCAGATCATCACCGGTCCAAACATGGGAGGGAAGTCAACTTTCATTCGCCAGGTTTGACCAGCAGTCTCCTTACTACATCTCTCCATTGTTTGTCATTCCTGACGTGTTTTGGACGACCATTTCTTACTTTGACGGGAAATCATGAGTACTCCCACTTGTGAAATATATTATAAAGTTCGCTCTTGTGAGCTCCAGTTAGAAGTTTGAATGAAGGGAATGTCAGGACAGTTTTTCATATGTGTTTGGCATGATATGAACAACTTTTTATGATATTTCGATGCTGCAGGTCGGGGTAAACGTGCTGATGGCGCAAGTGGGTTCCTTCGTACCCTGTGATCGGGCCGATATCAGCGTACGCGATTGTATTTTTGCTCGTGTTGGAGCTGGAGACTGTCAGGTATGCAAACTCCGCCTGATAGCTATTCAGCTACCTAGTTTCAGAAGGCTTGGGTGCATAAATAATACAGACAATATACATAAATAAGTAAATAAATAAGTAATCAAATGAACTCACTTTAGACTGCTGTCGTCTGTTTGTACCAAATCTTAGTTGTATGGCTACCCTTGGAAGTTTTAAGGCAATTCAACTTTAGTCACTCCGAACGTTTATATGAGCCTCTGAGTTATCTGTGGAGATAGAGTTGAAAGAATGGCGGTTGGACATCTCTTTTGGCGTGGTAGCTACCCTCCTCTGCGACTAGTAGAGCTCAAAGATTTTGAGTTTAAATTACGTGATGATTCACCATGAACATCTGTACATGTCGCAGAGAAGAGTAGCTACCATGTGGTATTACAGTGTCGTTTGCTGGTTTGGCCATCGAGCATATCCGAGAACTGGTTGATTTGCAGCGTTTTGACTGTCCAGCAAAAAATTGTGTACAGCTTCGTGGTGTTTCCACGTTTATGGCCGAGATGTTGGAGACTGCCAGTATCTTGAAGTCAGCAACAGAGAGGTCTCTTATCATCATTGACGAGCTTGGGCGTGGAACATCAACTTATGATGGCTTTGGTAGGATCCCTTTGTTCTAAATTCTGTTTCGTTTTCCAGTTGATGTTTGTCAATTCTTAGAGACTCAAAGCGGAGAGCCAAGGTTGGAGGAAGGTCGAAGCATAGAACATCATAGTGAAGGAGGCTGCTATTGCCTAGACTCAGATTTAGCAGGGCCACCTGAAAAGTATTTGTGTATGGAGTGGGTTGTTTTCACCAACTACTGGGAATAGATTCGTGGGTAGTAACACTACTCTTGATTAGTGCAAAATGGTGAGATAATGCTCTCGATCTGGCGACTGAAGAGGATGTGGTGGTCTGCAGGATTGGCTTGGGCAATTTGTGAGTATCTAGTGGAGGTCATTCGAGCTCCAGCTCTTTTTGCTACCCACTTTCATGAATTGACTGCTCTGGCCAGCCGTGAAGGACCTCTAGTTCATGGTCCCGCTAGAGGGCCTCTTGTTGGCATAGCCAACTACCATGTCAGTGCACACATAGACGATAAGTCTCGAAAGCTTGCAATGCTCTATAAAGTAAGGGACTTGACAGCTGTGCCATTTTAATTGCCATTGATCTTGACATTCCCCTTCTTTGACTTGTGGCTATGTATATCATTCCCCAGTAAACGAAGTAATATCGGAGTTCTCACATCCTGATGCAACCACAGGTGGAAGAAGGTCCCTGCGATCAAAGTTTTGGTATTCATGTAGCAGAGTTCGCACATTTTCCACCTGACGTAGTGCAACTTGCACGGGAGAAAGCTGCGGAGCTGGAAGATTTCTCTCCCTCTGGCCTTGACATAATCACAAAGCAACGAGAGGAGGTAAATTTCAACTTTCTAAAGAATGTCGCATACTCTTGTCACATTCTTTGTTATCGAACCTACACTGAAGCTCCGGAAACAGTTGTTGTCAATGTCTGAGTAGAATGTATGTCCATTTACCTAGTTGAGGAAAATCTGAGTCTCACCACAAGATCATGCCCAAAATGAACTGGTGATCTTCGAAAAGTCCAGCTGACATTCATACCGGTTATGTGAGCAGGTTGGTGCCAAACGTAAGCGCGTCATTGGTCCAGATGACATTTCCAGGGGTAAAGACAGGGCACGTCAATTTTTACTAGATTTTGCTGCACTTCCACTGGATCGGATGTCAGCAGAGGTAGCTATGGAGGAGGTAGCGAAGCTCAAAACCGCATTTCTTGAAGAAGCGGAAAGTAGTCCCTGGTTGCAACAACTTTGTCTAGAAGGCATGCGGACTTAGAACACCGTGGGGGTCTCGACGGCAATTGTATGTAAAATGAGATCACCTGTTTCTTTGGATATACATGAGGTAGGATACACATCACTCCTGGCTTGCACACAAATCCATTGGCTTCTACGTGAAGCTCTTAGTTAGGAAAGGAGATAAAATCACATCCAATTTTGCATCCATATGCTTTAGTTCTAGACTTCTGCGACCTAGAAATGCATGAGATGGTTTACTTACATATGGTTCTTTCTCAGTTCCTGATGGGCCTGAGTTGAACTCTAGGTCGAGATAGCCGAAGTCCAAGAAAGCCAAATCATTTGGTTACATTGTATATATTTGGAACTCAATTTTTCCATTGTAGCATATTTTCACATATATTGAAACTCTCGGTATCGCTCGCCTGTTGTCAAATGTTCTTAAACGCAGAACATCACTCGTTATAGGGCCGAGTCTGTCTATTGCCATGCTTTTGGTAACAGTGGGCTTCGCTAAGTTCTAGTCTTCATGGATCCCCTACATACGCACAGTCAATCGGCCCCCCGTCTTCGTTACCTCTAAACGAAAATGATTTCCCGCTTCTGCAACCGGTGTCTTCTTGGATGAACCATGGTTCAAAATAATAATGTACCCAGGTTTTCACGTAAGTTGTCGGAAGCGTCGTATCAATCAGGATTTGGCGCCAAATCCTGATTTGGCGTACATACATATCCGAAGACGTTGGAGAACATCTAATCTCATTTCCTATCTCATTAGCTCTTTTACAGAAAAACTTAGAAAATTTTTCAATCATTATACTTGTTATCATGATGGATTATCAGTAAGCGTAAATTAGATTTGTTTTCGTTTAAAAGTAACACAAGAGTCTTGTATAACAACCCAAAGGTTGTATACTTTATATAAGAACACTATTTTCTCTTTTTTTCTGGTTGATATTAAATCTTAAAAGTAAACTATGAATAAATCATCAAGCAGGTATTATCGAAATAATATGAAAGTGAATATTTCGTATCTTGGATTCCCAAGGTAAGATGTGTTGTGAGTAAACACTAAGTGTTCTTTCATAGTGCAATCTTGTATGCATTTCATGATAAAAACCAACATTTGTAATTTTAGATAAATAAACACGCCTATTAGATTTCGTAAGTTGAGTATTTGGAATTTTCAAATATGATGGGCTTTAAAATCGTTTGATTAAAAAAATAAAAATAAAAATAGATGATGTTAAGGTAAAACACATTTCACTTATACATGTGATTAAGAGCAACCGATAGCTTGATAGATATATATTTAACTTAATAGCATGTTATCTTCATTACACAAATGTAATTTAGAGTAGATAACATGTGATTAAATGAATATATTCTAGAAATATTTGAGGTCACTATACATATATAATATTTGAGGTCACTATACATCTTGTTCATCTATATATCTACATGTTGCTCTTCATTTGACTCCAACCTAATATTCCAAATTTTTAAAGCTTCAATTTATCAATGTAATATCATCTCCATATGCTGAAATGATAATCTTACTATTTCAACTATCTTAAAAAAGATATATAATAAGACTTCTTGTAACAAGGTCATCGAGCGGGCATGTCAAAAGAAATACTGACGCGATAATTGAGTATTGACGACTCATTTTTAATACATGTCCCCACACTTAAAGTTTACTTTCTAACTGAACTTTTGACTTTAAAGATTTAGTTTCAGTGAAATTTTGTAGGGTTAAGGTAAACAACTCTTAGGAATAGGAGGTAGATTTAGCATATAGTGGCAAATGATGCAAACTTATAGAGCATACTTAGTATCAGCATAGACAAACTGGAATAGATTATAATTGAATGTTTCTGAATGCCTCCACGGAGGTTGTAATCAGGAAAAAATGATAATCGTATAGATTTGGGAGCAGCCCTAAGATGTTGCATTCAACGTTAAAGCTCAAAATCTAGCTGGAGTTGTAGTTAGTTAATTTGGGAGCCACTTTATACAAAAAGCAGATGTATGGAAGAAAATAAGAAGGTGTAGAATGAGATAAATGTAGGTTCAATGAACGAGAATAAATTCAAGAAAAGAAATCAAATTTAGTATTTAGATTGTAAAACATCAATATGAGAAAAGATGTAGACTAGATAACAATATTACAAAGTTTTATTGTTTAGCAATGATTGCATGGTAAAATGATTAGTGTCATATAACAAGATATTCTACGTATCCTCTTGAGAATTTTTCTATCATCCAAATAAAATAAACTGATTATTACTTAATTGAATACATCTTGCGATCTTAATCAACTGAATTATTTCAAAATGAAATAAACATAATGTAGATCTCAAAAATTTCCACCTCGACTTTGTGAGTGGATAGCTGGATTAGATGTGCAATTTTGACTAGTTTTGAAAGCGATTTCAGGTCACTTTTTTCATGGAGAGAAATTTTATTCGGAAGATATAATGATCGTAAGATTTCACATTGAACAGAATTGGGATGTAATTTAAAATAAAATAAATAATTTCATGGAATTGATACGACACAAAAAGTCTTAGATCTACCAGATTCGAGAATGTGGGTTAAACCCACAATGTGCATAAGAACTTGAAAACTGCATGCACATTTAGAATGCTTCTAATCAGACCACTGGGCAGTGGTATGAAATTAGGAGGGTTATTTTGGAAGGTATATGTGGGGAGTCAACAAACAAACAGTCGGTTCGAGATGAAATGGAAATAGTGGACTGGAAATACCGTTATGGCAGTTGGGGGGTAGTATGAGGCCGGAGGTGCGGAACGATTGGTCAGCTGACGGAGGCTGCTGGGCGGCGAGCGAGCAAGCGCGGGTCCAGAAGTAACTAACTGTCCGTAGCACTCCCCCATCGATCTCTGGTGCCGCCGAATCCTCGGTCCCGTCAGTCCCGTGGCCGGCGCTTATATGGCAGTGCCCAGAAGCTCAGAGCCACGAGGATCGCTGAACTCGTCATCGTAACGTTTTCGTCGCGCCTCTCTCTCGTTTCCGCTCTCCTTCTCTATCTCTCGTCATCCTGCGTTCGCCGGCGTCCAGCAGCCACCATGAGAGAGTGCATTTCCATCCACATCGGTCAGGCGGGCATCCAAGTCGGCAATGCTTGCTGGGAGCTTTACTGCCTCGAGCATGGAATTCAGGTCTGTGCGGGACCTCAGCACGATCCCGATTCTGATTCCTACGTCGATGTCGATCTCGAACACATGCAACGCTGTCTCACCGCACACTGGAAACGAGAAAGTGATGTCGCCTAGTGACTGTCTGTAATATAATATTAAGCGAATCCTGTCTCATTCGGGACACTGTGCTGCAATTTAATGTTACAAATCTGCTCTTTCTCGGTGACAGCCTCGTGTCGTTTTCTTCGTTCCTGTTCTCAGTTTAGCCTCTGTGGCCCTTGACATGGAACACAAAATTGCACCGATTTCGAACCATCATGACCTCCCCGATCAGACCGGTTGTCGATTTTCAAAGATTCTGAAGTGCAAGCACGATTTGTGCGATCCACGTTTTGATCTCGCGTGGCAAACAGGATGAATTTCACTCATCCATCTCGTTCCGTTTCCTGGGCTGCGGCTTCATGTTGGAGTTGGAAATACTATCAGAATTTGATGCATCCCTTCTATCTGATAGCTCTACTGAAATCGTCTCGATTGATGAATCACGTCTGACGATTGGACCACGTTGTGATTTGGTACGCGCAGCCCGATGGGCAGATGCCCAGTGACAAGACGGTAGGAGGAGGAGACGATGCCTTCAACACCTTCTTCAGTGAGACGGGAGCCGGGAAGCATGTGCCTCGCGCTGTGTTCCTGGACCTGGAGCCCACTGTGATCGACGAGGTTCGGACTGGAACTTACCGTCAATTGTTTCACCCCGAGCAGCTGATTTCCGGCAAGGAGGATGCGGCCAACAACTTCGCTCGAGGCCATTACACCAGTAAGTTCCATGCCCCTTTCTGCAGTGCCGGCTGTTCGTCGAGATCAGCTGATACAAATGAATGTGGAACTGACAGTTAATGTCAATGGCAGTTGAATTCAGAACTGACTGATAGCGGTACCTCGTGCGACGGGGGAAATGTACTGACCTTTGTTGGCGATGCGCGCAGTTGGAAAGGAAATTGTCGACCTGTGCTTGGACCGCATCAGGAAACTCGCCGACAACTGCACGGGTCTGCAAGGATTCCTGGTGTTCCATGCCGTGGGCGGAGGCACTGGCTCCGGTCTTGGATCTCTGCTTTTGGAGCGTCTGTCGGTGGATTATGGAAAGAAGTCCAAGTTGGGATTCACCGTGTACCCATCGCCTCAGGTGTCGACAGCCGTCGTGGAGCCGTACAACAGCGTGCTGTCGACCCACTCGTTGCTCGAGCACACTGATGTGGCCGTCATGCTCGACAACGAAGCCATCTACGATATCTGCCGCCGCTCTTTGGATATTGAACGACCAACTTACACCAATTTGAACAGACTGATTTCACAGGTACGTCGACGTGTGCTCGCTTCATGAATCGAGTCTATACGAGTGATTGACGAGTAACTGCACTAAATTGAGATACTTACGCCAGCAATTGCACGAGTAAATTACTTATCTAACCATCAATCTACATCTGATTCAGACCTCCCCTCCATTTCCCGAACCCTGTGCACCTATGCATGTCTATCGGACTCCAGAGGAAACTCAGAATTCTGAAATCTTCCGAAGAGTGTCAGACTGCTGACCCACTGCCCTTCTATCTTTATTGAGACCTGTCGATGAAAGAACCTTTTCCTGTATGGACTTTCTTGAAGTGGGAACCTGTTGCTGTTCGTCTCGAGGCGAAAGATTCAGAACATGATGCACAAGGCATACACCATTGACCCATTTTAGCAATCCATGGTTCTGCTATTGTTCATCTCGAACGTGCCCAATATTTGGCGAGTTGAGTTTAATAAGAGCAGACGCGAACTTTCATGGTTTTCGGTTAAATATCTTTTCTGACCGCTCATGTCTCAGAACGAGCCGTGTGCATCTTCCCAATCCCCTCCCGTAGTTGTCATCCGGCTGAGTCCAGTGACTGTTGCTATGCCTAAGGATCACTGTGGTTTTGTTACAAGGCTGCAGTTGAGAACTTCGAAACGAACACACCCTGAGCCATTCAAAAGACCATTCCATAAGATGTCAACTTGTACGAGAGAATGCGCAAGATGACTCTTTACCGTGTGCTCTCTTCTTGATTTTCTACTATTTGTCTGTCTTGAAGCAAGTCCGGGTTCCATTCATCAAGTTACACCTTCTTACAGCCCAGGTAGTTCATCAAGATCACCAAGAACCATCAAATCTGCTGAAGAACCTACCCTACTTCCAGAAATTCCACTTAATAATCATCTGTTGTCTGAACTCTGGACTCTGTTCACAACCTCAGGTCTTTGCTCTAAACTTCGAACATTTAGTTAGTTCTTTTGACTGGAACATTGTCCTATCCTGCCCTGAACTTTGTCGATCGTAGCTTGACTACGGTAGTCGAGTCAGAAGCTCAGGGTTCCTAGAACCTGCAAACTTGCACGGGCATTGAATGTGGATATATGGTAGCACCAGAGAAATTTGGCACCATACCGTCGAATCCTATCACTTTCAGGCAGATCCTTTCGTCTTATCCTAATCCGTTCAAACTTTGGACGAGAAGCCTTGACGTCCCAGACATCCGTCTGCTACTTCAAGCATTCTTCGAAGATGGCGAAGTGCGATCAGCGCCACGGCAAGTATGACGCTGGTTGCATGATGTTCGGAGATGATGTCGTCCCTTAGGACGTCGACACCGCCTTCAAATGCACCATCCAGCAAGTGCCCCACTTAATTCATCAGTTGTCAGCCTTCCACTCTAGCCAATTCTATCGACCTGTCATATTCTAAAGGGCCACAGATCGATCTCCCTTGCATGGCGCAAATAGATCCGAACCATCTAAGGAAGTCTATGTACCTGAAAAAGGTTCGTATAGAATCTTAACGATGCGTGATTTCCTTCACATTTCGTACCATGGGCTTGGACTGCCCATGGTTTCAGTAAATTCTTCCATTGCTTTTCCGGATCTCCACAACACATGCATTGATTTATGGAACGCGCTAAATCTGAATTTAGATAGAGATTTCATCGAACAGGAGTCGATAATATTGAAATAGCTTGTCGAGGAATGGTATCGAAGCGTCGTCTCTGTAAGGAGGTAAGCACGGTTGTCACTGAAGGCGTGGTCATTCTTGCATATTTACTTTGCACTCGATTGGACTGCTATTACTTTTCGCTTGAACGCTGCATGTATTGGTCTGCTGCACTGACCATCTTTTGAACACTTCTGACTGCTGGCACTTCACTAGGTAGGTACCTGTGGGACTGCATTGAGTGAAAGGTCTAACTTCAGAAGTCATCGTCGTCGGTACCCTGTGAATCATGCGACTAATCTCATCTCATGAGCAGCTTTTCAACACTGGAATGGATTCCTAGTGTGTGCAAAGTTTGCGAGCAGGTAGCAGTAATGGTTATCTGCAGGGGTAGGTTCAATTTTTGTGGCATCGTTTCGAAGTGTAGGTCAGAGAAATCGCTGGTCTCCCAACATCTCGACCTTGGCACGTCAATTGTCTTGCTCTGCAGGTAATCTCGTCACTGACAGCATCGTTGCGGTTCGATGGCGCGCTGAACGTCGACATCACGGAGTTCCAGACGAATCTAGTCCCGTATCCGCGCATCCACTTCATGCTCTCGTCGTACGCTCCTGTCATCTCGGCTGAAAAGGCGTACCATGAGCAGCTGTCCGTGGCCGAGATCACCAACAGCGCTTTCGAGCCGTCGTCCATGATGGCTAAGTGCGATCCTCGCCACGGCAAGTACATGGCTTGCTGTATGATGTACCGAGGCGATGTCGTCCCTAAGGACGTCAACGCTTCGGTCGCCACCATTAAGACCAAGCGCACAATTCAGTTCGTCGACTGGTGCCCCACTGGATTCAAGTGCGGGATTAACTACCAGCCGCCGACTGTCGTCCCTGGAGGAGATCTCGCCAAAGTGCAGCGAGCCGTGTGTATGATCTCGAATACCACCAGCGTCGCCGAAGTGTTCTCTAGACTCGATCACAAGTTCGATCTCATGTACGCTAAGCGAGCCTTCGTACACTGGTACGTCGGAGAGGGAATGGAGGAGGGAGAATTCTCCGAAGCTCGTGAGGATTTGGCTGCACTCGAGAAGGATTATGAAGAAGTCGGTGCTGAATCGGCCGAAGGTGACGGTGAAGATGAAGGCGAAGAGTATTAATGTGCTCTCCTTCGCCCCGAGGATTGTAAACTATGTACACTCCGATCACTCGCGAGAGAGAGAGAGAGAGAGAGAGAGAGAGAGAGAGAGAGAGAGAGAGAGAGAGAGAGAGAGAGGCAGCAGGCATTAGCAGCAGTTTTGAGAAGTTCTCGCCAACCTCGTTGGCAGAGAAGGTGAGGGAGAGAGAAATGAGTAAATTCGGTCTCAAAACCAGCGGGCCCGATCTCCAGCACATTATTTGAAGAATGTGGAGGAGGTGTTCCGCTGGATTATCTCCATGTATGTTAATCTTGTAAGAACTGGTTAGTGAGAATCGATCGAATGCCCAAGTTCTGCGTAACTTGCATTCGCCGAAAGAAGTGTTTCTCCAACGACGGAACTCAGGACTCGAGATAGTGAGAAAATTTGTGGACTCCCAAGTTGAAAGTTAGCTCTTCTGTTCAGGATCTGAGGAATCTAATCATCCTCGTTCATCTGGTTTTGGTTGGTTGTGTGAAATGAGGTGGTTGTTTCTCTTGAGTTGATTTACCAGGTGGACATGCCACCTGTCCATCACTGCTTCTGTTGTTTCTTTTGAGTGCAAACTTCAAATGATCTCACTTTTGCAATCTCATCCTCCGCTACCCACCCTCCATTCCAACTAACAGCCCACCATCCATATCCAATTCCTTTGTGAACGAAGGTCAAAACCTGAAAACACAATAAACAAATGTGAATCCTGCCCAACCCTGCAATTGACAGACCACCCACTACCCTACATGTTCAACTGCAGTAAAATGAAAGGATCAGAGCTATGATCAAGCTCATGATCACACATAAACTTCAAAGAAGCCCTGTTCATCTCTATTAATTCACCAAACACCTCCTACGATTCTTTTTCGTTCCTCAAGTCAGAGTATGTACTACTGGAAGAGAACGTGTGAAACGCTGATAAACAGTGTGACAATCTGACATTTAGTCCAAAGAATAGAAAAATCTACTGTAACCAGATCGCACATGCACACGGAGAGGAACAAAGATATGAAGGCCTGTGATGGACCTAAATTTGTTTGTTAGCAGTTTTAGTCCTTGGATATACACATGTATCGGTTGCGATTGAGCGCTTCCCCTTAAGGTCTTTAGGGTTTAGGGTTTAGGGATGAATCAGATTCACGAAGCTCACATGAGTACCACAGTAGACTCACTTATCAGCAGCAGAATCAGATATCAATATCTAGTGTGTAGTGCTCGTGTGGGGATACCATTCCTCCTTAAAACATATGAGCGAAGTGAGTACGTAGCAGTTGGATAGAGACAGGAATTACTCTTGTAAGCACATCCATCCAGCAAACTGAAGACACTGGAACTTGGATAAAAGAACGATTGTTCCCTCGAACGACTGCAACAAATGGTGTTTGCTTCACAAACTGGGGATATCCATTGCCTCGTTTCGAAAACTTGAAGGATTTCGACCGCAATATGCACAATCCTAGATCACAATCCCAGTCTGGCGATATAGAGTATAATGCTGCAGTCTATAAAATACAAATTTCTGCTATTCTTGGTGTTGCCCGGTTCACGTCTTCTTTGGGGGATATTTCTGGGCCCTCAGGCCCAATAAACTTCATCCTCACAAAGTTTGAGATCCCAATTCATTATTCAGCTATAAATTCGACTGTTGAATGATAGCTAAGGTAATCGGCCGCTCTCAGGCGGAATCTGGTCTCAGTCCGGGGCTGAGGGGGCGAACACTCCATGCTTTTCCCTATAACTTCTGGCTGCATTACATAACACCTGCGCGAAGTACTCTGACCTGACCCTGTGATTGAACCGCTCAAAACATCAACTGATATGCACTTCATTATTTTTTGCAACTTGAATGGTCATCGCTTTCGTGAACACGAAGATTTATCAGATAAATTGAAGACTAAAATAAAGTTTTGAAACCTATTCACAGCCTTCCACGAGGTAAGAAAATGTAAATTCTGACTTTGATTACAATGCGACTCAGTACTGCAAACTCTTACAAAGATTCCGTGTAAGGTACGACATAAATCCGCAATCTTGACGCTTAGCGCATCTAAAGATTTGACTTGAAATCTTTGAATCGAGTAAAGATTCATACTTTGCGAAAACCATTTTGCTGACAGGTGTGTCCTAGTGTCCAGAACTCTTGGTAAATCTTTACTACCTCCGATCGGGTATCCTCCTCGATCACAGATTGATATGCTTTGACGAAGAAGACATTGCAATCACAAATAACTGCTTGCGACAAGCAGATGGATTTTCGCCGATCAGACAAGGCATTTACGCATTTACTGCTCCATTTTTAAATCTGTCTGGAGCATAATTTGATCTATCCTCCCAAAGCGATTCAACTGAATCTACTGTGACAGTTGCTCATTTTGATCGTGTTCATAGCCTTTGCGATTTGAAATCGACAAAAGCAGAGTCGTGTACTTTAGCTCCCGGAGCCACTTCCAGGATGCGAATTTGGCGTTATTTGTTTCTATCGTCTTGCTTTTATATCATGGGACTCATGCCTGTGACGTCGTAACGTCGACGAGACTATCATTCTCAAGAAACTGAACGTAAGAGGAAGAAGACTCGAGCCTTTTTATGAGCATTGAAAAGTGGAGGAAGGCATGTATCGTCCACATGTCATGTCCACAATGTTCATCTCTCATGTTCGTTATGACAGACTAATTATAAAACTTACGATGCAGTAATTCTGAATAGGCCTGAAGTGGATCGATTAGGGGATATTTCATTGTACTGACAGTTTCGTCCTCGAAGATCTTCTCAGACTTTGACATCTCTTTCACGGATCGTCCAGACACTTTTTCCGAGAATCTGATCTATTGCGACTGTACCGAACTGAAAGAACTGCTTATTGTCCGTTGACTGTCTTGCTCCATCGCATTCCAGTTTAGCAGTATGAATCTCCTTAAGTATGTGCAGACTGCCGACCTTGTTGACTACATCTCGTGATTTGATCCGATCGCTTTGAAAGAAAGCGTGCATGATTCTCGATTGTATATTGAACGGGAAGGGCCTTGCAGAGCAACTTTTGCATGGAAAGAAGCTCGGTATCTCACTTGTGGTTCTTCTCTGGCGTCTTGCATGGCGTTGCAGGTGATCTCGTCGCTGACTGCATCACTGCGATTTGACGGAGCACTGAACGTGGATATCACCGAGTTCCAAACCAACTTGGTGCCATATCCACGAATTCACTTCATGCTGTCGTCCTACGCTCCAGTTATTTCGGCGGAGAAGGCTTACCACGAGCAGCTGTCGGTGGCAGAAATCACCAACAGCACCTTCGAGCCTTCAGCCATGATGGCCAAGTGCGACCCTCGTCACGGTAAGTACATGGCTTGTTGTATGATGTACAGAGGTGACGTCGTCCCCAAGGACGTGAACGCCTCGGTGGCCACCATCAAGACCAAGCGGACGATCCAGTTTGTGGATTGGTGCCCCACAGGATTCAAGGTCGGCATCAACTACCAGCCTCCGACCGTGGTTCCAGGAGGAGATCTGGCCAAAGTGCAGCGAGCGGTGTGTATGATCTCCAACACCACCAGTGTAGCAGAAGTGTTCTCCCGTCTTGATCACAAGTTCGATCTCATGTACGCCAAGCGTGCGTTCGTCCACTGGTACGTCGGAGAGGGAATGGAGGAGGGAGAATTCTCCGAAGCTCGTGAGGATCTGGCAGCTCTTGAGAAGGATTACGAGGAGGTGGGAGCCGAATCTGCCGAAGGCGATGGCGAAGATGAGGGCGAGGAATACTAGACTTCTCGAGTTCGATCGATCGTTCGCTGCAGTTGAACATGACTCGCCATCGATTCGATCTCGTAGATCCTTTGTCGTCGATCTGCACCCACTCCCATATCCACATTGTGAAGGAAGAACGATCAGAAGGTCGCCGATCGTTCTGTTCTTCAGAGTGGTGAAAGTTTTGAACGTACTGTGCTGTCGGATATATAAATTTGGTCCTCTTCGGTGAACCGAGTGGATAGTATACTAGGCATTGGATGCATGAGCGGTAAGTGAGTTAATTAAGTTAGACCATTTTGAGCAGAAGATGCATAGGGATGATAATGATTCATGGGAGGCTTTTATGATATTCTACACTTGGAAAAGCTGTTCAGATTGCTCCTTCAGTCATCTACCCGAGCATGAGTGCAATCTCAGCTGACAACAACTAAGTGAAGACATTTCGGGCATTGGCACACTTTGTTTCGAGAAGCTTTTTGATTGATTGACTGAGAACTCAAGAAATATGAAGGCTTCAATTTCAATAATGCAATTGCAGAGCCGTCGAGCTCATCGTACATCGGAAAAATGTGGTAGGAAACAATTTGTTCGCTCAGGGCTTCAGGGCAATTGTCGATACTGCTGCAGGAGTGTTTTCGCAAGCTCCCAAAGACTCATCATAACATCGACAGAAGTTCTAGCAAGTGTGTCACGGTCTATATCATCAGAAGGTAAGAAGTGAGTATGCGCAGAAGGAATGATTGATTCACTGCCATGTGAACAATGCGGAGATTCTACAATCCCTCTGAGTTTCACATGCAGGTGATGTTGAGGTCTTTCGAGTCATTGTACAGAACCGTCCTTCTGCGATTCTGCGTGAACTCGCCTTCTGACGAGGTCACCTGTGTCTTCGCTGGCTGGTCGAAAGTGGGCAGTAGTAGTGAACTCTACAAATTCAATGCACATACTATGCACTAGAGATGGAACTGAGCAAATCGGTCTGCAGATCAGCTCTTAGATCAAAAAGGAGATGTTCTAGCTGAAGAAGCAAAAGGTAACTTTTAGGTGGAATATACATTTGGCAACTATTTTTGGCCACAGCGTTGGATGGAATTGGTTGAGCCAAATGACTCAGTGGCTCATGAGCAAGCTGCATGAACCTTGTCACGAGCATGAAATGCCCATTAAGCGTCGCTGAGGCTGAACCCAAACAAGAAGGCTCAGGGTACGACCGCGAATAATTAGCCCTGTCTTCTGAGCACTTATCTCGTTGCGTCTCGTTGGATTTTAGGGGCAACATATACGGTTGTAACAAAACCCGGAAGAGCTCTTAGTTGTCGTTGTGCTGTGCTTAAGGGTTCAACGAGCTTAGGTTTCAATCCTAAACTAACCGTAAACCCTGACCAGATGTATGCAAACCAGGGCAGTTTCCCATTGCAGGTTCTCCAGGTAGCCAAGTTCTCCTCCCACCAGATCAGTCCTAAGTGCTTCAACTCCAGGACTCTATACTGGAGTGAAAGCTGAGAAGGTCGAAACCACGGACTCTGCAGGTTCAGAGAGGTAAGATCGAGCCACGACTTGTGCACAGTAAAATAATTCATTACTTTTTGAGCGATAATACGTCATCTTTATTTTTTTATTTAACTAAGATCAATAGTTTTCGGATTTGAAAAATAAAAAAATAGTCTTGTATAATATAAAAAAAGAAAAGATTTTTTTAGAGCACTCAATACTTCTTCACACCAATTTTCTCTCCATACAAGACCAAAATTAAATTTCAAGATTGGATATATACTTTGCGGACATTATATTTGAATTTATAAAATTAATTTTATTGATAATATGTTCACATTCTTGCAATGTTTAGACGCACATAATATATTAGAAATATTTTTTTTTCTATTTTTTCGATTTTTTACAGTATTTTTTCGTAAAATAATGTCATGATTCACAAAGATGTGTAAAAAGCTAAAGTTTACAGATTGAGAATAACGAATAATCTCAAAGAATTCATTTAAAAAACGATTGAATTTCTCTAAAGTATTTTTTGAAAAATTTTCAGTCGAAAGAATGGATGAATAGTGGTAGGCAAAAACATGATTACATGACAACTAATTTTAAATCACTGGCGAAGCGGTGTGAGCCGTCATATTCAGTATTTCATGTTAATTTTATCTCATCACGAAATGGTTTAGCTTAGCCCATGTTACCTACTGTTCTTTCCTTCTTCCCTGTCGCCATCGTTTTATGTATCTAGGATGTGCCAACATTCTTTATCAATCAATTATTTAAGACATGGTGATCATTATCCTGGACATATCAAAGGTTATGACCACGTGATTTCATATACTCTTGTTCGGGTGGTGTATAACAACATTGGCCAAGGTCTTCAAGAGAAGTGGTATGCACATATTTCACTTCTTTGTACTTCTGGCATTGAAGTTGCATATACCTATGTTTCTAAACCTGGTCACGTTTTTAATAAAGTGAAAAAGAGCCTATTTTCGTACCAAGTAATTGTTTTAATAGCCTGGTGGCAGTGAGAGCCTCCATCCCCTTACTGTTGACCTTTCATTGCAAATTTCTGTCGATATATAAATATATATCGTGTGTTATCAATCAATTCATCATCGAGGGACGCTTTGGCCGAGTGGTTAAGGCGTGTGCCTGCTAAGTACATGGGGTCTCCCCGCGAGAGTTCGAATCTCTCAGGCGTCGTCCCTGCCGTTGTCTTTTGTTCCCATTGTCTCATTCCTCTTCTCTACTGCTCCGGTGTTGCTTTTAATCCAGGTCTACGTCCCTTCGATGTACCTCTTGAAGTGCAGTTTAGGTCCCAAATATGTACTTTCGTCAAATGGATATCTTGCCTTCTTAGAGTATATTTGTGATCCTTACACGGTTTAACCGCGCTAAGTAAGAATAGCTTAAAATTTACATCATGAAATTGATCACACACATGTATCTAGGAAGATCAATATAATAAGGAATAATATCCAAGAGATAGAGAAAATGCAAAGATTAAATATAGTAATACACTATCCACTTGATGAACCCAAATATACTACATTAGATATCATCACAATGAAATAATATTTTTCGTTTATTATATTATTCAAAACATGAGACTGAGATAACTTCAATGTGAAAATCTAACTTACATATTTTCTTATGGGATGCAATCTATACAATATCATATATTAAATACTTCAAATGCTTAAGGAAATTACTTTAATTAATTTAACTAATGAAAAGCAATCCCAGTGAAGAAACCCACCAAAACCGGCTATGAACCACGCATGGAAACATAATGAGGACCACAATTAAAGTGGGTAAAAACCCGGGGACACGAAGTTGCCAAAGATCCAATTACGCTCAAGCAACAAAAAAACGAAATATGTTAAGGTATTTCCCAATGCCTAGGCTTTATCCTGCGTAGGCGAGTATGATCTTTTCAGCTATGATGGAAATATTACAGACCTAAGTAAATTCTTAATAGCCATGAAACTAGCGCGATAAAATTATAGGTGTAAGGCCAAATTTAAACAATCGATACTTATGGGTTGAATGTTCTTGATCTCTCAGACCAAAAGTTACGCATTACGCATTCGTAATGTCAACAAATAATGATGAAATTTATATTTAAATGGCGTTCTAAATAATTTAGTTTGAAGAATCCATCGATCAAATTCCTTGTAACCTAGGTACGATTATCATTACTGATAAAGTTTATAGAATATAAGTTAGAAGGACGTGCATGGTGGCACATCCATTCTTATCTCTCTCTTTGATGGTCATTGCTGTGTATGATTGATGTTTAGAAGTATTAAAGCACTTGGCTGCTAGGAGTTATTGAGTAAGTATAGGAGGTAAGGGCAACAAGAAGAGATGAGAATAGTGAAAGATATCACAAAGAATAATTCATTAGACTGCGCTCACGTTTTCAAGAGTTGGTTCTCTAATCCAGTTAAATGAAGATGTATTCAAAGGTTATAATGGACATTTACCCCAAAAAAATTTTGCAACAATTGTGTGTACTGCATCAGATTGTATCAGTTTATTAAATGTTTTAGATTCCAAATTATTCCAATAAGAACTGTGTAATTCTATCTTCTACACATTTCAAATTATTTGTATACTACGGAAAAATTCACAAGAGGAAACTTCTGATGTTTTAATGCACGATTAATTCTAACATTATCCTCTCAACGAAAATAAACTATATAGTTGCAGAACCTGATGGTTTCTATTCCGGGCACTATCCGAATCCAATTTATTGCGAAGAGCCCCTAGTCTGCTGGTAGCAGAAGGCGGAAACGCTGTTAAATGATATCCAAGATTTGCCGACCAACGTGCTTGAACATGAGCTGGTTTGGGCCCGTGTTGGTCCCCAGGTGTGTCTTAGGATCTGTTGGGACAGTTGGCGACTTTCGTGCTCCGATGTGTCTTGGAAGATTCGAGCTCGACTCTCAGCGGAGTGCGAAATCCCGGCGCCAGTAATTGTCCTTCGAAGTCCCCTGTATTCGTTTGGTCAGATCCAAGGTTTGCCACTGTGGCTTGGCAAAGCTGAACGTGGGATTGACTTCTCAGAAAAAGACCAGTTAGTGATGCACGGTGTTTGTCTCCATGCTTTTATCTTCATTATCATTCATTACGCGTTTATCTTCTTCCAAAATTCTGAATAAGAATCCTCGCCAGAAAGTCAATTTTAAATTTTGTTGATGTTTCATGCTAGATTGCAGAATACAGGGGTAAGAATTAGAACTATTATGTCGATCGCAAGAGAAAATGGACTCCCAACTTCAGAATGTACGACAGATTATGAAGTCAATCTGAGTTGGTAAATCCGGAGTTCGAGATGGGTTTCAAAGTCATTTAAAAAGTAGGCAAGATGTAGGCAAAGGCTTCAGGATATCGGTTTATCTATAAATAATGAAAAAAACTTTTAGTGCTTTGTTGTCACATAGCAGGGCAGGAACCTTTTTCTGAATGGCTCGCAGATCTGAAACTTTTAGAGTTTATGTTTAATTTCCAGGATAAGGTCATATAGCTGTCCCTGACGGTACTTAATGAGTACAGTCTTAAAGCCTCCTTTACTGTCAACTACTACCAATGCCCATTCATCGAGCGATGACTACTACTCGGAAACATGCCAAGAAGAAACTTCGATAGTCGCAGAACGCTGAGAAAATTTGTGAGGGACAAGAATAATATGGCAGGAACATCCCTGCGATTTCATTTTCATGTCCCCTTTGTGTAGGGCAGGTTATCTTTTTTCTGCTTAAGTTTGTGTCTGAAGTATGTTATAGATATTTGCTTGCTTCATACCTGTCATCTTCAGATCAGCAGAACATGTCAAATACTTTTGTCGATAACAGTGCCTTGTTAGTTAGTGAATGAGTCACGGTTGTGCATTTGTTTAGATTGTGATGTTTAGATTCGGAATAGAGAAAGACGCGGTCCTTAACGCTGGATCATCGAGAAGATTTGATGATATTGAGCAAATCAAGGCAGCCTCAGAAGTTGAGTGCCTTGGGATTGTTCCAAATGCGGACGTCGTGGCTCTAGCCTCTCGTGACGCTACTGTCAAGGCATATTACATGCAGATTCTTTGGCACCGTATGTATTTTAATGCGCGCACTCCAGCTTCATTTAAAACAGCTGCTAAAGTCTTGGAACGAGCATCGAGAAAGATCTAAAAACACTAAACAATGGAGCGATTAATTCAAAATGACTGACACTTGTAAGTTGCGATGTTTGAGGTCTTGGGACAAACCGCCCCCGTCTCTGGGTCGCAAAGATTGCAAAGCTTCCTTCGATTCAGAAACAGACAACCATCCGTCCCCGTTCTTGACCTTCGACCAATTGGTGAGCAGTACGTGGGATCAAACTGGGAGGATTTGGTTATTCTTTCTCGGGGCCACACCAATGGCCGATCAGCATGTGGAGCAGTATTGCCACATTTTATATTTTAAACAGATCCACCCGTCGACACCAAATTGGCCAAACATCTGTAGAAAATATTGCCGAAAGAATGAAGCTGGGAGCACTGGTGCTTTGAGGAATCCATGGGCCTAGTGGCCATGGTTTTCTCAGAATCTCTTTCGATTATTTGTACTTCAAGCAAGTACTGAACAACAGAGGTCTATTTCAATCAGATCTATATATCTGAACGAGTCCACTCGATAACGAACTTGTGACAAGATACTCAAACGAAGATTTTTCTCTCTATAGGCATCTCGCAACCGCCATGACAAGTATGAGCAACATTCGGTGGCCAACTGATGCTGAAGCTCGGCCAGTCTGCCCACCTGTTACTGACAACGAGGACTGCGTTTTCCTACAACCCATTGAGTCTGCAGAGATCGAGGTTGCCTGTGAAGATATCTCATTAAAAACAACATAATATCAGAGCATAAAATTTAGTTTGGAATGACTGTTAGATGATTCTTTTATGTTTTTGAATCTCTATCATGCATGTCAATTGAATGAAATTAAAGCTGATCAAGTATATATTGATTACTTTACTGATTAAACGCAAAATATAATGACTTCAGAGTGATCGACTACGGAGATCACTAATCTGAAAGGTCAATATCTGTGAACTCACTATCACAGAACTTACCGGATATCGTTTCAATCAACTGAAAGCTGCTTGAGATGGGAGCAGACAAAATCCCATCCCCGTTTTTGACCTTCCATCAATTGTTGAGCAACTTCACTGTTCTTAGGCTAAGCAGTTCTGGAGCAGTTTTGTTCGGTTTGCTCAATTTCGTTCACAGACAATCACGTGATAGAATCAATACATGTCACCCTGGCTGTAGTGTACCTTGTCGGGAAAACTTAGAGCCTGAGATCTACACTTGATAAAGAAACAACCTTGCCGATGTACTGTCTAACGTGATGCGAGGATGTGGCCCACGACTTGATTATTGCGATCTACTATTCACTGGAAGTATCATGAGCGTTCGGTATAGATTGCCTTTAATGATGCATGCGGACACTGTGATTCCAGTTGTAGATCTATCCAAAACTGCACCAGTAGAGCATAGACACGGTTTTACACCACAAGGTCCAAAAAGTTGAACAATAGGGGTGGAACGCTGAGGAGTTGAAGATTGAGAGACGATACGAAGAGCGATCATACTCCGAAATTTGGAAGAGAATCATCAGCACATGCTTATGCTGGAAAGTTAAATCGTGGAGTAGTGGTATGGTACGGTATACAGTGATGAGAATCTACGTATGAAATGCCTAATTGCAAAACTGCAGGGGACATCTCATCCGACGAATTCACAGGAAAGTATAGTCACTGAGGGGATCGGAGAAGCCAAATCTCCAAGTTGTTGAAACCATTATTCCACTAGGTTTGAGGACATCACCTAATTCACCTAAGCTCACATTGAGAAAACAACTCATCAGATCAGGCTTTCCTTCACTTCGAAGATCTTGACTTTTAGAAGTGCATGCAGATGAGAAAAATATATTCTTCTCAAATGTCGAGAGAACTGGTCTGAAAGTGGGTATGAAAAGAATCACATTTAAGATATGATTCTTGTGAATTACACTTACGTGCCATTAATGAGCGTCTGGACACAGTCTACTTAATTTTGA